CTCCGTGAAATGTATAAATGCAATCTTATTTCGAATACGTGCTGAGGTATCCTTAGCTCAAACTTTTTGACAAAAAAAGAGTTAAATTCGTGGATTTTTTTATATTTTTCCACGGAATAGTATATTTTCGATTTTGTAGAGAGGATGAAACGAAAAAAGGCGACCTTTGGGCGATCCAAAGTCGGAATAGAGCATTCGTACATTTAAATACTCGAACTACGAGATATCAGCCGTGCTGAATGCTAGAATTATGAATATTTATCGAGAGATAAAATGTAAATAGCCTCGGAGTTCCTGTGTCCATTAATTCTCTACCGACGAAAATATTCGCGCTGATAGAAATCAGTGTCAAGCTACCTGTCAGAATGTCCTTGATAATTAAATTTTCAATATCAAATCAAATTAAGTCTTCTTTAACCCTTTCATTCTATAGAAATACGCTTCCATAGGCGAAGAAACTCATTATTCTAACTACTAATTATCACCAGGTTCATAGTTTCGTTTTCTCTTTTTCACCACGCTAGCATAATCCATTCCGCGAACGATTCCCCGGTCAGGAAACCACGATCAAAAACGTGGTTGGTTAATAATTACGTAACGGTGTTAAAATAATTAGTACGTATTACACGGTGCAGCGTTGCGTTCGTAATTAGTGGTCATCTCGCGGCGAGAAGCCGAAGAAGAAGCTACGATTTCGATCAAAAATCCATCTAAACGATACGTACAGTTTCGAAGAAAGTTATCTCGAAAAGATCGAACGCAACCAGCGGAAACGTAGAAAAGAGTCTTTGAAACGACATAGGATGTATCGATTCTCCTAGTGCGAAGAACCACATGTGGAATTGCGTCGCGTCGCGGGGCTCTAGCACTCGTCAATAGAATGGAACGATTCGTTAAACGACGCTTTAGTTAGTACCTTCCCTTTGACAATTCGCTGTCCAGCAAATGCCGACCAATTTAAAGTGTTCTGCATCGTTTCCTGTTTATTACATCCCCTCGTGTGCACGTGGCGAAACCGTACGACGAAATGCTACTAGAACGCGTGTCTGCTTTTCATTTACAATTCGTCCTGGAAACTGATAATTTACCCGCTCCAGGAAATAATCCCACGAGTACGTCGAGAAGAAATTTCCTCGAGCAACGGTTACCATGCTCCTTGAAAACACGGTTTCTGACCACTCCAAAACAATGATGCGCCGTTATCCTCTACGCTACACCACGAATAAATAAATACAACCTACTTAAACATCCCCGTCATCTGTTGCAACTGCATCGTCTCCAGCGAGACTTAGGTTTATTTGCGGTAGAGAAAACGCGGAGAGAACAGAAAATGAAAAGATAAAACAGAATTTTTGTTGAGTTATCGGCTTATGGTGCCCGTGCATCCAGCAGAGGCTTTTATCGTAAAATATTAAGAGAAAACACACAAGACGTTCGGCGCGTTGTTTCGCTATCGCCAGCACGTACCAACCGAATGGAACGGCAAATAGAGCAAATCAACGAGGAATATCTATCGAGGTTTCATTTATTGACGCCATGTCGTATGGAAAGTCACGTTTACATTGTAATACCTATTGCATCGTATCACCGACGACCACGCGGTATTAACGTGGGGAACAGTGCTAATTTTGGACAATGATTTAATTACAAGTAATTTGACGTCTGTTAGGGTTCGTTGATAATAAAAGATGCGACCCATCGAATTACTAAAGTGCATCGTCAATTAAAATATTGCTAATTTTTCGGAGTTGCAAAATATTTCTCTTCCTTTTGTTAAGCTCTGTAAAATGCTACCGATTGTATTCTCTGCAGAATGTCAAGGAAAGTAATAATTTACGAATTCCAAGAAATATAAATGTCTCTTGGATAACCTGTTTTTCCGACTGAACCCACGCACCGTTCGACTCTGTTGACTTATGAAATGTTGAATAACCCAACACTAGATTCTTACGTGATAAACGTGAAAAGTTTGAAAATCTGTATGTTGAAGCAGGACAGTACCAAATATATCTCGGTGGCTTCCGTTAAGCCGGAAAAGAATGATTTACATACCGGTTAATAACTAGGCTGATAGCAAAATTGAGAACGTCGCTTATTCACAAACCCACCGACCTTATTTTCAAACTGTATTCACTCACAGTTGATTAAAATTGTTAGCAAAAAAAAAAATACATGGTATCAACATTTTATTTAGCAACAGAAGAACTAAATGATTAGAGATGAATTTTTAAAGCCCTGGGAATAATCAAATTTTGAATTTGAATACAAACGGAAGACGTGTGCATTCATGGACAAGCACAAATGGCCGACTTCCTTCCGTTAAAATTCGTCCAAGCATGTTTAATGCCAGCTGGCGAATGCGATTCAGCGATAAGACTTAAGAACCACACAATACACATGGTAAATGGTTAATTAAAATTACTCGATACGGGTGGAGGACAATTTGAGACAATATTAAATACACAGTATATTGTATAAAAGTTGCAACAGTTCAAAAAACACAATGCTACTGTTGCAACGAAAAAGTTTATGTAACGTGAAAGAAAAGCGGTTTTATATAAAACAACAATAAAATTCGCAGTGAAGATCAACTCATTGGGATTGCATAACGAATGCAACGTGTGTTTCTGTCCAAACATGAAAACAACTTGTTACAACTTTTCTGGCGTGCATAAATCAAATTGTTAATATCCAACTTGATCGTATAAAAACATAGAAATACACTCGCCAAGGAAGCTCATTGAAAACGGCACACGGGTAAAATAGTAACCGAGGATATTGATCCGTTAGTCTGCATAAGATCGCTATCATAGCGATGTTAGTGGAATACCGTCAGAACGAGGATCGACAAAGGAGTTCCCGAATGGATTAAGCGGAAATTAAAGGAAAAATGTTGAGAAGAATAGAAGCGGTAGTCACGCGATCTGGACACGCCTTTTACGATTCACACCAAAATGAATTGGCTCGATATCATCCTCGTTCTTGCGAGGATACGTATGCGTCGACTGATCCGTATTAAAAGGCAGCCGAGACGTGTTCAGGAGAAAAGTCTAATAAAGACGCATGGGAACTGGTTCGACGTCTACACACCGATATACCAGGACGTTGGTGCATAATACGCGTACGATGCGTGTGTAACAGTTAATCGCATTATATGTATAGCAACGGGGACGAGCTACATCACGAAATCACGATTGATCACCTCGCGATGTTGATCACGACACGGCCAATCATTGTCGGGCTACGCGGTTACCGGCGAAAATATCGTCCACGTGAAAAACGAATATCGTCATTAAACGACCGGTAAGAAACAGCAGGCAAATAAGCAAACGGTCGTTGAACGATGATCGCGTATCGAGTAAATGACTGGTTTGCTAATTTACGTACACATTCACGGATTACAATATGGCACGCACTGAACAGAGAATGGCTACGTATTAGCAAATAAAGATTAAGAATTGAACGAACGAGTCCTGAAAACGGTACGACTGTTAAATTGTCTACGAACGGTAGGCACCGCCACGTGTTACTAAACACGATAATTGCTCCCTCCCAATCGTTCGGTATCAAAACAAAAGTAAGAACATCGTGAACGTAGAAATACGCATAATAATTGTGTAACCTCCTATCGGAGACACAATTAAGAGCAATGAAATTATGGAATTAGACCCGTACACAAGGATCGAATATTCCAGGAGGTATATTTGAGAGCAACGACAATGAATGTTAGGTAGCATTCGATCTACCGTAACATCGTGTTTGTTAACTGGCCGATTATCAACGAACACGTTGCGCCTCCCGGTGGAAACGGTTTCGCTCGTTGTTGGTCAACGTTCGAATACCGTGATCGAGGGATACCCGTGAGCAACACGCGCTCACCACGGCACCAGAACGTACTTAGGTGTTACAGACGAATCAGCCGGCAGTAAATTCGCGGTAAGAGATAACGGTAATCTCGAATTCAGATTACCTCAGCGATGGTGCGAATTGCAAGGCCGTCGACGTATGACCTTAATGAGTAACGAGCATAGCGCTTAGGCGGACACACGAGAACGAGCACACACTGTATACGAAGGGTGTCGTGCAGTCGAGTGTGCACGTAAGCCTGTCAAAAAGGTGGCATGTTTGGCACTGGTTACTATTGACGCCGCTATGACAAGCATGTCCTGTCAGCGTAACCTAGGTTAGCTTAGCCACGAGTATCGTGAATATTGCGAAAGATAGGGAAAACGGGCCTGATTCGTTAGTCTATTCACGACGATTTTCGCGATCATTCCTCCTGGGGCACTGTGCGTGCAGATGGCGTGATTTTTATAGCAATTACGGATCATTTCGACCGGCCATGATCATCGACGCATTCGCCGTGTATCAAGCTTCTATTCTAAGCGGTAATCACGTGAAGTAAATCAACAAACTGCAATAAATACCTCGCTTTTCGACGAGCTCTGAAATCTCCTCCTTGTTGTCGGCCATCTTAGCACCAGTCACTGTTCACAATGCACGCTGGGTAAAAACAAACGAGCATCACCACGACACAACGATTGGAGGTTCAGCGCCACCTGTACGACGAATTAGAAGTCAGCCAGCCGGTGACGTTAGGCAGGGATGTATTGTATCTGAATCAGTATAAAGATTCCAAGACTAATTATTGAAACTATTTGTACAATGAAATAAGATTATAATGAAATTTTACATATAAATAATCTTTCAGAGTAAATTATTTCACAGATTTATCCTACACTTTAATCAAATTTATTTCGATGACTTACGCATCAACGTCATTTAAACATACTCCTTTTCGTATTAATGGTTGATAGAAATCTTGTTTGACATTTTTAATACGAACACAACATATACTGATAAGTGTTTTACAAGTGATACGCGGAACTATTTACAAAAAAATGCGTCTACATTTTGTTTGACATACTTTCAATAAGCCGTTACTGTGTACACGTCCCACACGTCCCCAGTCCCCACATCTTGACTACTACTTAAACTTAAATATTTCCGTTATATGAGTTCGTGGCGGCAGTCTTCATTCAGATTTTCTTCAGCTTGGACGCAGTTTGAAATAAATTTTCAACATGAGTAGTGGTGACGTTGTAATTGTATCAGCAGTCAGGACCCCTATAGGTATAATTTTGTATCTTGTAACAAATAATACCTGAATATATATATATATATTATAGTATAGTATGAACTCAGTTTAAATATCATAATATAAGAAATTAAATTGTTAATTAACAAAAACTTTTATATTAAAAATGACTCTATTTTACATTTAAACAACTCAAAATGTTAATATTTTCTTTATTATTTTGTTAATGATGTGAGATGAAAAAGATTTATATAAATTGTAAGGGTGCTATATTGTTCAAAATACTTAATACGATAAGAAACAAAATTATAAGGATCATAACAATTTATTTTATGTTTTCTTTATTTTCTTATAAAATATTTCATTATGTTTAGGATCATTTTGTGGATCCTTATCATCACTGAAAGCATCAGATTTAGGTAGTATTGTTATTAAGGAAAGCCTTGCAAGAGCTCATGTTAAAGCCACGGATGTATCTGAAGTTATATTAGGACAGGTGATTTAAAATTTTGATTTACTCTTACAGGGAAGAAGTTTTCTTTATTGTAAGATGTTTGAATCAGTCACTTCTGAATACATTAAATAACATTTAGCCATCTTTTTTCAAAAATATAACAATAACAACTATTGGCATTTAATAAAGCATATGTAATGAATGGGTACAGATGATGTCTACAAATAATTTATATCTATTGCTAAAATTAAATGCAGTTAAGTTATAAACTGTAATGTTAAATCTTTATTACTTTAGGTATTAACTGCAGGTCAAGGGCAAAATCCAGCAAGACAAGCAGCTATAAAAGCAGGCATTCCTATATCTGTACCTGCGTATGTGCTTAATATGCTATGTGGTTCTGGTTTAAAGTAAATACATATTTTTTGTATATGCTTTCTTTAGCATAACATGATAGTGCATTTGTTTAAAACAAAACCTTTTTAGAGCAATTTTAAATGGTTACTTATCCATAAAAGCTGGAGAAAGTCAAATAATTGTGGCTGTTGGACAGGAAAATATGAGTCTGGCACCACATGTGTCATACCTTAGAAATGGTATAAAATTGGGAGATGGTAATTTAATAGACACATTAATATGTGATGGCTTAACAGATGCATTTCATGGAATTCATATGGGAATAACAGGTAACAAAAGAATTTTGCACATTATTCTTTTATTAGTGTTATATACACATATCTATCAATGTATTATATTTTTTCTAGCTGAAAATGTTTCTAAGGATTTTAATGTAAGTAGAAAAGAACAAGACGATTATGCAGTTGTGTCTCAGAAAAGAACAGAAACTGCAATTACTGCAGGCTACTTTAAAAAAGAAATAGTCCCCATAACAGTGTCTAACAAAAAAGGGTCAATTATTGTAGACAAAGATGAGTTTCCTAAGTTTGGGACAACCATTGAAAATCTTCAAAAATTAAAACCAGTTTTCCTGAAAGTATGATTAGTCACATATTTTCTTCATGAATAAAAATGCTCATGTAGAATTATTCGAATTATCATGTTATTTTTAGGATGATGGTACTATTACTGCTGGTAACTCTGCTGGTATAAATGATGGGGCAGCTGCAGTAGTTCTTATGTCTGCAGAAACTGCAGCCCAAAAAGGACTTTCTCCATTAGCTAAAATTGTTGCCATAGCCCAAGCTGGAGTAGAACCGAAAGTAATGGGTACAGGTCCTATTCCAGCAGTTGAGCTAGTGGTTAGTATATTAAAATAGATTCACCTATTGTAACTTTAAATTTATACATATATATATAAAAAATGCATTATTTTAGTTGCAAAAAGCAAAGTGGACTAAAGATGAAGTAGATTTATATGAACTGAATGAAGCTTTTGCAGCACAGGCAATAGCTTGTATCAAAACTCTTGGTTTAGATCCTAATAAAGTTAACATAAATGGAGGAGCTATTGCATTGGGTCATCCTATTGGTGCATCTGGTACTTGGAACATCCAAACTATTAAGTATCTTACGAATTCTATTTTCATTATTGTTAAAAATATATTTCAGGTGCTAGAGTATTAGTAACGTTATTACATTCCTTGGAACGAACTGGGGGAAATAAAGGTGTTGCATCCTTATGTATTGGGGGTGGAATGGGAATAGCAATTGCTGTTCAAAGGCAATAAACACTTAGGGACTACCCAAGTGTTACGCTCACTTATTAATGAAACTTTGCCACCTTGTAGAGCTCGTCGTCCTGAACACGCTTATACCCCATTCTGGAGGCAGACTGCTAATTGTTTAAAAGATATTAACAATTAAAGCTAGTGACTGCTAATATTGAGAAGTATGACAAACTAACACATACAAATTATGTATTTTACCACGGGTTAGCTCCGTGGTAAAACGCTTGACTTGCAAACTAACTGTCCACGGTTGAAGTCCATAGTTCCCATTTTCTTTTTAATGATAATTGTCTTTTTTTGAATAATAATTACAATTGTGCTATAATCATTGCATTTATTATAACACAGTTGTAATAGTTATTCAAAAAAAGACAAATTATCGTTAAAAAGAAAAAAAAAAAGAAAAAGAAAATGGGAACTATGGACTTCAACCGTGGACAGTTAGTTTGCGAGTCAAGCGTTTTACCACGGAGCTAACCCGTGGTAACATACATAATTTGTATGTTAGTTTGTCATTCTTCTCAATATAAGCAGTCACTAGCTTTAATTGTTAATATCTTTTAAACAATTAACAGTCTGCCTCCAGAATGGGGTATAGGCGTGTTCAGGATGACGAGCTCTACAAGGTGGCAAAGTTTCATTAATAAGTGAGCGTAACACTTGGGTAGTTCCTTTTGTTAGTTGGATTAGTCTGCGAAGTTTATAAACATAATTTAATTATAACGAAAAACAATGTTTTTATTAAATGTTTGTTGAAGTATTAAACATTTTTACATTAATGTACAGTATTTTATGAAGTGCTTGTTTATTGCAATTAGTTGTATATATGGAGGATCAAATAAATATACAGTAAATAAATATAGTGTAAAAATACGAATTATTTATTATTTAATATCTTAATCAGTATTATTTTCATTAAAATTTTGTTCTGCCTTCTTTTTATCTTCTAAAATTTTCTCCACTGCTGCTAGCCCTTCTTGTTGCCTTCGTTCAGCACGTTTTGTTTTAAATGTACGCTCGGTATGTATTAATGGTCTTTTGGGCTTTAATAAATGTTGCAACTGTTCCTTGATAGCTGGTATTATACGTATCTTAAATTAAGAGTACGTTTATAAATATTATAGAAATACACTTTCATATGTAAGCTAACATAAAAATATGAAGCTTTTTCTGTAGTTAATGAAAAGAAAAGTCTATATTTACAACATAAAACTTTAGAAAGTTGATAGACTGAGAGGTACAGCAGGATAATATCCATCATATTTTTTCCCATTTTCATTAAAACATACATAAGATTTTTCTAATGGCTCTTGAGCTATTACATCTACTGTTGGTATACAAAGTTTTGAGTATTTTTTTATAACATGACCCCATAAAGAGTCCATATTAACCCTAGAATCTTTCAAGCAGAAGTAAGAACCCCAAAATGTGGAGTTTAACACTTTTTCATCTGGATGTGATAATCCCTGATAAACCATTCCTTCAGACATTTGTTCTTCAATAACAGCTATTGTATCACATTGTACATATGCATTAGGTACATAAATATCTTGTACAAGATTATCACCAATATACAAACATTGAGGGTTTTTCTTATTAGATTCATGTTTTAGAAATTCAATGAGACCTTTCCAATTACCCTCATTATATATCCTACCCTGTTTCAAATCTATACTTTCTATCATTGCACCCTCTTCATAATTTATAGTTTCATAAAATGGACGTTGTTCAGTAAAAAAGCCAGGCTTTTTTGCATAACAAATAACAATATCAAATAGAGATTTCCAATCTTTTCCAAAAGCATAAGTAGCAGTAAAATCAACAAAATCAACATTTGATCCAGTAATGAGGAAAGTTTTACAATGTTTCTTTAATTCTTGAAGCCAACATATAGTTCTTTCATTACATTTATGTATGTAATTGTGAGGATTCTTTTTTAAGCTAGGAAAAAAATTTCCTTTATCTAACTTAAAATGATCTTTGTTAAACATTTCAATTAATCCATCTAACATATCAGGCCAAACATTGTATGCATTTGGAGGTCCTTCATGTTTTTCATCAAGAGTATCTATTAATCTTGCAAATATTAGAGATGTGGAAATATCAAAATAATCTAATAAACTTCTCATTTTCATTGATATAGGACCATTCCATGTAGATAGCATATCATTACAGAAAGTATCTGTAGCCTCCCATCTTTGGTCAGGATATATTTCTTTAATTTGTTTAGTGGTTAATAAGTTAGTTCCATGACATGCTCTTTGAATTATACCATTAGAACTGATCCTAAATAAATTTCCTTTTTCAAAATCTAGGAACAATCCTTTCTGCATAAAGTCCAGATCTTTGTTTTCCAATGATTGTAATAAATACTTTGAATCATAACTTTTTTCCTTTATCAAATAATCAGCCAATGTTTCATATATCAAATGCACCATATTGGTCACATTGTAAGACAGAAGTGTATTATCTAAATCAAAGCCAATACAATCATAATCCAATAACTTGATAGTACTCATTTTCACATGTACTGATGGACTAGTAGACACTGTTGTATATTGTTTAGTATTTATGGGACATAAAAAATATGTAAAAAACCTTAGTTTATTACCAATTTTACAATCTAAAGTATTACACACTTGCAGATAAGATTTCAATGGTCTATAAAATGGGAACGAAGTTCTTGACATTTCCTGTTTTAATGACATATAAAGGTGTTTGCTAAATGCATATGAGCAATTAAACTATAAATAAGAATGTTTACTCATGAGTCAAGTGATTCGAAATTTTTACTTCTAACTAGATAGTACAATCTCAACTTACAAATTCAAAAATACCTAGACAATGTGTTAATACGTGCATTTGATATCAACAATAAAACCTATCTTTTTTGTTGATACGTTTTTATACTAATTTTTCGATGTAAAAAACAGAAAGTTGAATTACATAATATGTGCGTTATAACACATTCAGAATAACCTATTTTGAATATTGGCTATCTCTCCATATCTGACGTATATTTAACATATAATTTATATGTATCAACATATTTCGTATTATTGATATTCGCAAGGGGAAACGATGTAACTAAGTTGTATCACAAAATTGCGGGAAAGTATATATTTTAAAGTTACTCACTTTTGGCGGAATATGAACGAAGCGTATGTTTCTTGCTTGAACGAAAAACATATCGTAACTGTACGAATCACCTCTAGGATCGGTAAAAACGCAATCTCTCATTACAATATTCATGTAACTACAACAGAAAAAAAGGAAAAAACGCTTAAACAACACTAGACCAATAAAGCAAGCATACTTAAATAAAAACCGCTTACGCGTCTGCGTGCTGCACGATTCCACAAACTGACGCTTCATTTCGAAGGTCAACCGTTGTTCGTTCATTTTCAACAGCTTTTAATAAAATAGCGAGACTATTAAACAATTGATATCTTTCTTTACTCGATTCAAGAGTCATGATCTCAAACGATTATACACATGCTAATGCCGGTAAACGTTTACGACCAAGCGAATTTATAAGAGTAGCCAACTGTGCAAAAGCAACAAAAGTAACTATAACTGTTCGATGTGGCCCCTGTGGCTCGGGGGGATTAGAATACGGCCACGGTGTACCCTGCCTGTCGTAAGAGGCGACTAAAAGGGGAAACACACACGGACTCAAGCAAGGGATTGTAAAAGTATGGCGAGGGAACAGAAGCAAAAGTATGGCAAATGTATAGAATGAGATTGGAAAAAAGGCGCACAAAGCGCGCGTGGCCGAAAGTATTCGTTAGGCAATAGAGGGGCGGAAAAGTCCCTATAATACGCCAGCCCTAGGCGATAACACGCGATAAGGTGATGCGAGCGTCGAAAACTTTACCGACAGTCCCTAGAAAAATCCCTAGACGCGAGTTCTCAAAATACGTCCTCATTTTAAAACAAAATGCAAAAAAAATTTGAGTGACGTGTTCAGGAGGCTCTAAAGAATATTAGTCTGGTCCTTATATTATCCAAATCGTCAAAAAGTTATAAAATACTGAAATTGCTGTCTGCCAACGGTCAAGAAAATGGCGGATCGGACTCACCTACATTGATTTATTCGTAATATAAACATTTCTGCCAATAGTTTGTCCAAATAGGCACCAGACTAATATTCTTTGGGTCGGATAGAATAAAACGAGCACCCAAGAGATGATGTACAAGTCTCCAGGTAGAAGTATTTTGAGAACTACGATTTCGTTGATTGTTCACACGCGAAAGATGTCAACAAGGTAAAACAGACCAGAAATTTAATTTCTCGTTCATTCTGTAGGGCGCAGTTTGTTCGTTTGATTAATAAACAATTGTATAATTAAAAATAATAATTAAATAATTTTTAGTAAAATAATTAAACAAAATTTTGCAATATACCCAGGCGGAAATGTAAAGAAATAAACAATTTAAATAGATATAACAATAATTTGATTAATATGCAATTGTAAAACATAAAATAATAATTAAACAAATATTAACAAATATCAGATAGAAATAGTTAAATCTGCGGAACCGGTGAAGAGGAACGCCATGCTTGATTGCGCGCGCCGCGCGTCGGTACAAGCGCGACCTGAAGGAAGGTCAAGTCTAGTCAGTCTTATCGCGACCGCCGAAGGATACGGATGGAGCTGCCCAACATATACCGGTACGGGTTGACACTATGGATATTCGTGCATGGATTTATCAGTGTGTTACCACAAGTGTTACTGTGTGTGCCTATGGTGTTTCCTATAGTGTTTCCCTTGTGTTTTGGAATATTTATACGGATATATTAGTGCGTCTTATGGTGTGGTCACCCATGTGTTTTGACATTTTTATACAAGTGCATTAGTGTGCTGTGTGGTGTGGTACCCCATGTACCTGCATGTGCTTTATTGTGTTTTATGGTGTGGTTTCCTTTGTGCTTTGGTATATATTTATGGATTTATTAGTGGATTTTATGGAGTGGTACCCTATGCGTTTTGGCATATTTATACGGATTTATTAGTGGGTTTTATGGAGTAGTACCCTTTGTGTTTTTACATATTTATACGGATTTATTAGGAGGTTTTATGGATTGGTACCCTATGTGTTTTACTATAATTTTGCAAATATTTTATAGTGTTCTATGGTTTTGATCTTCGAGTGTTTTGGGATGTATTTGCATGTATTTTACCGTGTTTTATGGTGTAGTTATTCCCATATAGTTTTGCATGCATATTTTTGAATTATCCTATGTATTAGCATATTAACTACAACAAATTGAGAGAAAACATATATCGTTCAAGAATCGTGATTTTTATGCTTTCAGATGCTTTGGCCAGTAGGGATACCGTTTCTTTGACGAGCCATCTTAATCTTAACAATAAGATGCGTGGCGAGTGCAGTAGTGCAAGTCAACGATCGGTGAGTCGCATGCTTTAAAGTTCCTCCGGTTCCCATCATGTCGTAGGACGAATGGTCCGTAGCGACACGGGAATTGGTTGTAATTTTTATTTTTTGAGCGAGCATAGTGACCCACGAATATCATTGTATCATTTTATACAATGATAATCGTGCAAATTGCTTTTTTGTGTATTTTATGCCTTAGCTCAGGATAGGGGTTTCTTGTACATACTTACATGTATAGATTTCGAGTTTAAAAATGTAGAGAAGTCGGATGACCCTCCGACTTCACAATACATTTTCTTTTTTATATGTACAAGAATTTATTTCGCGATGAGTGGATTTCAATATCAAAGTAATAAGCATGAATACTATTAATTATTATAACTACTTACTTTGATAACGAAATCGCTCTTGAAATTGAAACGTTTTTCCGATTTTACTCGTGAAATTGGCATCAGTTTAGTATATGGGCTGGCCCCCAGGGGGGTCAGTATTTGCTCTTCAAGCATTGTATAAAGATCCCCTTTCGTACTTGAAATTCATTCTGTCACGTTCACGATTCTCGACCCTAAACACTCATCATTCGCACTTCAGCCTCACGAACTCTATCACGTAATCATTTATCCACCCGCATACCCTTTTGTAGTGAAATATTACCCCGTTAGGATTTTGAAGTTAAAGTAGTGTTGCGAAAAATTTTCAACGCGAGAGTAAATATTACCCCGTAAGGATTTTCAAGTTTATGTAGTGTTGCGAAAAATTTTCAATGCGAGAGTAAATATTACCCCGTAAGGGTTTTCAAGTTTAAGTAGTGTTGCGAAAAATTTCCGGCGCGAGAGTAAATATGACTATACACTGACTAGTATTCGGTGGGAATCCTTTTGGTTTTTATTTGATAAAATTAGTTACAAGGAATCCGCGGCATAAGACCGTGAACACTACCTCATGGGAGATAAAACCATGCATTACTAGGCCTTTGCAGGCGCAGCTTTAGAATACGGAACATATGAAAATATGTTACCATATTCTAAACTGTAGTCCTTTTGTCTATACTATGGGCGTCCGTCAATCTGACACCGTTGGATGCAACGTGTTGGACGGGCGGGTAGCGCTCTTAGCGAAGGGGTGCATTCTGTCCTGCCGTTACGACGTCCAGGCGGGGTGGGTGGTATGTAGCGTCGGGCGCAAGTCCAGGGGGCCTAAGAACCTCCGTTGCCAACTGATATTAGCAGTGCACCATGTTTTATGTCATAGTTGCTCAATTTTGCTTTTCTGTATTTGCTCTTCAAGCTTTATACTTGCAAAGTCGAGTCACTTTTATTAAAAATAAAACCCCCTGGGGGGGGGGGGGGGCAGCCCATATACTAAATCGGAGCCGTGAAATTTCGCCGATATTCTTACTTTTAATAAAGTGAGAATATCATCTTTAGTTTTTGCTAATCATACGTTTTAGCTTAGGCATTTCAGCACACATGAAGAAAACTGGTAGGTGAAAATACCTTTGGCCTTGTTCATTTTTATGCCCAAAGCTCATTCGGGTACTTAGATGTACTCGCGTGGGTGGAGGGCGGTGAGCAAGGTTTAGTTTTAAGTGTAATACATTTTGGCGACTGACAAAAGTAGTGAACCAATAGTGAACCACGATAGAAGTTCCACGTGTGTGTGTGTGGTTAGGATGTGGGATTTGTATCGTTTATTAACAATCTTAACTTCCTATAACATTACAAAATACTTATCAAGAATAAATTGAGAAATTTTTACATTAGATAATTCAATAGAATACGAAAATGAAATGTATTACTTTAGCATAATGTTCACTATTATTTGTCAGTCGATTTCAGCAAAAAGGTATGATTTTATTAGAGTGTGAAAGTTGAATTGAACTCGGGTGTCGGAGGCGTCCCGGGACGTTCTCTCTAGGTGTAGGCATTTTTGCACCCGGGTGGTTGTATGAGAACCGTGGAGTGAATTTTTGTGAGAATGATTTTTGCCCTTTTTTAAATATAGCGATAGGCAGGCAGGTAGTTTACTTCTGGTGTGATTGAGTTTAGTTTATAAGTAGGCAGGGCCAGAGCAAGCTTTCATGTTTCTCTTCGTATTCTCCTCTAATACGTGAGAAGCTTGTATCTGGGGTTGGGAAACCAAAAATCAAGAGAAAAGATGAAAATGCAATTTAATTAATTTATCAATTAATTAATTTAGCATTCTCTCTTGATTTTTTCAAGGCCAAGCCTTATTAGTTTGTAAGTCGTAGTCGTGGTACTAGACCCGATTACAAAAATGAAGTATTAAAGTGAAAGTGCAGTGAAGTGAAGTGAAGTGAAATTAAAAAGTGTTTTGTGCTTGGACATTTGCAAAAATTGTGCAGGTATGCGAGTAGCGATTCAAGGGATCGTTGCTCGTTTACGTGTTACGTTTTTACAAATGTCTGAGCAAACGTAAAATTTTCGCGAGTGATTTTTGTGAGGCTATTGCCGAAGAAAGAAGAGGCTATATGCTGAAGAGCCCCGGCAAAATTTGCTCAGAAGAGGGGAACTACTAATGGCTCTCCATCTTCGGATGGACAGTCATTCTGTCACTATGCTCGCTAATTTGTTTTTTCATTTTTTGTGTTTTTCCTTGAACGGTATGAATAATACCGTCCAGGACGTATTGAACTCGACATTTTACGAGTTCAATACCCAGCTCGTTGAATGGTCAACTCGCGATTTTATTTCCCCTATTTCTTTTTCGTTTATTGCTTTATTGAAATAAATTATTTTTTTCTTATTGATTTGCACATCAATTATATTTCATGTTCTTATTTTAATTATGTTCTATTTATTTAAAACCTACCCTGAGATTGTAATGGTAATTATATATTCCGTTTCAGCATTTTTCATTTCAGTTGTAATCGAAATTATGATGTTAATTATATTTTCTATTTCAGCATTTTATTGTTGAATTATTTTTTAATTGTTACTGAAATTATGATGTTAATTATATTTTCTATTTCAGCATTTTATTGTTGAATTGTTATTTTGTTAATTGTTACAGAAATTATGATGTTAATTATATTTTCTGTTTCAGCATTTTATTGTTGAATTGTTATTTTCTCAATTGTTTTTGATATTAGGATGTTAATTTTATTTTCTATTTCAAGATTGTATTGTTTAAATTTTTATTTTATGTTGTCTGTTTTGAATGGTTTCACGTTATTGTATATCTAGTCCTAATAATTATGTTTTTCGTTACAGCATTTTATTGTTAAATTATTATTATTTTCTCAATTGTTTCTGATATTAGGATGTTAATTTTATTTTCTATTTCAAGATTGTATTGTTTAAAGTTTCATTTTACATATGTTGTCTGTTTTGAATGGTTTCACGTTATAGTATATCTAATCCTAATAATTATGTTTTCCGTTACAGCATTTTATTGTTAAATTATTATTATTTTCTCAATTGTTTCTGATATTAGGATGTTAATTTTATTTTCTGTTTCAAGATTGTATTGCTTCAATTTTTATTTTATTTTGTCTGTTTTGAATGGTTTCACGTTCTTATGATTTTAGGGTGGGTCACTAACGTAGCCACCTCCACGTGGTGTGACCTGGTAATTGATATCGTTTTCTAAAGATAACTTTTAGAAAGCGATATCAAGCTAAGAGCTACTATAAAAAGATTTATATATTTTTTAATTGGGAAACAATAGTTTAAATTTAGAAAAGTATTTTCGGGATTGCAATATTACCATATAGAACGTATAACTATAGTAATTTTATAGTTCCTGAAAAAGGAACTTGTATGATTTTTGACTAATTACAAATGACTAATTACCTCCTTCTTTTCGAAGTCGGTTAAAAATAAAATAAAAAGAAAATCACAAAATATGGAATTTAGAAAGAACGAAGTTGTTTGATACGCAATGGTAGAAAGAAATCAATTCTGGCGAAGATATTTGAAGCAGAGACGTTGTACATTGTCCACAGAACACATAATTTCTGCTTTTCATTTGATAGAAATTCGCTACTTTGACTAACAAATATTTTCCTTATAATAATGTTCGAGAGGAATTCATTATTGAATGAAAGTAAAAATTTGTATAATTGGAGGGTGGATGGGATGAGGTAGGGCGGGTCTCGGAACCACAGCAACCTGCTCGTGGTGAGAACTGGGCAATCGTTATTATTTGATGACTAATTAATAACTGTTATTATTTCTATGGTACATTTATTAATTATACAGCAAATGATACGAGCGAATTGGCTGCGAAAATGCTTTGTTTCTATTTAATCGCTGTTATATTTTTTTCAGGAACTATGTCTTTAAGATTCTGAAGTGTACCACATTGCAAATACAATTTTCCGGAAAGAAAATTAATAATAATAAATGCATGGTCAGTATTGTTTAATTATGTACTTATACATATAGCATACATGTGTCATTTAGGTATTTGCAAAAGGTAACGTAGTACAGCATGCCGTTAGTTGGATGCAATAATTCAGGTGGCGCTTAAATCAGTTTCTGTTCAGCTTAATTTTCGATCCAAGATGGTCTGTTTTACCGATGCAAAATACAAGAAAATTTGAGGGAACGGTTATCGATCACAAGTTTAAGTTTACTCCATCTGTAACAATATGATTCAACCCTCAGACATTTATTGAATACTGTTTTATCTATCGTAAGAAAATTACCTTTTGCTGGTAAAGTAATCCGTTTTTTCTTGAAAATTGCAGAATCTCTTCTTTTCTGTATTAGCCGTAAGTAAGTAAGTATACTTACTTACCTTACTTATATACCCTTTACTATCAGATGATACTAGCAGTATATTTTCGAAACATTAAAGTTTATAATTTTCTTTCAACCTACACATTTATTACAAAATTAAGATTTTACAAGCCGGTGAATGTTTTTTCACTTATTTTAATGATTTTTAGTAAGTATAGGACTAAAATTTATGAGCATAGGAATAAAATTTTATTTTATATAAAAATAATAATTAGCATTTTTCTGTTTTCATTTACTTCTTGTTTAATTAGAGGTCATTTATACAATGCTTACAAATCCCGAGCAAAAAAACAATGTTTTAAACGTTCCGAACTGCATAAGGTTACTTTGAAAGCAGTTTAGAGTAGATTGAAGTTTAATCTACAATGTCACCAAAGAAAAAACTGAAAAAATATCGCTATGTATTTCGGTTTTGGTACTCTGTTTTTGGTTTTCATCTATTTCGGTACCAGTCCCTGTTATAAATCACAATTTGTTTCAGAAACTATACCTCCAAATTTCAAAAACTTCAAACTAAATTAAATGGGAGAGGGTTTACAAAAAACGCAGTGAAACAATTTTTGTCAAGTTTCGTCAATTTTATTACGAAACAATGTTTATTACGAAACAATGTTTATTAAAACTCGTCCACATCTTGCAACGAGTATATGTAAGACTTTATATACATAGAGATATCTGTATAAAATTCATAATATCAACTTCTATAAAATGGATCATATCTTCAGTGTAAAGAATTCGTAAAATCTTATCCTCTCTGCGATACAAATGATCATCACGATGCTTCTGCCTCTGTTGGAATGATTTCTTCTTCTTCTTCTTCTTCTTCTTCTTCGTCAACTTCTGCTGCGGTTGAAAACGCTTGCACCTTCTCCAAGGCGTATCGAAGACCTTTCATTAATTGATTTTCAGTGGAAGTTTTCAAACAAGTTCTATTTAACGTGACGACTTTGTTTTTGATGTCGTTTAATCTAAATGATAATTTCTGTAGCTCATCCTCCATTCTTAATGTTTCTTGCGTTTCTACGTTTAACAAGGCTTTGTTGCTCAACAATCTTTCTTTGAGCTTGAAATTAGACTGAATTATACTAAAGAGTTGTGACTCTAAATCACACAATTTATCTCTTCGGGAATTATTTTTGTTTGATGGTACCTCAGTATCCATTGTTTTTGTCTGAACTACTCTTCCCTCGAATCGAACAGTTTTCAATCGACGATTTTGCGAGGAACGTCTGTTCCTTTTATCCTGAAAATTAAATTTTTACTAACATTAATTACAATATATAATCATGTTTCATAATTAAGTTTCATTAAAAGAAAAAAAAATATTTACCGATCGATTTATTGAATATTTTTCGTTTCCCTTCGAGGAATGACAAGTTTGATTTGGGAACATTTTGTTTCTTGGATATTCCCAATAAAATTTCTTCTTCAACGTCGTACTTTCTATAGCTTCTCGTTTTCTTTTTAACATCCTGAATATCATTTGAAGACTGTTGATAGGTATCTGATTTTCAGTGAGATCCATCCTTGTGATCGAAGTATTTGATTGCAAAAACCTGATGATAATTTCTCCGCCATGTTTCGTAATACCACAATGTTTCAGATTTAAAGATTTTAACCAGAAATCGGTTTTCAAAGCGTGCATTAATTGCCGGATGCCGTTATCACCGAATTTTGGATTTTTGTTTAAGATCAGTATACGTAAACCTTGGAACTGAAAAATAAAGAAACTATTAATAAAATTCAGGAGAATTATGTAAAATGAATACTTCAGAAACAAGTCTCACCTTATTGCAAGAGTTTTCCTCGCAGGATCGTAGAGAGGACTTTTCCCACACATTTTGCAATAAATCAGCTTTCTTCCTCTTCAAGAACAAAGACAAAAATGTCGCGCTTCTGTTCGTCAATCTACAGGAAGACAGATTTAGAGAGCAGAGGTTTGGGACGTTCCTTAAACATCCTAGCAGCAAATTGCAACCTGAATCAAAAAGTAAGAAAAAATTAAGCATACCAATAAAATAGCACACTAAAATTATTTCTAACATATAAGTAAGACAAATTAAAAAAAAATGATATGTTAACCAGTTATCAAACTAACAATAATAAATATTGTTATTGAACAAGATTACAATGAAGAAAGAAAGTCAAAGTCTTCTTATTTCGTTAGAATATTAGAGAAAATGAAATATTTACCATAGTCACCGATGCGACATTTTGTTAGCGTTAGATTCCTGAGCTTCTCGTTGTTCTTCAGACCACAGCACAGGATATTCAAATACTTGGGCGTCAAGGGGATACCATCCAGGGTGATGGAGGTGATGGTTGAAGAATCTCGGGCGTAAACGGCGATGGAATCCACCAAACACCGCAATAGGAAGTTCGTGAACAGGACTGGACGTACTCGATCCTTTCTTCCGCATCGCCTGGACGTGCGATCATAATTCTATTTTGGGATCTAATCATCTCTTTTTTTAATTTTCATATCGTCCTTCGTCTCCATCTATGGCTCTCCTTGCATCGTCAATTCCTTCCTTTGGAACTCTCTTTCATTCCTTTTCCGCTCTCTCTTTCTCTCTCTCATCTTTGTCTTTCTGTTTCCTTCTGCATTCAACCCTTTACATCTCGTCTCGTCGGTCCAGGCGATGCGACCTGCAAGCTTAAACTCACTGAGAGTAGTATCCGAAAGGCACAACATTTCTTTTGTGTTACAAATTTTGGTTAATTAAGCATTGAAAGTGATCGTTAATTGAACCTTTGTGTAGCAGTTTTGCTTAAAGTGAACAGAAATTAGGAATAGAGTATCGAAAGTGGGGTCTAAAGGCTAATAATTTAAGTTTGTACAGATTTATGGATTTTGATTGAACCATTAAAATATTTGTACAAGTTTGTAAATTTTTAGTAATATTAAAACTATAACTACAAATTCTAGACATCAAACATTGAAAGAGAGATCTAAAGATTGTAATAATTATTTTTACATATTTATTGATTATGACTGAGATGTCAAAAAGGCGAATGAAAGATCTAAAGATTTAATTTTGTAGAAATTTGTAAATTTTGATTGAAAATAAAATTGAAATTACAAACTCTATGTAAAGAAGATTGAGTAAAGGGTTTGAGGGCTATAATACATTTTATATAAATTAACATTGATTGTAATACTGAAAAGAGTAAAGGTCTAATAATTTTATAGAAATCTGTAAATTTTAATTAAAATTAGAAGTGAAATTGAAAATTTTAGATATAAAATATTGCGTAAGAGGTCTAAAGGGTCCAGTAATTTAACATTAGAAAAATCACAAGTTCTAGAAATGAAATACATAAGAATTAAGTTGCAATATTCAAGCCAGAATAGATATCATTTGCATAGAAATTTTCGTGCAAGAGATAACATCCAAAAAGACAAGATAAAAACAATTAAGGAGACAGTCTAATTATGCTACACAAAAGGTTTATGAAATCAGAACCAAGCAAAAAGGTCTACAAAGTTTAAGCTTGATGAAGCAACAAATCAAACACTCTCGCCCTAATTAAAATTCTGATGAATTATCTAAATTCATGTACCTTATCCAGTCACTCGGATCTTTATATTATTCGACAAGCCTCATGATAAGAATAAATTATTTCACTTGGCGTCAGTTTCGTAACAGTCATTGTTTGCCAGTTTATGCAAAATTAAAATTACGTATTCACGTTCATTCAAAAGTCTTGGCTCTATTACCAGAATTTCTCGAGCTTCTCTTCCGTATTAATTTTCTCTTGTACCTTTTTCCGCTTGTTTCGACTATAGATATAAATTTTCGACAAGCTTCGATTCTCAGCAATGGCACAAAGTATCGGGGACCAATCTTTGAGGGCCACACGATCGACAGAAAATCGCAAACATTCCTCTGGCAAATAGGCCTGTACAGCAGCTAATGGTTTCACGCATTTCTCGTTACAGAGAACCTTGTTTGGAATATCAACATTACGGTAGGCAAGTCACTTTTAAGGAAATATTTATTCTTTAAAATTGTAATTATTATTAACAATTTCTAAAGAATGGAATGAAAGATCAGTGGAATGGGGATCTAATTTACAATTTTGGATAATCAACTTTTACTAGTTCCACTTTTCCACCTCCTTATACATCAAAACTTTATTATCCTATATGTCAATTATTATTTTTTTAATAATATTCTTTTTTTTAAACCCATCAATACAAGTAAATAAATGTTTTATTTGTGTTTCTTTATATTTTTAATAATAAATCGTAAGTAACAAAAAATTGCTAATAATACTGACAGTGGTAATTAAAATGATGTACTTTGTTAGCGAACCTTGTATAACCAAGCAAAATGTCCACGATTCGTTCTTCTCACCTCTCTGCTATTTTGCATAATGATAAATTTGATATACTATCTTGATCAATCTCTTGATTTATCATCGTACAATTTTACTGTTCGTTGGACATTAATTAAACGATTCAAATGTTCGTAATAATGATGGTGTTTGAAAAGTAACTTCTCTGTAAAGGTTCATAAAAAATACATACATATCGTTTTCAAAAATATTGAACATTTGACTGTTAAATTTGTCACTTCATATGCAACTTCATATCACTGAAAAAGGAATTACTATTCCTGGAACATGAAAAGATTCTTAAAGGGGTAGGTTACAGCGAAGATTCATTCGCATTCTACTATGTGCTTAATTTTATACTAATTAGTATTAAATATTTACACAAAGTGCAAAGTAGATTTCTATTTTATACATATGGTTATTTAAAATTGGATTAAATTGAACTTACTGTCTTATATGTTATTTTATTACTGTTTCTTAAATTCCGAAACGAATGGTCTTTATATACATTTATTCTATAAGTCAATAATAATGTTTGCATTTTTAGTTTTAATCTGACCATCCAGATGTGCTGTCTTTGTTTTTAGTTTATTTAGTGTTTATACTGAATATTTCTACTTTCATGACCGCATTAACTGCATCCAATACTAACATGTACCTCTTAAAATTTAATTATTATTCAAAGCATATCCTGTGAAGTCAAAAAGTGATCATACGTGCACCTATTTAAGCATAAGTCTTAATGTAGTAACAATGATAAGTAAATGGAACTTACTCTTCAAAATGGGGGAAAATGTACCAATTTACTAACACCAATTTTTTCTTTATAATTTCTTGGTAATAATGTGCTATTGTAATGACTGTGTTTTTTAAAATCTTTTTAGTTTAAATAATTTAGGATAAAGGATACATTACTGTAACTTCTTTTTTAATTTCAGCAACACTCTCCAAAATGCACACATCAATCTTTTTCTTTCGAACGAGTAAAATACAAATTGACACATATTTATATTTCAACAACAGAATCATTAAAATACACACAGTTTTAACCATTTTCTTTCCTTCCGTACGATTAGGTACTATTACATATTATCCAAATGCATGCAATTTTAATCCTTTCCTTTCGAAATATCAAAATATAGAATGACTTACGGATTTAGACTTCCTTTCTAATTTCAGCCACAGAATCACCAAAATCTACAAAACTTCAATTTTTTCCTTCGAACTAGTAAGATACAAAATATGACTTACATATTCAGACCTCCTTTTTAACCTCAGCAACCATGCCTCCGAAATCTACAAAACTTTGATCTTCCCCTTTCGACTAAACAAGATGTAAGGTGACTTACGTATTTGGACTTCCTGTTTAATTTCAGCGACAGTGTCTCCAAAATCCACCCAACTTTAATTCTGTTCTTTCAAGCGAATATAAGACATAAAATGACTCACTTATTTATAATTCCTTTTTAATTTCGGCAACAAAATCATCACAATGCATAGGTACAACTTAGCTCTTTCTTTCAAACAGTTAAGATATGACATACTTGTTCAGTGTCTCTTTTTTATTTCAGCAACAGTCACAAAAATGCACACAATTTTAATTTTTTATCAAATATTTAATTTCGACAACAACATAACTAAATTACACTCAACTTTGATCTTTTCCTTTCGAACAAATAGAACATAAAATAACTCACTTATTTGGATTTCGTTTTTAATTCCAGCAACAGTCTCCAACATCCACATTTAAAAAATTTTTTTCGAACAAACAAAATGTAAGACGACTTACTTATTTTGACTTCCTTTTTACTCTCAGCAACAGAGTCACCAAACTGCACACAACATTAATCTTTCTCTTTTGAATGAACAAAATATGAGATGACTTACTTATTTAAGCATCCTGTTTAATTTCAGCAGTGGTATTACCCAAATGCGTATAATTTTAATCCTTTTCTCCTCTTTCGTAAAGATTGATCCTAGATGTTTTGAACCATTTACTTGAAGACCACATGTCATGTGTCAAATACCTGTTTCAGGACTACGTTCTAAAGATCTATGAATTTTTCATTTGCTTCGCTTTTTAAATGAAAATAATGGATAAAAAATTAAAATCATATTCTCTGCTTTTCTAAAAAAAAATATATTATTCGTGATTTATATATAAGACTAATAAAGAATTAAATAATAAAAAATATTTCTTACTTAGCTTTATTTTATTTTAAGTATTTTAGTGTATATTTTGACATTATATTATATTAATATTATTGTATTTTGTTCACTCTTCATTGATATTTATGTTCAATCTTCAAATAGTTAATCATCATCGTGCTCTTAATTCTTCATTATTCTTAAGAATATTTTCGATATATTTTAATTTATCATAGGGGATTATAATAATTTATTAATTTTATAAATATTTCAAGACATTTGAAATCAGTAAATTTAAAAACCAATTCAACTTATACATAATTTAGTATATTATTTAACATTTTAATACCGTGGGTCAATATTTTATTGTAGGGTAGGTTTGTAGAAATTTCATATTTAATTAACAATTCCATGGGTCATCGAACCTATCCAATTTCAAATTTAACTTTCTTTCCATAAGTACTATGTTTTGAAATATTTCTTTTTAATAGTTCAACGTGTTTAAACTTTATGTTTAATCCTTCAGTACTTCACATTTTTTAAGAGTAAATTATTTCAAAATTTGAAATGATGTAATATAAAGTGAAAGCGTAAGGGAGGAGAACCAGGAAAGAATAATTAATAAGGAAAGAATTTACTTGGAATACTTTTCGCTGCATCGGTGCATCCGTGCATCGGTGCATTTAATAGGAGAATAATTGGGATGGCATGTGCAAGATACAGTTCCACGTGAGGTGCAACGAGTGAAACAATGGTGTACAATGAGCTCACAAGTAAAGATAATTTCCGTCAAGGAAACTTTTAAAGCATCTCTAGACAAATAATCGCTTTTGTGCAACCGCGGGCCTGTTTAAGCTCTATGCAAACTCGCAATAACAACTGTTAGATCATTCTGCTTACTATTTGCCAGGTGCAAATTCTAGATACCTAACTGTCTTCTATTCGACTATCAACGTTACAATGTATTTTCGATGAAAAACTGTTTCTTTCTTTTAGTCTTAATTCATTGGTTTATTCTGATGAAATTCAAATTCATTAATTTTTAAGAATTAAGGACATTTTACAGCACTTTCAATTTTAAACCTTGAGTTATAGAAAAAATTGTTTTCTATTACTTTTTATGTATCTTCTTATTTTATTTTTATAGAGTATTTGGAGAGTTTTAGAGTACGATTTAAATTTTACACTTTAATTAACAGGGGTGTGTAAATTTCTCAATTGCTTAAGTCTCTTTTTTGTTTTTCATGTCTTGTCTTACGTGTAAAGTATACTTGTTCGCAATGGAAGGGAAGATTTCACTGTTTTCTCTGACAAGTGTTGAAATAATTTGCCTCCAGAATTTTGTATCTTTTACCAAATTACCCAGGTCGTAATGTGCAATTGCTGTTCATCATTCAAAGAACGTAAGACATTATTAGCCTTTCACATCGACTAATACTCTCAAGGAGAATCTGTTTAATGTTTCGTAACATGTCTGTTCATTCTATCTGCAAACCTATCACATGTTATTGCATACTATCTGCCTCTGTTACATCTTCATTCGTTAAAAATGTAGCTTCCTTCAAGAAAACTATCAATTAATATAAAAACAAGCTTCGTTTTATTACTTGTTTCAATCAATCATTCAATTAACTCTGGCTGCCGCTTTTATGATTTCAATTTAAAACGCCTGTTCAGTAGGTTTTTTATTATTTCACATGTTAAGAAATTAACGATTCAATGAAACTTTTAAATCACTTGTTTGAATGTCTGGTATACATTTTAGTTTGATATATAAAATATCATTTTTTTTTATTGCATGAGGTACCTGAAGTTTCGTAATTTTTTTTTTCAAAATTAATCCAAATAATTGGTCTCCTGTATCGCTTTTTAGGCTGTTGCCATCATTAATTTCATTAATGGACCTACGTTAATTTTCGGAGTTGGCACGATATAATTTGCTAAATGACCTACACATTATTTCTCAAGATATTATCGTCATTAATTTGTCGAGGCATTAATTAATCTTTATCATATCAGTATGATCAAGATAATTAAACAATTTGCATTTTTCTATTTTGAATATTTTTTTCAACTATACTGAATTTTATTGGATATCTTGTATCAATTCTTCAATGTGTCATCACGATCAACTCAGTTGAACGATCTATGCACTTTTATTCTTCAAGTCTCCTATTTCAATTTTACCAGCAATCGTTGTACAAATGTTCAAATTAATAATCACGATCAATTTTCCCTTAAATAGAATTTTGAAAAAATGATTTTGTTTAAATATTCGTAACATACCTTCCTGCCTATCAGGCCGAGGTTGAATAACAAGAACGGTGTCCACATCACGTAACGCTATCGTGCCCTGAACGAATAATCTACACATCAACGTGCTCTGCCGAGAGTGCAAATAAAATATTTGGCTAGGTGCTCGGAAGAAGGAGGGGTGGTGGTATCCCAACGATCTGTTGTCTCTTCCCTACGACTCGTCCTCGTGGAATCGCAAACTTTAGTCAGTGAATTCGAGGCCACCATGCGGTATACAACTGAGTCTAACATTAAAAACAACGCGCACATCTTAACACTTTGTCGTTTAACAATGAATCCGTCTATCGTTCGTTCTTTATCATACACATCAGTGAAAAAAATCATTTTATCGACAGTCATTCTTTGAACAATTTCAATACAGTGATTTCTCTGTGAAATTTCTCTGTTACAATCGAAAATCTCAAATAACTTTAGAACGTTTTAAAGTTGTTTACGACACCCCGTATTCTGATTGCCTCGCGAGTGTAATTGACCAGAGGCAATAATTGTTCAAGGAATAGGCGACCTCGGGGCTCCAAATGTCTCTACAAAGATACTGACCGATGTTGAAATCTCAAACAGGATCGTGCGCTACCGATTTCACAACTTGAACCATTTCCAAACGGGATCGCGATCGGTCATTGATTGTCGCGTGACAAACAATCACGATACCATTCGTCGATTCGTCGTTAGTGTCTTACCTCTCTGGGGAATGAAATGTAAATTTCCGTGGGACGTGTTTACATTTAAACGAACCGTAATCTCGGATACGTTGTTCAAGGTGATCAGAGAAATTACGCGTAAACCGATTTCGCGAGATCGACCGAAGACTCGCGGTTCCTCGAGATTCACACGGGAAACTTGCGCGAATTCATGGTCTGTGATAAGATAAAGTGCATAGGAAGAGAAGAGGAACTTGGTGGACTTGTGTGTGTCCTTGTGCAACTTTGGATCTGGCCTTCGTGCAGTATGGTTCAGTGTCAAGCTAATACGAATGGATGACTTTTGTACTTTCCGGAAGTACATAATTCCTGCTATATTTTGCACGATGACATAATCGGTTGGAATTTTGATTAAATGATCGTTTAGAATGTTGATAAGCAGGGACTCTACTTCTTAAATAATTATCGAATTTGGAACTTGCGATTCAATTTTAGAGATATTGTCATTGTTATTGTTGACATGTCTAGACTTAATTATTTTTATTATAATATCTATAATTTTAAATAGATCTGATCAATTTCTTAATATTTCACAAGCTTATTGAACTTTATCACACCTGACTAGACTTTGCTAGAGATCCTTGCGTTTAATTTCAATTTACTAAGAGACTAGTATTTCTAGTTCTCAGGGCATCATCATTAAGTTCTTTGCAATTAACCTCTTCAACTCTATTAATATTAACTTTAAAAATAGAATTATGCAAAAAAATCAAAAACCCCATATTAGTATTCCAACCTTCCTTTAATGTCCACAGGATATAATCGTACTTTTTTATTAACCTTCTCAGCTACTTTAATGTCCAAGATATAATTATAGAAAAAAAGAAATCTGCATATATTATTCTCTCGTGCTTCTGTGTTTATGTTTCTATCATTTTTGCTGATTAAGTGCAGTTACAAAAAACAAATCGACATCGCAATTTCAGTGATAAATTGGAACTAAAACTAAAAAGTTCACACCTTTGTGCATCTGTGACATTCTAATCAGTGTTAAACAGTGTTTAAAGAATCAAATGCTCGAATTATGTGAGAAACTGTTCTGCACTCTAACTTTGATCACGTGAATGTCATCAAAGAAACATGGAAATCGGGATCACCTTGCACACGTTTTTATGGTAGGTACTCTAAGTGTATCTTGATCGATTTACGAACATGCTCCTCTCATCGTGTTTTTCAATATTCAACGGAACTGTTAACCCTCATGAATATTTATAAGCACGCGTTATAGCCTGTCACTCTTCCTCAACGTTTCCTGCACTAACAGCATCATCGTCGTTGAGGAACTCGTTTTAATGACATTGAACAGGGACGTTCAACCTCTTCGTATTTTGAAATCTTAATGTTTTTTTAATTAATTATATGCATCGGGATGTATTGCCAATTCTATTCGAGACACTATAATATATATTAATTTTGTTGCATCAAATGATACGTCAAGACACTCGTGACTAATGACGCATCGTTTGCGTCTTACGTTATCTCTGGTAAAAAAAAAAAATTCTATACTCAGAAAATATGGTATAAATGGTAGGATTCTTTTCTAGGATCTTCTGAAGAAGGTCTCAACAATGTGGAAGAGGATTGAAGGATCTTGCGCGAAGTGAGATTCTGCTTCAAGAATGGGATGCAAGCCCAGCATGTTGGAGTGCATGGGGGACAAAAGGGACACGGATAAGAGGAAACAATCGGATTCGTTGGATCAAGGATCTCTAGTCGACATAGGTAATTTCACGTTTCTCTTCAAGGACTTGCAACTATAGTGTGCGCTCTGTACCCGTGGATCTTGAACTATTTAGAATTATCTGACATCTTATTTCAAGTTTTACTTTTTTGTTATTTTTGTTCGTTATACTTGTACTTTGAAACAATGACTGTGCTGTACTTTAATTTTTTATTTTCTAATTAAATTCACTCTTACAAGTTTCTATAACCGACTTCTATCAACCATAAATTTTGTTAGATCAAATCACTTTCAATTTCAAGATGAAAGAGTGGCTGCCATAAAATTTCATTACTTTTTTTATTAAATTAATTATTTTAAGTTCAATCGTTAACTTTTGCCAAATTAAATCATTTTTTCAATAGTTTTATCAATTTCATGGGGATAGAATCATGGGGATAGAAGGACGTCTCCGACTACGAGGGCGTATACAATCGATCAACAAAAATAATTTGCAATGTGCTGGGGGCATTTCTGCGTCATTGATGCGTACGCCTTTCGCAAAAGTATACTTCGAGCGAATGGCGATTCGCCTTGACCTAGTCTCTACATTGACCACACCGTATTCTTGTCTGGAAGCTAAGATCGAGATGAGAATTAATCAGCCTCGGTACATGGTTTCACAAAGCTGTTTGCACCGTTTTCTTAACTTTCGACAAGGAGGAAGGGTCAAACTTCTGTCGTAAATCATTGTCATTCAGTGACTGTAGCGTTAGAAATGGGCTACCATTAGAGATCCATTTGAATTTGTCTGCGTATTCTTAAACAGGGCACAGAGACAGAGAAGTGTTTGCTTTGTCTATTTTTTAATTGAATAATTGCTTAAAAATAAAATTGAAAACGTAATCATTGGAGGTGTTACACACCAGCCATTTTCGATTTTCAACTCAAAAAACATTTTCAAAAGGGCACAGTATTATCGGCAATATTCTACTTCAACCTCACCTCAATTGTACTTTATCACACTCTCTTCTTATTTCTACATTTTTTACTTCTTAAACACAAATGTATTAACATCACAATTCAACTCGAAACAAAAAACTCAACGACATTGCGCATATTTCCTTTTCAATTATTATTTCTCATAAATACATGACATTCAATATAATTTCAACACTTCATTCTTTTTTTTTTTAATTCTCGCATCGCATTAAAAGCATCTCGGTTTAAATGTCTTTTGAAAGGAATATAATTTGCCATTCAACGAGTTTATTGGTAAGCAAGAATGCCACGGGCACAAGGGTACAATGCCGAAACGCTATATTGATTCTTTGATAAGGCCACGGTATGTTTGGGTCGATGGTTATGAATGCAAATCAGACACAGATAATGCCGGATGGCAATTCCATTCGGACCTTCGCGAACGTGCAAGCAAATTAGTTGCTCAATTCGATTCGTTATTCCTCCTGCGTCCACCATTCTCAATAACAGTAACAATTGAAATTCTGCAATATTGTGAATCGACAATTTTTATGACGATTGTTGCTTGAAAATTTAACCAGTGGACAGAACACAGTGATTATTTACATGTTTAAGAGAAAATCGTGCTTTCAGGGTAGAAAATACATAGAAAAGAAAAATGTTAGTGTTTCCAATGCTTTGCTTGTCTTACTTCGCTGCTATGCTTTTATTATTGCAATAGTTCCAAGCGTGATTCAAGGAGCAGAAATTAGAATATTTGTAGCTCACACTTACAAAAGCTTTATATCTTATGCTTCGTTTAATGTTTCATTTTTCTATTCATTAGCAAGACTGAACGGTATAAAGCTTTATACATGGAGCTGATCAATATAAAGTATGCTACGCTCATTGAATAAGATAAATGCAAATACAGCATAGGGAAACATTTTATATAAAAGTGACACATAATTGTTATTGCGATTAGAAAATATATACTTGACTCAATTTAATTATTGAATTTGTATAACCATTCCTCATCCTTATGCAAGTACATTTTTATACAAAATTTTCTATTTTTAATATTGATCCTTAATGATCTTGTAATTACTTCATTGTAAAATCATGTAATTTATTCAGAACGAAGAGAAAAATGTTGGTGAATCTATAATCGTTCAATAATTTCTTCCAAGTATTCAAGTATTTCATTTTCTAATGATCCGTATGAATTAAGCAGAATATTTCTAGATATATTGCAACACCATTTTCATTTCTATGCAACAACAGTCCATTAGCGGGCACCTTTGATCTCAAACACAAGTTTCATTAACCTTATTCTTATCAACTGATTCAACAAGCAGTTTACTACAAAATTACACATTCTACAGGCAATTCAAAACAAAATTCTGAACTATGATCAACAATTACTAACATATCTTGAATCCTGAAACAATGAACAAGTTCTCAAATTCCAAATACACTTCACTGCTAGACAAAGCCAATCATCTTTAAGTAACATTTATTCAAACAAACAAGCAGAAATATTTCAATCAAGTATTTTTAACAGCCATAAAAACATTGTTACTAAGAGTACATTAATTTTCAGTAATTCTTCCTGAATAAAATATTTTTTATTGAACTACTGTTACTTCCGTCACCTTTTTCTTATCAACACTAATTGCTGAATTTTATTCTATATTAAGCTTTTACTAATTCTGCCTCGTTAAGATTTTTTTACAGCTATTACAATTCACTGCTGGCTAAAAAAAATTATTTGCATTCAAATCAATTTATCACTATTAATTACTGATTTTTTTTCGCACAAAACTTCTTTCAAACAGGTTCGTATTTAATAAACGTGTACGGCTATTGTACAGTGGAGTTTCTCCGACCACCCTGAGGCCACTCACTTCGCGAGTAGAATTTCAATCCGAAGAATTTACTTGTACTGGTCAGTCGTTGTCTTTGAGTCGCTTGCTACGTGTCGTACACGCTTCGAACGCGCCGATTCTTTTCTTCACGCGTGCTTCTACCAGTGATTTCAATGCTTGGATACGCGTGTCACTCGCCTAGAGAGCCGATTAGTCTTGTTTTTTCTTGAAAGTGATTCGAATCATTGACATGGACGAAGTGATTAGAAAAATTGTATTAGGTCGAAATACAGACGATTTCGAAAGACTTGCTAAAGTGTATCGACAGTCTGATTTTGTGTTATGGTACGGTGAAAGTTTCTTTCCTTTGATCTCCGATGTGAACGATCGAGAAGTGACGGTGGTATCGATTTGCTAATTTTTTGTTTTGAATCTGATTTTAGGAAATCTTTTACTAAATAATTACTAAATACTGTACTCTTGGGGTTGATAATTTTTTTTTTTAATATTTCTATTAACATTCTGAAGCTCTGACTTGTCTAAACAAAGTTTCTACAAAATTTTTTATGCTTATTGTTCCATTAATTGCAAGTACATTTTAATGAATAATTAATATAGATTCTGAGTAAAGTGAAAGCACGATAAACAAAATTTCAATGTGCATCTACGATATTGTGAAGTTATCAAGTTATAAATTCATATGGCATCTCCTTCGAATGAATATTTCTTCGCAAATGACAATGAAGAAACTCTGGATGACCTATTATTTAACATCGGTATGTAAACATCACATTAAACCATTAAAATAAACTTTTTATCAATTTCTTCCCTTTTTGGTGATTAATAAAAAAAATACTCTATGTATAATTTCGAATATTTTATCTAAATTTTCAGAATTTATTTTTAAAACTGTGGTAGTTTCATAAGATCCACAATTATTTTATCTTCTTGATTTCTCTTTTCTACTTCCAAATAAAAAAAAAAAACACATGCTCATTCGAATAATGAAGGTGTTTGCTTTTACTAAACATCGTGGGCCGCTACGTTCAAGCGTAAAAAAATGCAATAATAAGTTGATTACCAGGGACACGAAGAGGGCAGAACTGGAAATTGACACTGAAACGATTGGTCGTAAATGCCGGTTGCAGAATCAAGCACACTTCTCCAGAGACACTATACTGTATACATACACATTTTGGTTAAAATAGTCTTATTTTTTTCCAACAGAGTTGCTCGCTATGTCCAATTGAGGTGCCCTACTTTCGGTCAATTATCTTTTAAAACTCTGATCCATTCGAATCACACGGTAAATGCTGAATAATCTTACCGTAAAAGGTGAAGATAAGTTTTTACATTCGACCTCGCTCACCCACCCTTGTACAGCTTAATCATTTTTATGATATCACTTGATCCATTCCATCCACACCAATTATCCAATTAAAGGCATCGGTAAACAAACAATTGATTCATCACGTAAAAATTCTATACAATTAATGGTTATGCAGGGACACATCTGATAAATTGTTTCAACGAGTTCGTTCAAAAATAGAAATTGAAAATAATCATTATTTCGCAACCTAGTTTTAATTAAACCAATGACACACAATTTTCTCATGGTAATTCGTACGTAATCTGATTGTTAACAAGGCTTATTGCAATTCAAGATGTTAATTACTTGATTAATCATTGAATTGATTGATAAAAAGCTTCGTCAATGAAAACAACATACGAGGAGTGCATAGTTTTAAAAATATCTATGTGCAAATCATTGTAACATTAAATTTTCATGATATTTCAATTTGTATTGTATACTGAAAATTATTGCAAAACTTTCTTTTTCTCTTCAAGAAAAATCGGAATACGACATTTTGGAAAAGCCGCCGTTTAAAGACGTCTCAACTGGAGATGAAGATGCGGATTATTCTATGGTGGTAAGTAGAACTGTTTGTCTTATTTTTTATAATTTTTAATTTTCATTTTAATACTCAATAAACTGTGCTGTTTATTCGTCAAATCAACAAAATCATTAAATACACATTGTGATAATGAAGCCGGTATCCTGATTTTTATTGTAATATTGTATAGAATGCAATACTGTAACGATAAATGACGTTAAAATATTTTTGCTGTGTCGATATCTCCATTGCTCCAATCAGAGATAACATCGAACAAAATGTTCCACTTCTTATTTTTAATAATCAACAAGTGGCAATTGAATCTACGCATTTGTTACTACATACTACTTCTTATAAGATTATGTTATTGTGTCATAGTCATATGATTTCTGTATAAAATAATATATGTGTAATTGTAACTATCTACTAACAGTAAGTCATGTCTTCCTAAACTTCCTTTCATCATTTCCTTTTATTTTACAATCTTTTCTGTATCGTCTTTTATATTATTGAAATCTACTCTCTATTCTTTTGCTTTAACTGATTTTCAAAACCGTGGCTTTTAACTATTTCTATCTAAACTGTAGCCACTGTCACCCCACATTTCTTGTATTCTTTTTTTTAATGCAATCGAAATGTTTTCAAGTATATTTTCAATATATAAAAGCTCTTCATTTAAAATGGTTAATGTTTAATTTTTATCAATATTATGTTGTATACATTTCACGCGTATAGATCAGAAAGGGTTGTAAAAATTTCTATCAAATTCAAAGTCCCTTTATCGATTACTAAGGACAAGAGAAGGGGAAAATACATGGGATATCGTGTAGCAGCAGGTGAAAAAGAAATTGGTAAAAAATTGAAACACAAACTCTCCCATATCAGACTTTCCTTTCTCACGAGGCTTCAACCAGCAATTAACCCTTTCCTGCAATAACGTGATCGGCTTTTGTTCGAAACACCTGTTTAATACGCAGAATGTCGCGTGTTCTCGTGAAAATTACATCAAACATTCTCATGGAACTTTCAAAGGGTGAAACAAAACATCGCCGCGTACGATACGACAAACTAACAGCCTCTTAAATATTTCATTAACACATTAAGCTTCGATTGCCAAGCATTGAATGCATCGCGTGAATTATTAATGCGCCTAGCCCTTTCCTCTCTCGCAATGCACAGTCGTTGGTCCGAGCTTCTCGTGCTGCTACGTCGAAAGCTCCTCCATAGGCAGGGTATAAGCTGTCTATAGATGAGCTATAGACAATCAACAGCAGCCAGGAAAGCCGAACAAGCTGACAGTTGGAACTGACATCTTGCACAATCTCGTCATGAAACGAAAGGGGTCTCAGGATGAGAGATCCTTTGCTCTGCTTTCGAAAGAACCTTGGAATCGCACAGGTATTTACGTGGTATTTTTTTCGAAATAACCAGCACGTGTTTCTCTTTCGCAAGAACTTGAAGGCTCGAGGATTAGTGTTTCTTTTTGAAGAATTTGTGATGTAAGGTGTTGATTGAGCGCTTTTTCTTGTAATAGAAACATCGAAGGTGATGTTTTCTTTTTGATACGGGAGAAATTCTGTAATGCCACGTGTTGTAATCGAGCTTTTTTTTTTCGACAAGAACTTTTAAATTGCATTTTTTCGGGGAACTTATCTCTGTTTGGTTTAATCGTTTTTTGTCGAGCGTGTTAAATGCGGCACCAGTTCAGTCTGTAGAACTTTAAGGGGATAATTTGTCCGTCTGGAAACTTTGTCACGGTTCGGGGCAGCAGTTCTTTCGGCAACAATTATCGAGCGTTTAGGAAAAGGGGTAATTTTTTAATCTTTTTGGTAGCACTCCGATTTGGTATGAACTATTGTACCCTCAGTTGTGTCGCGTATACTTTCAATTTCATTGGGGCTTCGTTGATTACACATCTTATTATGGATCCTGCGAATATAACGTCTAAGAAGTGATATCGTTATAAAAAAATTCTGATATACAATCATTTATTTATAATCGATTGTCCGTTACGTGCACTCATTTTATCTATCGGCTGTTTATACAATACACTATCGATAATTTGCACCGAAGACGCTTTAGTTCTCCGGAGAAGTTTCCTTATCAAAGATAGACGTGCTTCTGGCTCCCCTGATAGTGCAAAAAAGGATAATCTCGATGACGACGGGCTCAGTATCGCGATGAACGTTTTCTGTGAACGTGTTTTTCAATCTGATTTTCTCTAACAGTACCGTCATCCTTCAAAATCATCAATATCATTTCTTTTCAACGGTGAAAGTGAATATTGTAAACGAACGAGGACACTTGGTCAATCGAACTAGATCTTTGACCACTGAAGTATTCCAAAAAATTCCAGACTCGATGTAATTGGTTGATTTTCTATTGAATTATGGGTTGTTCATCGTTGCGTGTTGATCAGTGGTTCGTTTAATTAACGTTTTCACGGACGAGAATGAACGAGACAAGGCGATCGACACAGATGGCGATCTACGTTTGTCGATCGGTCAACGATACGGAGATCCATAGAGAGCCGTCTAGATCTTGGTACAGATGGATCTTTGATGCACTATGTGGCAGGGTGGAGAAAAAATGGGATGCGAACAAAAGCAGAATATTGAGCGTGAACGAAATGCCTCCGTCTCTTGTGCCACCACCAGATGCAACTAAGGTATTTCAGAAAAGCTGTGTGGAAAAAATTGGTCAAATTTTACACGATAATGAATACTAATAATTGAGTTACTTTTTTAGAGTTCATAGGTATTGTTTCTTTGTCAATTGTTCTTGTTCTGGGCGAAATAAATGATAGATCGATCTGGAATTACTTTTATTGCGGTCAAGGGGATGTACATGTTCAATCTTGTGTATTACAGAGAATTCTTAGAGTTTTTCATTTGTTAATGATATAGCAAAAAATATTAATTTGTTCTTTTTTGTAGGAATAAATTATAGAATCGTTCAAGAATATTTCAATTATTGAGATATACAATTGTTCACAAAATTTATTCTATTTATGCATTTAGTAAATATGTTCTTTTCTATTTTGCAAAAATAAATGATAGAATCGTTCAAGAATTATTTTATTGCAATTCTGGAGATATACAATGTTTCTTTTTGATTTTAATATACAATAATTTATGTAATTTACAAGAAGAGTACCTCTCTGAAATGTTACTTCATTTTTCATCATTGCACACGCGTGTTCCGTGTTCAAGACACGATTATAAACACACCTGAAAACGAGTCGAAAAATTTCAACAATCGTTTCGCGGTATCGTTTAGGAGTATCGTATCCCGTACTTGGAACGTTTCGTGCGCTCAGAATAAAAATTTGAATTTGGATAAACAGACGAGAGATACTTTGTTTCTATTATTCAAAAAAAAAAAAAATTCATTGTAAATGGGAATCATTAGAGAAATATCAAGTAATCGAACTTTGTTTCATCCTCTCCTGTATTAAAACGATCAACTTCGTTTTCTTGCATACTTCTCGACTCTGTTTTCCATGAGTGTAACATGTATAGGTTACGCCAGAATTCCGTTAAAAATCAAGCAGCACATAACCAATACGAATGAAAAGCGTGGAATCTTATAATGGAAACAATGAAAAATTAAAGGAATCACCGCGTGAACGACGGAGGGCTAAAGTTTACAAAGAACTCGAGTCGAGAACTAATATTAACAACACTATAAAACCAGTACGTCCGTACAATTAGGTGGAAGTTTGTCCGTTCCGCTGAACTATTTGCCACTGTGTTTAATTAATTAAACAATCAAAATCAATATTCTTGATCTCTTTTATTTATATTGCTTTTTTTTCCTGCCTGTTCCAGAAAGGGCCCCAAGATATTGAAACATATCCTTTAACGAACAGTGTTCCTAATATCATAAAGGTGAGCAGTTTTATGTAATTTATCGTTTAAGAAAGTTGCTTCGGTTCTATCTATCTATTGCAATTAAATGACCGGCAGATAACGGTGTGTTTACATTGCACGATTAATCGAACGATCGGGCTTACACAAGACAATGATTGATTTACCTCGAATCGCATTCCTCGAACGTGTCAGATATTACTGGTCTTCCCCAAAGATGATCAGCAGATGGACATTCTTGCCACCACTTCGAGAAGGTTGGGATGGAGCGTGTCGGTGGCGAAAGATGCGGAAAAAGCGGTCGAATATTTCCAAGATCGAAATCACGAGCTAGTGATCATCGATCACCGGGGGCAGCGTGCCGCGGAGGCCAATGCAGTTTGTAGGTATGCCAGAATTTTAAGCACCGTTTAAATTATTAATTTACATTTTCAAATAATCACTCGACGTTTCATTCATTTCAGGGCGATTAGGTCTAGTCCAGTTTATCGTAATACCGTTATCATAGCTCTTGTAAAAAAATCGTAAGTTCAAATTCTTTCGTTCCATCGTATTCAATCTTCACGTATGATAAATTCACACGAATTTCCGTAGGTTTCTTATGCATGCTGAGAAAGATAAAATCGTGTCATTGGATTTGTTAGAAACAGGGTTCACCAAAGTAAGTTTTTATTTTTGTATATTTTTAACTAAACTATTTTTATCATCGAAGATCATGGATTTTAAAAAGCCAAATCTCTTTACGTTACTACACGATTATAGCAGATTAGATAATGGATTTTTTTGGACTTTATTTCAGGCTTTAATGGAGTGCTCTCATGAGGGTATATTAATTAACGAATTAGTGGGAATCTATACAAATGGATTGCTACCAAGAACACAACTCGCTGCTGCTGATGCTTTGTATTTGGCTCTTGACAGATGCCACGATATGGTACAAGTGACAAACGATAAACACATTGTACAGGTAATGTGAGTAACTCTTGTATCATCCACACGTAATCAACAGATGCCCGTACTCCTCTTTCCCCTTTAATCAACCATTTTGATAATCAGTCTTACTCTATTATTTATTGCAGTATGTATGTATTTATAATTGTAATTTTCCCAAATATGATTCTTTATATTCTCCTTTTTATTTGTTTATCTTAATACAGTTTGTTCTTTGTTTGTTGCAGTTTGTTAATAAAATTAGCGAGAAGTTGCTAGGCTATAAAGTCAGCGAAATGTTAGGAAAAAGCATCACTGAGATAGTGTTCTACGAGAATTTCGTTCTAATGGAGCAACAAATTAACAAAGGCCATGAATTCGAGGGGAATATGAACTGCAAGAGAAAAAATAATCAAATGATCACTATCAACTGCCGAGTAATACCTTTTAGTATTACTTTGAAGTAAGTTATATAAGGTTTAATATTTAATATGTAGTAAATAATATTTTGCACCTCTGAATCTGTTGAGTTTTTTTCCAGAAAACCAACTCATTACATATATGTGTACGATACTATGTACCTGTCAGAAAATATAGATCCATTGAGTCCAGTTATTAATCAAGTTCAACAACCTAGTTTCCCAAAACCGGCTGGTGTTGTGGTACAAAGGCGAACTTCTGATATGAAATCAGGCAACAGCGAGGGTAATTCTTTTAATTTTTTAACATATTACTTTGAATTTCTCTTGATTTATCTGAACTGTTCTGAACTAATGAAATAATTCGTTAAGTGCACTTTGAAATTTTGACGTGCACAGTTTACTTTATTTTGGTCAATTTCCACGGGAAGTTAGAAAGGACGCGATGAGATAACTGGAAACAAGGTTGATGGAGATTTTTAAGCTAGTCAGGGCTCTCTTGATATCGGTGGTATCGCTTCTATCAAAGTTGTAAATACGTCGAATAGGTTAAACATAAAAGTAGAGCACATCTGTCACGTTCCGTATGAATTTTTCTCCTTGTTTATCTCGAAATTGTTGATAATTTTGATATTTTTATAGGCCGCAGGCGGTCCAGTTTGCGCAAACTTCATAGTTTACAATTAGAAGCACCGATTACAAAAGTGATTATGCTTCTTTCAAATGCGATTACGGATTCAACATCCCCCGACATAGCAGCACAAATCGACAAGGTACACTACTCATTTCTTTCTTAAAAATTGCTTACTGTTTAACAAGAATTATTTAATATTTCAGGCAATAGAAATTCTCAAAACCACCGAACTATACGTGCCATATTTGAAGGAGGACAGAACCTACACTGACCCCGTAGCAACTGACCTCGTTGGGGCCTTGCTATCCGTAAGAAATTTCACCAATTAGTAGATTAAATGTTTTACATACCATTTTGAAAAATATCATCATTGAATAGTCACCGCGAAAACCATGGGAATCCAGAAGATCGTCGATAGAATCAGCACGATTATCTACATTCAGGAACGTTATTCAGACCCCGAATTCCTCTCGTATGCAGATCAAAGGTTTCAGGGGGCCTCAGGCGATCGCAGAAATATTAGACAAATGTTTGGAGTGGAGCTTCGATATTTTCAAACTAGAAATTCTGACGGAGAAAAGGTACACAAAAGAGTATGAATTCACCAGTTAAATAATTATTACATTTCCTTCTTTTGATAATTCATTTTTCAATTTATAGGCCACTTCTCTTCTTAGGAATGACAGTGATGAATTTGTATCGTGTACCGGCTAGACTAGGCTGCGACGAGAAGATCATACAAAATTGGCTAACATTAATAGAGATGAATTATCAAGCTACTAATTGCTATCACAATTCTACCCATGCTGCGGACGTGTTGCAAGCTACTGCCAGGTTTATGCAATCCGAAAGACTCAAGCAGATTTTGGAACCTTTGGACGAAGTTGCGGTTCTGATTGCTGCTACTGCTCATGACATCGATCATCCGGGCAGATCAAGGTAATATTTCAATCAGTTTTGAAATATTTTTAAAGATACCTGGATATTAATATCTAAATTCGTTTTAGCCAATTTCTTTGCAACGCTGATTGCAAACTAGCGGTCCTCTATAATGATCTATCGGTACTTGAATCACACCACGCAGCCTTGACGTTTAAGTTAACTTTAGAAGACGATAATGTCAATATTTTCAAAGTGAGTCTTGCATGATGTTGCAGCTATCACTGTAAATCTTGATGATCATTTTCATCGGGCGTTGAATGAATTTTCATTGTTGTAGAACTTGGAAAGAGACACCTACAAAATGATTCGGCAGGTAGTGATCGATATGATCCTGGCTACTGAAATGACAAAACATTTCGAGCACCTGGCTAGATTCATGAATCTTTGCAGTTCAAGAATTGTGGTAGACAATCAAACAGATGTATGAATTATCCCTTTTATAACTAACAATCAACTATCTAATTTTTATTTATTTTTGTTTACGAATTCCTCGAAATTTATAGGCTTACTCGGATAACGTAGACATGTCAGTGGTATTGCAACCAGAAAATGTAGTGTTGGTGAAAAGAATGATGATCAAGTGTGCAGACGTGTCAAATCCAACACGACCGCTAAAATTTTGCGTAGAATGGGCCAGACGAATCGCCGAGGAGTATTTTAGTCAGGTAGCGTTTCCATTTAGTGATTCAACTGATTCTCCAAATACTTGGCACTCTTGGAAGTATCCCAGAGAGCTTTCACTTATTTGAACTCCGAAATTAAACTTTCTTCTTTAATTTTATGTTACGGTGAAACTATTTTTGAAATCCTCAGACTGACGAAGAAAAGAAGTTGAAACTACCAGTATTGATGCCAGTCTTCGACAGACAAACGTGCTCGATACCAAAATCACAAATCGGTTTTGTCGATTTCATCATCAATGATATGATCGAAGCGTGGGATGGTCAGTATGCACTTTTATTATTTTCTAAGTTTACATTTCCTTTGGAAAATACGATTCGTTTATCTTTCAGCATTTATCGATATGCCTGAGCTAGTGGGATACATGAGGCAGAATTACGAGAAATGGAAAGAATATAGCGTAAGAAATTTTTCTAAATAATCTATCATTTTTATTAATTACTTATCGGTGAAGAAATAACTTTATCTTCGTATATGCTTTAATCTGTTAGAAAACATTCACCAAAGTTACTGAAACGTGATACGTTAATATTTATAACGAATTCTATTTTCAACAGGAACAAGGAATATCAACTCTAGAGGATATCGAAAAATTACAACTTCTCCCGGAGCTTCACGTAGATCGACCCGCATGACCCGTAAAAAAAAAACAAATCGAATCTTATGACCCATGGAGAAAAGAATTCGGATCTTCCCAAATACTTTTTTCACATCCGTCCCAACAAAGTTCACGAAACGAGCTTTGTATAATCTAATTTGTAACATATTCGTAACACTTAAGAAAATAGAAATAATACGACATGCCATACAGTTGTAAATTTTTTTTTTTTTTAGAATATACACGTAATTCATTCATCTTCGTTGTTGTTCTTGGATCTACGCTTCCTACCCACTTTTCATGAAAGTCGATCATCTATTTTAAACTCATGAGACACCACGACCCTCCCCTCTCGTCGTCGTGCACGCATATTTGGCTGTTTACTCATTTATCTTTTCTGGATTATGTTTGAAAACAAATGATTCATTTTTCTTTCCTGGACTTTGTTTAAAAATAAAATATTTCTATATTTATGCTGTTGATCATAGGAACTTACAACACGATGATGATTGATTTGTAATAATAAATATTTTACTCAGGCCTTCGTTTACCATTGAATCTATTTTAATAAATACGATTCTTAAATATTTGCACCCTATTCCTTCACCATTTAAAAAAAGAAATATTAGAAGACTCACCACCACCATTGTGTTTTAATTTTCCTCCATTTATCCTATCGTCATTTCCTTTAAATATAAGATTGTAAATAAAATTTCTATTCGTACCTTTAATCTTCCCAGGAAGGACTGTGGATTGATATCGTGAATTAAAAAAAGCACTGTATTTTTTTTTACGTCTGGTTTCACTTTATTATTTCTCTCAGCCAATAAAAGTTTGTTTATGGACCTACATCGCTAGGCGATGGCGGACTGTGTTACACAAATACGGGAACAAGAATTGTTTTTCGTTATTTCGTTATTTCGTTATTTCGTTAGATCAGCAAGAGAATTTTGCGCGTATATATGCGTTCTATAATTTCATGTATTTTGGACACACACTTTTGTGTGTTTACAATAGGAGACGGTGCGTTGTTCATTAATTTTACGATGCCTCTCTATATAATGATGGAAAGATCTATTCGTCATAACTTTGTAGCCATAAAACGTCGAATATAATAGTAATAATAATGTATAATATTAAATACACGCGTCCTTGTGATTCGGTATTAATTACGGATATTTCGTGTAACAATTTTTCGTTTTACTATGAAGACGGTTAAGCAGCAAAGAATAAAAAATAGCGCAATCGGTGAAAGCCATTATTTTCTTTTTACCATGAATATTACAAGAGAGAAATTTAGTACAATATTCTTGTTGATGGTTGTTACTAAGTCACAGAATGTATAAAGAATCCACCATATTATAAACCACACTATTTATATAATTGATTGGATGTTAAGTAATACACTTGTGTATATGTGGAAACCACGCGCAATATAATTTCTTTTTAAATTCTTAAGAAATTTTTCTCTCTCTCTCCTTCCTCTATCATTTAACACACGAATAATTCGAAGTCGTTTTATCCAGTACTAAAAAAGAGACACGTAGGTTCTTCTATATCAAGCCTAATATTAATATAATTAATAAACGAGTGAAAGAATTTTTCGCGCATATACTTCTGTTGCTTAACAATAATAATTAAGTATGGATCCGTTATTTTTTTTTTTTTTTATAAATCTGACGTGTAGGACTTTACACACAGCAATGCCTAACCATAGTTAAAAACACGAAAACACGAATATTATAGTTTTGGAACCATATACAACATATATGTATCGATTATCATAATATTTGGTCGATTACCTAAATCATTTAATCGTTAAGCCTACTAGTAGTTATATATTTTATCGCTATAATGCCGCACAGTAGATTTGTTAATTACTTATTTTCAAGGTGTTCCTTCTTTTAAATCGAATCAACTTAAAAATAAACAAAATTACATAAATGTATCCTGAATTATGCTCCTCTAAAATCTAGAATATTTACCCACTAAACAAGCGCTCTCACGGTTGTTATTCTTATTGTTTTGCGCAATCATTGTCGTTGTGATTACAGAAGATGTTATTATTCTCATTTGCTCTTGAATTGCATTGTTCAGTTTGCAAAACCAAATTTACACGTATTCTCTCTGATTACTGTTTACAATTAGTCATATCGTATTAAAAATTGTTAAGTAAAAATAATGTAAAACTTATTACAGAATTAATTTTTTTCAATTATTACTCGCACTTGTTTTTACTAACAATAAGTAGGAAGGAGTTCAGGAAATAATCCTAGCGAGTATCGTACACGCTAATTATATAATAGAGTATCGGTAAATAGTTCATACTCGATGATATTTAAAACACATACTCTAGTGTATAATTGAATTATTGTTTCAATTTTTTTTTGGTGACGAGAATCAAGATATCCTCGAAAACCCGTCATTTTTTAATATTTTTTTTTTTACACGTTTATTAAGGAAAATTAATGTTTAAATGTTTCTTAATTTAAACCCGCACCCTAGACATAAATATGTATATCTCGTATAGTAATGTATATATACCGTATATATATTAATATGTAACATATATGCGTTCGGATGTTAAAAAGGCTCCCTTCGTTTAAGAAGTGCAGACACACACCTCGATCTCATTTCGAAAAAATCGAACGATGCGTGGTTTTTAAAAGCAAGGTACGTTGTTATTGTTCGTTATTAATATACATTCCTTACGAAGACATTATATATTAATATATCGAGGGTGATAATAGTTAACATCATGCTGAAAGATTGCTTAGAGCTTTATGCACTGCAAAATTGCAAGCGAACATCGAAAAATTCGTGATAAAAACACAGCTGAAAAGCTAAATAAGAGAAAAAGAACAATCCCACCTAAGAAATATGGCGTTTCAACACACAGCTCGATATTTACTTCGAAGATTCCTTGTTATTTAAATGGAAACTCAATATATGGACAAAGCTTATTAGTAGAGAGGTTGGTGGTTCAAGTGTGTGCAATTATTATTATTATTATCATTATTATTATTATTAAAAGGTGTGGGCACCCTAATTGATACGTACAATACCGTTAACAGATATACAGGGCTCTCCTTATTAGCACTCTCTCTAATGAATAATTAGGACAAATTGAACGATGATATTGCAGCAGTAATCACGAGGTATACTTTAACGAGGCTTAACACTGAATTAATTGTCGAGAGGATAAAATATATTTGTCTCTCGAATTGAGAGACCTTTCAAAAGTGTTGGAATTTATCTGAGTTGACCCTGGGGTGGGTATTCGAAGCATTGCAACGTCTTGAGTCCAGCAGAAAAATCAGAAGGTTTTACGCACACGAGGTGTGCCAAAATGATCAAAAACACTGAATCACAATAAAGATTCTGCGCCCCTCCCTCTGTCATAGTTTTCATTAGACACATTGGGATGGTGTATTTTTAGGCGAGAAGAGTCAGTGTAAAACGTCACGTGAACAATCGTGGGTGTATTGAAAATGTCGGTGGTGGATTAGCGTAGGCGTCGAGACGCGCTTCGAAGACGCCTATTTAAGCTTCTCGCGTATTCGTAGCTGAATCAGTCGAAATTCATTCCTCCGAATTTTCGTGCTCTTATTAGTGAATCGTCGGAAGTGTTCGCTGTTGGCTCGAGCTTGAAACGCATCAAGTCTAACTCCACAAGTTTTCCCGTAGAAACCACATAAAATTCACGGTAGTACCATAAACGCTCTCAAAGTTTTAGCAAATTGTGCTTTTGTCATGATCGTGATGTTTTTATCTCTGGTGTGATCCAGTCGGTGTTCTTACTTTCGTCGGACGATAAAAAAAAGCAACGCTTTTCGCGAAATAGTAAATAGTAACTCCTAACGTTAGTGAAAATCCCAAAGAGCTGTTAAACCTTAAGGACTAGTTACACCTTTACTACCTATACAAGTTTGAATCCCCTTCCGAAAAGTGTCCGTGGTGTTAATAATACCGTATCCTAATCCGAAAGTGTTATGCGAAACACCTTAAACCTACTAACACGCGGATTTTCTCTGCTCTTTCCCCATCGTATTCCTTTAACCGTCTTTCTCAAATAATATTCGAAATCTCGTATTTTTTAATATGAAGTGCGTAAAAATAGGTGTCAATTATTGCGCACGCAGTGCTGAAAATCTTTGAGAAAGACTAAAGACGCACATTTTAATTAAGGTCTTCCCCCTATCGTACTTGACGCGTATGAATTAACCATACACGCTTTTACCCTTTACTAAGCAAACAAACAAGTATTGTCTGATAATTCGAATTAGTAGTGTAAAACACGTTAGTGCTGAAAAGTTAAGTACATGTCTGGTTTTATGATATACAACGCGATTAAACACTGATTTCCTCCCTTCTATCAGCACTAGCTTTTCTTTTTCAACGCCTACAACTGTGCTTCATCTTCAAGTTCTATTAGTAGTTTTGATCGTAAAATAGCGTTAACGCTTTCTCTTTAATATACCGAGATACATATGATCTCTTCTGAATTAAAACACGCGTTGTTATTCGTGTGAACGCACATGATGTGGTCATAAAACCACCCCTTGCATACTTCAGCTAACTCCTAGTCGTACTATCTCAGTGGTGGTAAAGTTATCCTGTCCCTAATACACTTAAGTTCCTAAAACACATAACCTATTATTGAGCTACCACACGAATTATGGGGTATTCGATGGAAAATGCCTAACACGTTTTTGTTTTCTAAATCCTTCCTTCCGTTACACTTGTTATCCTAACAAACGCGCAGCCCACTTTCCTTTTCTTCGTCAAATATTAGCACGTCCGCGTTTTATACCCCGTGATCGACACGATTTTCTAACTCTTGATTGATAAATTCTCACTCGCGGTCGTTTACACCTGTGAATCTAGTTTCATTCAACGATGTTCGTCATTTTCGATGTCAAGTATTTTGCTCGAAGAGAAAGGATTCTCCAACGAGCGCGATGGGACCTCGAATGCCCTTTTGTTTTTTACAATTTTTATTTCTCAATTTGATCAAATATTTTTTTATATGTTTTAGTAATCTAATGTGTAATAAAATACATATCGCGTACACGTTAAAAAAAAGATTAATATAGATTCGAGCTGTCACGTGTCTGTTTCTATCGAGGATTTTCATATCGTAGATGCAAAGATCCGAAAACAAATCACTCTACTACCCTTGATCGTCTGTTGTGCGTATAAGAGAATTATTATCGTTAAGTACCCTCGAGGAAACGCGTAAAAGGATCTTTCAGCATCAAAATTAGTGTTTCTACGCTAAATTGTAGCAAGAACTCTTCACGGTGTCTCAGCGAATAAACCCCCCATTTTACTCCATCTTCCGTTCACCTATCCTCCCCTTTCTTCACCTATGTTCATACATCAGGATATATATATATATAATATTCGTTACCCGAGATCGATCTATGATCTGCGGATTATCGTGTCCCTTATAGTTAAAAACGACAGACGGGCGAGTAACACACATTAACAGGTTTTTAAGCTCAATAATCATGAATCTAGTACGATTGTTAGTAAAACACCTTAGCCCTAAAAACATACTCCTCTCTTCTAATCCATCACTTCCCCGTCGTCGCTTGTACTAAACCGTATTTAATACGTACATGTCACACATTTCATAATTCTCTCCCTCCCATCCCTCTTTAATCTTACACTAGTCCTAGATCGAAAAGCAAGAACTTGACCGACGATGTTTTAACGTACTTTATTATCTCCTTTCTAATCTCATTTTTGTTTCTTTTTTTTTTTATTGTACAGATGTCCGTAGTACCTTTGGTTTTTCGTGACTGGTGGGACGATTTCGATCGCCCGGTGTCCCGATTGATGGACCAACACTTCGGCAGAGGACTTAATCGAGACGATCTGATATCAAGGTTCTCCGATCTAAGTCTCGACAGACCCCTACGCTCGATTTTTCGCGATAGGTACTACCGTCCGTGGAGGAACGTAACGCGCCAACACTCGAGCGGATCGAGCACGATTCAGATCGACAGCAAGGACAACTTCCAGGTGAGTGGAAACGATTTCTTTTAATATTGCACGAACTGATGGAAGAGGAACTGTGATTTTTCTCTGATGCCTGAGAAATATTAACGGGCTCGAACTTGTTAAGCCCTCAGAGAAAAATTTCAAGTAGAGATCGAGAACTTACGAGGATGGATTTTGAGCTCGTGATTGCGGGCAAAAGTGATTTTCTTCGTTCTCACGATTCTACTTTGCAAAATTGTACTTTGACACTTGCAAAACCCTCGGGAAATGCTGGCTGGGATTTGTAATTCACGATTAGGTGGGTAAGCAATTGCGCGACTCTACTTGTTTAAAGCATCCATTTCAAAATGGATCAGTGGATCGAGAAGCATACGTGTTAGGATCGTTCTAAGTTCGTGATTGTAAGCAGACGATCTGATGGTGGTCAAGGATCTTTTTTTTTTATTGTACTGGTTGGTCTGTTGATTCGTGAATGGAAAACAGGATTATTATTGCCATTTTTAGAGATGGTTGTACTTTTGTTTGAAGATCGGTAATTGTATTGCTTTGGATCAGAGAACCACGAGCCATATCCATAGTTATCACTCGACGGTATCAATCACATCTATTGTCTGTAACGAGACAATAGGTCTGATTGCAATTACCTTATATTTCGAGTGGTAACTATGGATACGGACCTCAATTATGATTGATTGGAAGACTACGGCTGATGTATTTACTCTGATTACCGAACTTGAAAATTCTCAATAATAATCGTTCAAAATTTGTGTGGTTTGGATTTTATATTATCAGTTGGAATCTGATTACAAGGATTAACCACGGTGCTTGAATGTTATCTTTAGCTGGATTTTAGATGGCACGCGTTCTCTGTATTTCTATAAATCGAGACTCGGCTGTGTCTTAATTTTACACACTGTTGCAAATGTACGTTGCTTGCGAAGATGAATGGTATATCAGCACGCTCGTTCTTCTTCGATTTTGTTTGAGGGCTAGGCAAGCAAATTATTGAACGTTTCAGATGTTTAACATCGTTAAATTTCACGTTGACTCGATAATGATTTTCTGGAAGTTGTCGATTAGTATCATCAAGGAAATGCGATTTATGGCACGCTTGGATCTCGTATTTAGCACACGTTCAAGTTCTTTTTAGATGGTACATATGGACTCAACAGACGTAAGGTGACAAACTTGCGTTGCAATAGACACACAATCTCTTATTACAATTCTCGACAATTTCTGGAGCCTATGATCTCTCTATGAAGCTCGTTCTCACAAGCGTTCAAGCTTAAAACATTAGTAGGATGGATAAAATACTGCTGCAACGGGGAAAATGGATCTCGTCTTCCGCAGGATTCCACAGAAGCGGAATCCCACGGAAGAGGAGAGCGGGAAAAACCTGAGAGCTTAGGGTCGCGTTAGTTGGTCACGAAATGAATTAAAGGCCGAGAAAGTGACAAAATTAAGAAGCAAAGATGGAAAAAGTCGACACAGGTACCTCCCTCTTTCTATCTATAACACACCTCAGAAGTTGGATATTATACTGCTTACTTATCGTCAAAGAAAAATTAATGTACGTATTATATATTATAAAATACCTAGGCGGACCATTGGTTCTTTAAACCTGAAGGAAGCTTCTTGCGCAATTTTAAGCGTCTAACAGCTCTTCTCGTAAGAATCGTCGAAATTTTGAAGAATTGTTAACGCCCACGACTTCGAGCAACTCGAAACACACACACTACACGTGCATAGAATCTTTATATTATTTCGTTGAAGTTTTGAAGTGTGTATTGCTGTTACCATCGGTTCTCATTTTATTATCGAAGCTTGTAATAATTAGCACCATGGAACACTTCCACAACGACTATCCCATAACTTTCAGATGAGATCGGAAAGTCATGGGATAGCCGTTGCTTAACTGTACGCAGAAAACCGACTTTCCTTCTTTTTAATACAAGAAAGATATTTGCTTTTGGGACAAAAATTGGATACCGAACTATTCAATTATTGCTGATCAAATATAGCCAAAAATATATCAAACACGGGAAAAGTTGCTGCGAGTCGAGGAGTAAAGCTTTAAACGAGACGATCAGAAAAGCTGAAGTTTTGACTCGACTAGGATATTAAAATGTAAAATATGCAAAAAAATAATCGCGAAAGAAGCAAACTTCCAAAATTAAATCTTATAAAAAGGCACTATTACACACACATACACACTTTTTCCTCGCGAAAGCCTTTAAAGATTAGGAAAAGCTGTCCCTTTTTAAACTACGTGTCAAGATTTTCGAATATTTGAGAACTGGATAAAACGTCCTAATATTATTTTCAACCTCAGAGCCTAGAACCCTAAACTCTACTCACACCACACGCATTCTATACACTTTCGAAATTGAACTTTACACTGAATTATACACGTATATTATCTATATTATCGTTCGTTTCGAAGTACAGTTGTAACTTAGTAATTGGATAAATGTGATTTAAAAGGAGTAATATGCTGTTGTCGCCACAAGTTTTTTTTTTTTAATGGAAGAGAACTGGCTAAACATTTACTGACCCATATATAGCATAATATTTTGAACCCTATTTTTATCTTGGAGTTTCTCAGTACAGTGAGCGAAATATTTGTTTTACACTATTTCGCGGGCTAACACGGTCGACTAACTTAGGCTGAGATAGAAGTCTAAAGTGATAACCTTTTTTTAGATCGTGTGTGACACCCATAAAAGTCTACGAAACGTTTATTATCGTCAACGCGTGTCTAGAAAAGAAACGGAACCAAATTTTTTAATTGAATATGTTCGATATTTTCAAGACCTAAGAAAACTTGATCGATGGATCTAAGAAAAAGGATAATGGGAATGTATAAGGAGCGCATTCGTAAAAAGATAAAGAAAACAGAAAGGAAAGCTGAATTTATGTAAAGAAAAAAAAACTTACGAAGAACTAAACCGTACAACTAAAAAAAAAAAAACTTAGAAACTATTAAATATTTTTATCGAAATATAGTTGTATTAACGTAACGTTTCAAAACAGGACTATTATTAGAACGAAATCGTTTGACACTCATTAAAAACAGTTACCACAACCGAATGAACGGAATGATAAAAGAAAAACAGGGCTATATAAATTTTCAGGGGTTAAAACTGGAACACCAGAAGGCCCGAAAACCGATTTCTCTGTTTCTGCCACTACTACTACTACTGCTACTGCTACTGCTTCTACTACTGCTGTTTGTGTTTCTCGGTTGCATTTTCGTTTTTTCTCGTTGCATAATTACTGTTTCCACACTATCTGCTTCCTTTCACCTTTCGTTTTATTTCGATAATTCACAGCACTGTATGTTGTTGTGGTTTATAAAAAAGAAATTGGAAAACACGTTTCGGGACTGTTCTTCGAACGGGGGAACCCCCTCCCTCAATGAAGAGGGGGTGGAAGAAGGGGTTCGGTGGGATGAAAAGTCAGGACTCGAAAACTACTCTTATATGTATTCTTTTTTACGTTTAAATGACTCGAGTAGCAAGAAAAAGTTCAAAAAACTGTACAAAAGAAAATTTTATGCACTCCGATCTTACAACGTGATATTGTTTTTCTGTCAGACACGCTCTTTTTTTAACACCAGGAAATTCTTTCCCTTGAAATCACAGTTTAACCGGCTTACGCCATTTTTTTTTGTCAACGATTCAAAGAGCCCACACCCTTTTTACGTTTTTCTCCAAAAGAATCTTTATACTCCTTTTATACGAACGATACCAAATACAATAATATATATCAAGAGGACGTGGTTTTTTTTAATATTCTTTTAAAATCCGAAAAATGGATCGTGTCACACAAGAATCAGTCTTCGTTTTTTTTTTTTTTTTTGTTTTTAGCAGAAAGAACCGAGAAAGTGTGAGGTGTGTGTCGAAGCACCCCCCCCGAAACGGGGGCGCCGCTCTCGGGACTAAAAACTGAGTTTCCTTGAACCTTTCGGATCTCTTTGCTCGCTATATATAAATAATCTCTATATAAAAATAAATGCTTCTCGAATCATTAACGATAAGACCGTATATAGAAAACGATTCAATACGAAATGTCTATATATACAAAAATTCGGGCGCGCGTATGTCTCTCTGTGTATGCAGCAGCACTCGAGATGCTTCAAAAAAATCGGTTTATCTTGGTCTTTTGCTATTTTGCTCGAGGTACATAGAGATGGTTTCCACAATGGTATTTCTCACTAAACGTTTACTTTTTTTTTTTTTCAATCGTTGAAAACAAAATTCGCTTACCGGGTTTCCAGGATCACACGAAGGATCACCTGAAGAACCACGGTTCGCTCCTTCCTACTCTCTTTTTATTGCCTTTCCTTTTTATTTAATGTCAAGCTGCTAACCACTGCAAGATAAAACGATCCATCAAAGGAAAAAAGACATGCGTATAGCGCGATAACTCAACGCGCTAAGACTTCGCTCGTTTACACGATAAAACGTATGATGTTTGTATCATCTATTTGAATGGTATGCTCGATCTTCTCTACGAACGAAAAAAAACTATTACACAAATAGGTACGCCGCATTTGACAACTACATCTTTCCTGTTTTACTCTTCCCGCGATCGCTAAAAACGCTCGGCTACAATATCATCGTCGGATTTACACGGAGGTTACATGAAAGTTGGAAAAAATTATAACGAGTTCTCGAACGGGTGAGAATTTTGATAGATGTCTCCTACATTTTCCTGGCTATTGCCTGTTTTGATACTATCTCCAGAAAACAACTTTCGCAATTTCAAGGCTAGCAGGAATTTTAATCAAGAAATAGCAGAATATTTGTATTATCGATTTTGTTCTCTTTTCAAGTGGTTAGCTGCTAGAAATAGTTGTGCGTACGGTAGCAATGATATTACACAATTTAGTCGTTATCAACCAGACCTAGATCTTCTTCCGGAAGAGAAGAGAACCTGGTTTATGGCGAAGGAAACAGCTAATGGTGATATAATGGTGGTGTGGTTTTTCGGTTTTGGAAGCAGGCGAAGTTGCCTTCGCCCGCCTTGAAGCGGCGCGTTTAAATTAAGCGTACGAGGCTTTCTCTCTCGATGGTTTAACAAAGAAAATACTTATAGTGTGATACTTAACTTTCGCAATCAAAAAATGTAGTCAGACGTTACAAGAAAAAGCCGGTGCTCAAGAGAGTTTAACGTCGAATTCAATGATCGTTCAGATCTCGTTTATAGCCTCTGTACATCATCGTAACAATGACAGGTAACATCGTCGTCTGGTGCTCGAAGGGATATAATCGCCTTCTGCTTTATACTGGAATATTAAAGATTGCTCTCTAATTTGCCGTTCTGTACTTTTTAATGCTTCGCTCTGATCTGCGACAGGTAATACTGGAGGTTCAACAATTCTCACCGGAAGAGATCACGGTGAAGACGGTCGGGAACCAAGTTATTGTCGAAGCCAAACACGAAGAGAGGCAAGACGAGCACGGATTTGTCAGTAGACACTTTGTACGGAGATACGTCTTGCCACCATCGCACGACGTGTTCAATATTACCTCGAGCCTTTCTTCGGATGGTGTTCTAACTATCACGGCACCCAAAAAGGTAAGAGACGAAGAGGAAGAAGAGGTTCTCTCGTCGGCGAATCCGAGGATGGATTCGCGCAGCTACAAGCGCTTAACAAAATGTGATCCTCTCTCTCCCTTTTGTTTGTTTCTTTTTTTTTATGTATGCTCTTTTTTGTTTAATTGTTTCAATTCCAACTGTTCCGTGTGTGCCCCCTCTCTCTCGTAGTAGTATGCGTTTAGAGAAGATGGTGTGCCGACGATTAATCTCGATCTCAAACTACGAGTCTGCTCTAAACTATAAAAAGAACGTCTTGTTGGATTAAACCCGCTTTCACGCGGATGAGGCACATTCGTTTACTTTTGTCGCGTTTATCGACTTCAACTTAAAGCCCAAGAAACTTGATATAACAAATTTTAGAAATATATCAAAGCGATAGCGTTAGAAAAATTCAAATGGAAGATGGAAAACGAGTTTGATTTGTAAAAAAAAATGTAAAGTTAATTCTCAGGATCAGTTAAAATCGATAATCAACTAGCAAGTGCTCCCCATCTAATTTTTGTTTTTTTGTTTTTGAACGGCAGACATCGTGAAAATACACTAGAATCTATTTAGTAACTAGATTCTTCGAACAAGTACTAGGAGCGACATCTATACGTGTGTGGTATAAAGACTAGAGTGACGCTGCGTTCGATCAATTTAGTTACTAAATGCAGTTTTCTCTAGATTTTTAGGAATCTTTTTTTCTAAATGCTGTTTTCACCATAAGATGCCAAATATTTTTCAAGTTTAGAAATATCAAGTAGCGACACTGAGCCATAATATTTCTAATTAAGTGTAGTGTTAAATTTCAGATTTCTTAGGTAATAAGGTTAAAAGGTTTAAAAAGAATTGAGAAATACGTCGGTACAATGACCGCTTACCTAATTGCATGTATCTCGAAGTGCTCTTCTCAAATTGTTCGAAATGTGAGGAAATTTCAAACTCTAATCAGACCAGTTTATGGTTGCGTACGGATTGTTCAAGCACCGACCCCGTAGGGTTCACTATAAAAACACAAATAAGAAAATAGCCACGTTGATTTGATTCGTAAACCGTTTCAAAAACGTCTAATAACATAAAATTGTTATTTCTTTTTTTATAGGGCCAGCCACCTAGTGAAGGCGAACGAGTTATTGAAATTGTTAAAACAGGAGAACCCGCAAGTAAACCCGTCAAAATTGAAACGACAACCGAATAAATGTAAAAATTTTTTTAAAAATTTGTTAACTTAATATTTTACTTTTTATATTTGAATTTTTATGCGATTATATCAAATGTTATTCAAACAGTTCTTATAACATAGTATATGTAGTAAAATAGGAGTATATAAAATGTACAGATAAATATTATGAAGATTATAGTAAATATGTAAAAAAATATTTTCAATTAGAGGTAAAATTTAATTACTTACTATCTAGCAATATAAAATATTTCATAATACGTTATAAATACCAAGCATACCCTCATCAATATTACTTTTGTTTTACTATATGCAATTAAATTATTTCTATAATTTGTAATATAGCTAAACCTTTCCATTATTTATGAAAAATTAAATATCAGTAGCTTCATATGTATTATACCTCAACTATCAAAACAAAAGTAATACCATTGAAGCAAAAGCTTTAAAAAAAAAATCAAACCAAAAAATTAAAAAATTTGTTAAATGTTAGAATGGTTCAAGAATACCCACGGTAAACTGTCGCGCTCCGCACCGAATCCCTCTCGTCTACATTTTCACGTCGGTTGTTTCAGCAGCCTCATGGACCACGTAAAAGAAGTAGAGGTATGTTCACTGGTTGGTGGGTCTTCGGGTGTTCGCTGCGTCCGAACTGAACGAAACTGTGTTTACGAATGCGCCGAGCCAGACCGGCCGGCCCTCTTATATAGGCATGCGGCGTCGCAGTGCTGAAGGTTCGAGAACATGCACCGGTACCCGGCATCTAATGCGCACTTAACTTCAACCATTAATTTCCATACTTTTTCCATCGTTTAACCACCAACCACCTATACCATTTTGTTCCTCGATTCACGAGCTATCGTTTAGTATCGCTATATATACAATTTTCAATCGTTCCGAGGAAAAATTAAGGAAAAACCAAGTATTGATCGATGGAGGTACGACCAGATTTCTGGCACATTCTCCCACCTATAGACCCCACCATAACCTAACTCACACAACCGTAACTTCCTCTTTCTCTGGTCCGAACAGTGAAACGGTTGGGTTTTCTGCGTGTTATAAACGAACAGTGCAACCTCGCCATTGATTTGTATCTTTGTTTTGATCGCCATGTTTAGGGGAAAGGGCTGGTCCCTCTTGGGAAAGCATAGTTCTTGGCATCAAGGACAAAACAAGGTTGTCCTTAACAACCCATACGCTTCTCCGCGTAATTTTCTGGAACTCGTTCGTTTCTAGAATACCTCACGAAGCGTTTCACTATCATTACCTTGGCAATATGGCAACCGCTGGTATGGATGACATTTTTAGAAGATCTCCCGCTGCGTCAGCCTGCCTCCTCGACTAGAATTTAACTTAAAACCAACTGCCCGTTGGTTCTTATGGATTTTAATAACACCAGATAAGATTGCAAAAGAGTGGGAGAGTTTATATCATTGCTAAAGTATATACCACGGAATATCTCCATGAAAGCTAACGTTATGTACATATACCCATCGAGCAAAATCATTACCCATCTGTTCTACAAAATCCATACCCAAAGGGACGCGAAGTAACGACGCAGTTTTTCGTGACACGTGGCTTCCATAGCTGCGCAGTTTATTCGGAATATCTATGTAGTACATACATACTGTTACCGAATCCCGTCCGCACCAGGAAAAAAACAGTTCGTTAAATTAAAAATGTCGAAGGTGCGGTCGTGATATGACGCAACTGATGACATCGTGTTTACAAATACACGTGAGTCATGCACGGCCAGGCAAACCTGGGGGTCAACATTCTCCGAGGTTAATGCGGTTGACCAGAGGCAGAAAAGTAACGTCCATATTTTTAATCGTGCGATAAGTTGTTTATCGTGCTGTCTTATCGTACGTTGACAAACCGAAACTACATACATACGTTGTTTCTATGCAACATGAACATTATTGCGCAACACAGAATTCCAGCTACAGCTGTAGCTCTATCGATTTTCCTCATACGTCTTCTGGCCTCCGCGCGGGGATCTGGACGATACGTTATAATTAATGCAATTTTATTCACAGGAATAAAATGGGGTCGCTAGCAGGATGCCTGCTATCCTTTGTCTGTTATTCGAACGCATAAGGGAGAGGTATACTGAAACGGGATCAACTTAAAGGCAAGAGGCGAGCCAGTGGTTCTTAGAAACCAGTACAATGATGCGCAGATGTTTCGTTGAAGAAGCAAGGATAGAAAAGATATGTACAGTCGGTTCACAGGCAGATGTAGACTGCCTGTCTGTTACATGCTAATGGTCTCGAACGCTTTCTCTCAGATACCTGTACTGGACTTGCAGCTTGTCTGGAGAGAGAAGTGATGCGCAACGTCAATATGTTCGGATTATGCAGCTTACGCATTGAAAACAGTAAATTTAGCGATGCGGTTTATGCAACCACGAGGTCAAGGGATAAATTTAGAAGCTTGAATGTGGCGTACGTAGCGATATGTATAGCTCTATATATGACTCGATGCATCGTGACATTTATAGCGTTCGTCTACCTTGTTGTGAACGCTCACATTCTGCTAAAATTGTTATCTTATCAAGTGCTGTCACGAGCAGTAATACGTATTTAGTACAGAAATGCTTTTTTAAACGATCGAATATAAACCACTCGTCCTTGAGTTAATATAAAAGTAGAGGACAAATTGAAAGTAATAATTTAGATCTATTATCGTATTTGAGTGATGCTGTTTGGAAGAATTAGAGGAAAATCCAACGAAAATTTGGGAAAACGTAGTTCGAACAGCTAGGTCCCTCTCGAGAACGTTCTACAGACGGATGCAGCAGGTAATCAATAGTTGCAGCGCTGGAGTTCTATACATATATATATGGGGACTTCAACTACATAGTAAACAAAGAGTAAAGCTTTCCATTTTTACACGGCGACGTGCTTTTCGTCACGTACACCACTCCTGCATGTGGATGCAGAAAACTGCACACGAATATTAATCATTCGCAGTCTATTTATTCTACGGGTCACTTGTCGGCCATTTTATGAATGTATAACAACACTTGAACTGGATGCACGCAAGATTTAGTTTATCCATAATGTTAATTCATTAAAATTACTCCTATTGAGAAGAGGAGTAATGAATATACCTTCATCCAGATAAACATGGTATATTAAAATGGACTGGAATGCGACTAATGTTCTGCTGTGGTTGCAGGTAGCTTGAGAACCGTCCTCGTGTTTTATATTTCATTTTGTTTTGTCAACACGCAGCGGTTAAGGTTCCTGTATCACTTGCGGCCAAATACAGGGACGAATAAAATATGGTTAGTAAGGCACTGTCTTAAAATAGTTATTTAATTAAGATTCTATCACTCATATAATAGATAAGGTTTGTTAAAAAATAAAACTACTATGTGATGAAACTTTCAATGACTTCAGCTTGGTAATCAATTTGGTTGAAAGAAACTTTAATTTCGCTAAATTACACGTGTAATTGCAATTGCCAATTATGAATCAATACACTTTAATAATCTCCCCTAGGAGTAGACTTTCGTGACAACGTGCAATTTCCTCGACATCGGTTAGTAAAACCCTAATTTGTTCGATGAACTTCAGTTTTTTGTTTCCATCAACTGTCTGTTCAAAGTTTTGAACAATTATTTGAAGGGATGTCGCGTAAACGGACAATATTAACCCCTTAGAAAGTACAGATAACTATAGCCTTAAACCCTTCGGGGTTTAACCCTTTAAAATGAAACTTTGGTGGAAACAACTTTAATTTTTTATTCGTCGGAGGGAGTTGTTTCATAATATCTGTAATTATTGCTACAATGTTCTTTTGATGTATGTAAATAACAACTTTGGGATTTCGACGATTGTCAGTTCTAACGAAATTTAAAAATTGTTATTGAATTATACGTATTACGATTTACTGCGTATGACGCAGATGGTTCTCAGGCAATTCTACCCCAAGAGGAGGGTACGCAGGTGCGGCTGGAGCTTAAAATTCTAGAAGCATCTACGAACCACCCTATTATCGATTCAAACTGTAATCAAGCTGTACCTGCGGAATATCATCTGCGCAGTATTCTCACGAAGGAACAAACGCATATCTGTTGCCATGGGATATTTTGGGAATAAATCTGTCAATTACACTAAACCGTCGAAATTTAAAAGATCTATCAAAGAAGACGTTTATGCACTTAAAATATATTAGAGCATAATATGAACTAATGTATTTTGACTTGTTTCGAAATGCCATAAGGATTTATATAATTCTAACTTCATTGACTTGTACTTATATACATATATTCTCATAAATTAGCAATACAAATTATCATTTAATTATAATTTTCCTAAGTCACATTGTCAATAAACATTAAATACTTTGAATAAAAGTAATCATTGTGCTACTTATATGAGCTAAAATTAAATAGTAACAGAGTAGCATAATTAAATGTTCATATTTTAAAAATAGTAGAACGTAGAGAAAATGAATTGAAGGCAACTGACAAATATAATAGAAGAGAAATGAAAGTCGCGCCATTTTGTGGAGTGCAACGCCATCTCTGGCGGCGTCGTAAACTACTCGATACATCATGGAAGACCTTTACTAGTGGATGATAAAGATGGTGATCATACCTTTAACGATAATCATGCGGCGTTGTCATCTTCGTCCCGCACTAATTCGAGTTTCTCGCTTCTGACATTATTCTTTTTCGAATGAATATCGTCGTCACATTGCGGTGTCGTAATCGCTTTCAATTCCATGAAATCGAGACGACCAACAATTCTATCCGTTTCTTTTTCCGCAAAAAATATCTGATAGGTGTACGTTCCGAGTAATGCGCCTGCAGTCGGTCCGAACCAGTAAATCTAAAGAAATTTCCATGAAAAAAATAATTATCGTCGTCTCTGATGCAATCTAATCTACACAATAGAAAGCAAATATTTGTACACCTCTCTTCACGAATCTATGAAGAAACAAGAGGGAACCGATAACGGTCTACACGGAACATTTAAAAAAGGCTCGTGTCTCTTATCGGCAATGTAATACAGAGTAAAGAAAAGAATCGTTTGATGATATAAGATATTACGTGGCTGGGATTTATTAAATCTCTGAAAGGGCAAATAAATCGTATGATTAACGATAGTGTTACACACCCATTGATTAGTCCAGTTTCCGTTCCAGAATGCAGGACCAAAGGTACGTGCAGGATTCATACTGCAACCAGTGTAGGGACTCTAAAAACACGTTTCATTCAAATATACCCTTGATCATGACAATGAGACACTTTGTAATTTATTACAATTATAAATATTGTTTTTATGTAAATTGAAGCTATTTGCAAAGTTTCAGTCAAATTAGATTTGATAGGTTTTTGAAAGTACATACAACTCAATTACTTACCGCTGCGAGTGAGATCCCAACAACGGAGAAACCGAACCTAATCGCTGTGGAATCTGTTTGATGCGCGCATCTTTTGTCCCAGGTTGCACAAGCTGCGCAAAGTATGAACGACGTACAGAGGATTTCAATCAAAATTGCTTGCGCAGTGCTTATTCCTGGATGAACGACTGTCACACAATGTCCTATACTCTTATTTGACACTCCATCGTACAACAACTCGGGTGGAGTTATCATCTGTTTATACAAAATTGGTAAATAACTTTGTGCATAATCGAGACTGTTTCAGATTCGTACCATTAATAATCCGTATCCAGCAGTGGCACCTATGAATTGAGCTATTACGTAAATAATTCCCGTTGGTATGGTTTTAAGCCCAACGATCACTGCCCCAATCGTGACAGCTGGGTTCAAATGTGCACCGCTTACATGACCCAACATCTATGATGGAAATTATGGATATGTAATATTTTGAAATCTCAATATTATGCAGTAATTTTATGAATGCTTACCATAATCAAAAGGTTGACAGTCATACCGAACGCCATGGACGACTGTAATGGTGGCGGCAGTATTGTTCCCATAGTTCCAATGGAACCCATGCAACCGATGAACAAAAGTATCCCAGTACCCACCACCTCCGCGATGAACATCGTGGTTGTACCCTTCTGCATCGTCCATATCGTGCCTAAAAATCACCATACAACGTTGGAACGTAGTCTTGATTTCTAATTCAGCCGCGTAACTCACTTTGAGAATCTCTACTTTGTGTGTCGTTCTCCATGGTAGACGTACAACAAGCCTTTGGTTCAAAAGCAACGGCTACTGTTACCGTACTGTTTGTTGTAATCAGCACTCGAATTACTTTGACAGTTTTAATCGACAGTTATCGTTCTTCGCAATATTAGTTAAAAAGAAGCTGCCTTATCGATGAGTGTAATGATACGTTGCATTCTTCGTTGAATTAGTGTGTTCGGTTGATTATGAAGCTCAAGAGGAGTTACATGTTTCTGACATTATAATATCATCGAGGCCGATAGTATCGCTTGTTGGAAGATTGATTCATATCGTAACTCGAATTGAAAATCAACAAAAAATCGTAAAACTGTCCTTTGCGGAACATTACCACATTTATTTCGTGAACCAGGAAACGAAGCGGTTGAATTTCCGTCATCAAGAACATGATTACAGAAAATCATAAAAATCGTTCGTCAAAACTTTCAGTCGTGTTTTAGTTATTCAAAATCATTCATGATAGAACTTGGATAGAGTTACTGCACATCACTACGTGTAATTTACTTTCTATCGGTAACTACTCGGTTTATTCTGTCACATATTAACTTAAATCCTCTCTGCAATGCTAAGATTGCGGAAAATTGCTTACGGGAAATTGGTTTGCCAAAGTTTCCACGCAGGCGCCAAGGGATACCGTGCCATCCACTGTGGTTCACGATCATCTTTAGTTGTTCGAAGAATCTTCTACGGTTCAGAAGTACATTATGACAGTGAAAATTAAAAATTACCAAAATGCTAATTATAAATCAGATACCAAATACACCATACGTTTTCCTAAAATTCTACTAACACCAATTGGAATCTGGCCATTGCGAAGAGACGACACCGTTTCGCGTAAAATTAGAAAATACATTCAAATTGGAATCATTTTTTGTTCCATGTGTTTTTTACTAATACCTCATGCCATTTATACTTACCGTGACTGCGAGGATCTGCAAAGGTATATGAAGGTGATCGCTGCACAGGTGTTCAGTCTTTTGGGGATCGTCAAATTCTGGACTGTAATTTTCAACAAAAAGAAGATCAGTTTCTTTCTGACAGAATTGGAGCTACAGTACAGAGATGTGGAATGCGAAGAAGATCGATTATTGATTAAAAAAAACGCGAAAATCGGCCAATTCTTCGCGGTGATGTATCTGTGTTTCACCTACTGTGGTGCATTGCCTTATCACATCATTCTGCCTCTGTTATCGGAGAAAGTTGTCAAATCTGACAATACCACTCAAATTCCTCTGCCTTATTTGAGCGATTATGTGTTCTTCGTGATCGAAGATTCGCCGATCTACGAAATCACGTTTGTTTCTCAAATAACGATCAGCCTTATCATTTTATCCACCAATTGTGGTATCTACATTTTAATCGCTGGAATTACTATGCATTGTTCCGGTTTGTTTGAGGTGATCGACAGAAAAATTCATTTACTTGTGGAACAGAGTGATGGAAACTTGCATAATCGCCTCCGATTCATCGTTCAACGTCACGCACAAGCAACCGAGTAAGATAATCTAGTAAAAAGTAGAAGTACATACTTTAACAAATGATTTTTGTACTTTTTATACCGTCTTATATGTACTTACATCAGTGGTACTTAATTGTAGATACGCTGCGATGATCGACAAAACTTTTAACGTTGTATTTTTATCAGAGATAATTGGAAATACCGTGATCATATGTTTCCTGGAATATGGCGTACTCGTGGTACAATATCAAGGAATGTTTAACGAAGTAATAACAAATATAATGACAAATTGAATGTTTTTAGGAATGGGAAGAGCACAAGACCCTCAGCACAATGACGTATTTTATATTGATGATATCGATGCTTCTGAACGTCTTTATAATGTCCATCATCGGTGAACGTCTGAAACAAGTGGTATTTTTTTTTTTTAAATTAACGCGAAAAAGAAAATTGAATGTCCTTTCTTTTTAAATAACTTTTTGATTTTTGTGAAGAGTGAGAAAATAGGAGAAACGTCGTATTTTTTACCCTGGTTTGAATTTCCGGTGGATGTAGCCAACCATATAAGGATGATTATGCTTCGAACCAGCCATCCATCGACTTTATCTGCAGGAAAACTATTTAATATTTCGCTCCATGGATTTACTGACGTAAGTTTTTCAGCTTCTTGTAACAAAAATTTCATTTTATCGAACAAAACGTCGTAGGTTTTCAAAACTTCAGCAGCGTATCTGAACTTTTTGCGAACGATGACAGCGTGAAGAAGCACAAACGAAGATGACTGTGTACGTTATTTCATTTTCTATAAATATTCGAACATACCATATAAAATGTTCGTACTTTTATAAATGTAAACATATTTTAAGAAAAAAATAAACAGATTTGTCGCACAGATGAAAAATCGAATCGAGAGGCAACTATCCCGCAGAAAATTACCCATGGCAAACTGCACATTGCAGAGTACAAATTACTGTAATGGGTTATACAGAATGTTTATTTCTCCCATAAAACTTACCGTATTCAAATTGCTATAATGACTGATATTCGATACCGAACGATCATCGCTTACCATTTTATGAACGCAAGCGCAGTGTTGTCTATCAAACTAATCCAGATTCAACCCGTGAGCATTATCAGTTGCACTCGAGCCCTCAAATCATCGACTTTCCCTTATTCCTCGAATCCCATGCAGAATCCCATAAACATGACTCAAACAAAGAGCGTGGAAGAAGATTTGAAATACGCGATGACATTTGTTCGCCTGAATTTGAAACTAGTCGGTGCCTGGCCCACTTCAATCACCTCATCTCCTTATTCGAAGATTCTGAAGACGATTCAAATCATCGTCGTCTACTTTCTATACTTCTTGATAATAGTTCCAGGGTTTCTGTACATGTTTCTGAGAACGAATAGTGGTAAAGTTAGATTGAAAGTACTTGGACCAATTTTGAACTGCGGCATGCAATTTGTCAAATACACCATTCTGTTGTTCCGAGCGAAAGAAATTAGGAAATGTTTGGACGTGATCAGAGAAGACTGGATGAATTCAAGGGAAGACGACAGGCTAATTTTGCGTTCGAGAGCGAAACTTGGACGAAAATTAATATTGACAGTGATGATTACATTGTACGGTGGTGGTTTATGTTACCGCACGATCATACCCCTTATGAGAGGACCCATTGTCACTCCCAATAACGTCACCATAAGACCAGTAGCCTGTGCAGGATACTTCATCTTCATTAATGAACAGCAAACTCCAAATTACGAGATAATCTTCACACTGCAATTCTTCAGCGGAATAGTGACTTATGCTGCGACAAGTGGCTCCTACGGTATTTTTACCTTACTCGTTCTGCATATGTGCAGTTTATTGAGGATGTTGACGAAAAAAATGAAGGAGCTTGATGCAAGGTCCGATTTAAGCGAGCAAACAGTGCAAAAGAGGATCGTGGATATCGTGGAACACGAGAGAAAAATAAAGGAGTGAGTATAAAACTTTGATGCATTGAAATATAGTAAATTTGGAAAATAAAAATGGGAGTAAGTATAAAATTTTTATTTGTAATTTCATTGCAGACTTTTAAGGAATGTTGAAGCCATCATAGAATACGTCTGTTTCGTGGACATCGCTGGCAATACGTGTCTCATATGCTTAATGGGATATCGTATCATCACGGTAGGAATAACATCGGTAGAGGATGTTTGAAGTTGTTTCAATATAGAAACGATCATATTTTAGGAATCAGAGAAGAACGACGCAACATTTATAATAATTTGCATCACCTTACAAATATCTTTTATCTTATGTTCGTTCATATTGTGTTACATTGGTCAACTTCTTGTTAATGAAGTACGTGATCCATCATTATATTGCTCTATTTATTTAATTTTTACTTATGAATATTCTTATTGACAGAACGACGTTCTTGGCATGACATCTATTACGATAGATTGGTATCGTCTTCCAGTAAAGAAAGCTCGTTGCTTAATACTGATCATCGCCATGTCTAATTATCCGATGCAACTCACAGCAGGCAAAGTTGTTGCAATATCTTTAGTTACTTTTACCGACGTAAGTTTTAAGAAACAGAATCATCGTTCAAAGATTCCTGATTTAATATTTTCTGCAAATTACAATTTCCAGATCATGAAGATGTCAATGGCATATTTGAACATTCTGCGAGAAATTGTTTAAGATAATGCATTTTATACTATCATTTAGTAGAAGAGAATATAATTTAATAGAAGAGTTTAGAAACATCACGGCACACTTATTTCTTAATAAAAAGGAAATCATGGATACTGTAACATATGAATACATAAATCCATTATTTCTTTATCTTCGTTTTCATCGCAAAATTTATATTTATCTCACCTGCAACTTTTAGGTAATAATCCACCACTATTCCAAAAGAACTAACATAGCAAATCCTGAACATAAATCATTATAAATTGCTGTCAGAAGCACAACTTCAGTATCCTTCTCCGCTCTTCTTCTTCTTCTACACCCCTGCAAACATTTCAAAAATCAATTTATCGATACCACTATCATTATCCTGTGCACCACTAATAATACATAAAGGAAATAGACCATAATTGTAGAGGGGTTGAACCCTTTGGAAAATGTCACGATTCTCTTCCCAGAATAATCAGAAAAGAAGCGCAGGCGCTGTGTAGAGTCGTAATCGGATCACTCTCACTTGCCATCAGTATCAAGCCAGTTTTCAAACATCAAGGATGCAAAAATCAAAGTCGATCGATAATAATCTATCCTCGATTGACTTCGAATACGAAAGAAACGTGAACCTGAGTATCCAGTGGAATCGTTGGATACTAAAACCGATGGGTCTTTGGCCAAATTCATCGAATGTTTCACGTTTCGATAAATGTCTCTACTGGTTGATTAACGCTGTTTGTTACTTCTTGATCTTCTACCTTATAATACCCTGCGGTCTGTACATGGTATTCGACATGGAGAATTTGTACAAGGAGATCAAGTTATTTGGTCCATTGATCTTCTGTGTGGCTGCATTCGTTAAGTATCATTGGTTGATCATTCGCAGCGATAACATTCGTGAATGCATGGAACATATCAAATGGGACTGGAAGAACGTCGAATATATCAAGGATAAAGACATCATGGCGATGAATGCAAATTTTGCGAAAAGAATAGTGACTATCTGCGCTATTTTCATGTTCACCGCCTGTACCTTTTACTTCCTAATCATACCGCTTGCTTTAAGGAGAATCTTCATCCAGACTGATAACGTTACCTTCATCCCTGTGATGTACCCTTTCTCGAGCTACATAGTGGACGTCCGTTATCCTCCAATCAACGAGATCATCTTTTCGATTCAGTTTTTAGCTGGTGTACTGATCAATGCTATCACAGTAGGTGCTTGCAGTTTAGCTGCGGTATTAGCGGTCCACGCTTGCGGACAGATGGAAGTTTTGATGTGCTGGCTGAAACATTTGGTAGATGGAAGACCAGACATAGGCAAAACGGTGGATGAAAGAATTGCGAAGATCGTGAGTCAACACGTAAGGATATTAAAGTGTGTATAATGTGCATTTTAACACGTTTGCTACCATTTTGGTTCATCAGTGATCCAAATGTGATCCATATATTAAAGTAACTACAAAATGTTCATATGTTCATTTTGCAGATTTTTAACGTTAATGGAAAGAACCCTTCGACCGATCTCTTTTGCTGAATTTTTAGCGTGTACTTTAAATCTTTGCCTTGTTGGCTATTATATTATAACGGTACGAAAAAATAAAGCACGAAGGGTAATAAGAATGTAAAAATTATATATTTTTAATCTTGATATTACAGGAATGGAATTCGAGAAATATAATAATTACTGTAGGTTACGTGATACTGTACACATCTCTCACATTCAATATTTTTATATTTTGTTATATAGGCGAACTCGTGGCTGAGCAGGTATGACTTTTTATTTCAGATTTAAAGATTATTAAATATTATTACAAATTAGGTACTGTTTGACAATTATCTTGTAACAGTGCAGAAAAGTTGGCGAAACATCATACATGATCGAATGGTACCGATTAGCAGGGAAAAGGAAGCTCTTTTGCATTTTAGTCATGGAAATGTCTAATTCGTCGATTAAACTCACAGCTGGAAGCATGATCGAGTTATCCATTAGCACTTTCACCGACGTGAGTATTAAACTATTTAAATTTATTTTTACCTGGAAATCGAAATCGACGATTGCCTCAAATATGAACAGGTTGTCAAGACATCGGTCGCATTTCTCAACGTGTTACGAAAACTGACATGAATGCTTCTTGAGACACAACGAAACGCAAACTTTTTACAACCACACCGATTGAAAATGCGACCAATTTACTCCACGATCTAAGGATTTAAAAGATTTTCTTTTATACAGCTGCACTTTTTCATGAAGGTTTCATATATTTTATTAATTTTCAATAAATAAAATATAAATGTTAAAATAATGTCGTGTTTAAAAGCATCCTTACCGATTTTATGCTTCAAGATTGGTTCAACTTCACGAACGACGAAGAATGCAAAAATTGATTATCCATTAATTTATTCCTGCTGACATGTGCGGGAGCATCAACAAATATTCTGCAGAGAAGAAATCAATTTATCGTTGTCCATCTGTTATTATTCTCATTCAAACTCAACAGTGTAAAGTCTACAACTCATAAATATAGAAAAAGGAAAATAGCGTAATCACAGTAGGGTAGAACCCTTTGGTAGAACCTCTTCCTCTCCCTGAATGATATCAAAAAATCAGCGCAGGCGCATGATTTTCCCTTAGAATCGTTATTCGATTCCCAGCTTTTAGTCTGGACGGTGCTTTCAAACGTGAATCATGCAAAAACCATTAGCAAATAAATACTCCACGAGCATCGACTACGAGTACGAGAAACACTTGAATCTGAGTATCCAATGGAATCGTTGGATGTTGAAACCGATCGGGGTATGGCCTCAGTCTCGTGATATTTCGCGAAGCAAAAAATGCTGTTACTGGTTGACAAACCTCGTTTGCCATTTATTACTCAGCTTCCTCTTTATACCATGCAGTATGTACGTTTTTCTCGAAGTAGAAGATCTGTACAACAAGATCAAACTCTTTGGTCCATTGATCTTCTGTCTGATGGCGTTCGCGAAATATTATTCGTTGATCTTTCACGAGGAAGACATCCGCGAGTGCATCGAACGCATCGAATGGGACTGGAAGCATATTAGATACCATGACGACAAGAATATCATGGTGGTGAACGCGAACTTTGGGAGAAGGCTAGTAACTATTTGCACCTTCTTCATGTACAGTGGTTTCGCGTTTTATTACATTGCTGTACCGATTAGCGTGGGTAAAATAGAGGCAGAGGATGAAAATCTCACCTTTGTACCATTAGTGTTTCCCTTCTCGAGACTGATAGTTGATACTCGCTATAGTCCAACGAACGAGATCATTTTTTCAGTCCAATTGGTAGCTGGTGCCTTGATGCATGGCATCACGTCAGCTGCTTGCGGCTTAGCGGCTATGCTCGCGGTTCACGCTTGCGGACAAATGGAAGTCTTGATGAACTGGCTGAAACATTTGATTGACGGTAGATCAGATATGGGCGAAACCGTGGATGCCAGGATCGCGAGCATCGTGAATCAACATGTTCAAATATTAAAGTGTGTAAATTATATTTTTTTGTTACGAATTGCATTGTTAATACTGTAATCCTTTCACGATGAATGACCACAGTCAATGACACACATCACGAAAGGGTTATTTCACTCCTTACGTGTTCAATTCGTGACAATCATGGATTTGATTTTGAATGTTTTAGAAAATTGATCGTGTTTCAGGTTTTTAACTCTCACTGAGAAAATACTCCAGCAAATATCCTTTGTTGAATTCTTAGGGTGCACCTTGGATATTTGTCTTGTAGGATATTATGTTATAATGGTATGCAAATGACGTACAAAAAGAAACATTGCGTGTAACTGTGTTTTGTAAATATAATATATATGTATACTGTCTTGATACCGTAGGAATCAAAATCGAATGATATAACAAGTGCAGTAACTTATTTCATTCTACTCACATCTCTTACGTTTAATATCTTTATATTCTGTTACATAGGAGAACTTGTTGCTGACCAGGTACAATTTTCAATACGTTTATGTAAAAACAACAACTATTGTTATTGGAATATTAATTTCAATTATATTTTTACAATAGTGTACGAAAATTGGAAAAATCGCATATATGATAGAATGGTACCGATTATCAGGAAACAAAAAACTCTGCTGTGTCCTAATAATTGCAATGTCTAATTCAACGATCAAACTGACAGCAGGAAATATGATCCAATTATCTATCAATACCTTTACCAACGTAAGTATCACATTATAAAAATCGTTTAATTTAAATTGAAAATTGACAGAAATTTTCTGAATACATAGGTAGTTAAGACAGCAGTCGCATTTTTAAATGTATTACGTACAATGACGTGAATGTTCCTCAAGATACAATATTATATATAAAAATTGATGTGTCAATGTTGAAGAAAATGTGTTTGATTGATTTTTACTGGTGTATGTCTTTGCATGTTTCTGTGAAAAGTTTTTGAAATAAATCAAGCATCAATGATGACCGAAATACTGTGTATTTAACTATTGCAATACCATAATAATATCAGGAAATTATATATGAATACTAATCAATTTATTAGTAAAAAGGTTTCATTATTCCCAATCCGCAAATTGTTCCTCTAAACCAGCTAAATTAACAATGCCATCAATCGCACCCTTTCTACCTCTCGAAAAAAATCAATTTATCGAAATCCCAGCGACATTATCTTGTCCGCGCTTTGCTCTTATAATACATTTGGCAAAAAACGTGGGAACACAGAAGGGTTGAATTAAATCGGAAAGAAGACAATTTTGTCCTCCCTGTTCTTGCATGAAAAATCAGCAACAAAGCGCAAGCGCTGGTGGCTTACCTCCGAAGCATTATCAAATACGACACCGCAGTATCAAACGAGCTTTCACCATGAAGAAACCATTCACAAATGGAACGAAACCCCTCGTGATCGATGACTACGAGAAAAACTTGAACCTGAGTATCCAATGGTGTCGTTGGATATTAAAACCGATGGGTATCTGGCCGAATTCGTCCAACGTTCCACAAACGCAAATTTACTTCTACCGTCTGATAAACGCAGTGTGTTATAGTTTACTCAACTTTCTGTTACTGCCTTGCAGTTTGTACACGATCCTCGAAGTCGAAGACGTTTACAACAAGATCAAACTATTTGGACCATCAAGTTTCTGCGTGATGGCACTGTTAAAATATTATTTATTAATTCTTCACGGGAATAGTATTCGTGAGTGTATTAAATGGATCGAACAGGATTGGGAGAACGCCAGATGTCAGGAGGACAAGAAGATCATGGTGGAGAACGCGAATTTTGGAAGGAAACTGATTCTTCTTTGCACTTTCTTTATGTACAGTGGTTTCGCGTTTTATTACATCGCTGTACCGATTAGCGTAGGTAAAATAACCGCAGAGAATGAAAACTTTACCTTCGTACCACTGGTATTTCCCTTTTCAAGTTTGATAGTTGATACTCGCCATAGTCCAAAGAACGAGATCATTTTCTTAGTTCAATTGGTAGCTGGTGCCTTGATGCATAGCATCACGGCAGCTGCTTGCGGTTTGGCAGCTATTCTCGCGGTTCACGCTTGCGGACAAATGGAGGTTTTGATGAACTGGCTGAAACATTTGATTGATGGTAGATCAGATATGGGCGAGACCGTGGATGTCAGAATCGCGAACGTTGTGAATCAACACGTGAAGATACTTCGGTATGTTCACTATAATTATTTCTGAATTCTTGCACCTCCTGTACCCGCGAACTCAGTTTCCCACTTTGTCAGTTATCCACAGTTGAATGTAGAAAAGTAAAAAATTTCAGAAATGTAGTGTAGGTGGCTTGAAAAACGGAAGATCCAACTTTGAATTCGGAAGTAGATTTGCATACGGCATGAAACCTACCCCTCGCGGATACAGTGATGCTTTAATAAATAAACCTGAAGGATCTCTATTGTAATTTTGTTAGCAGCTCATTTTTTATATTTATATATTTTGCAGATTTTTAACCCTTATAGAGCAAATACTTCGACATATATCTTTGGTGGAGTTTTTGGGATGTACATTGAATTTGTGTCTGCTTAGTTATTATACCATTATGGTACGCACGTGATTCAAAAAGGAATTCAATTGATATTCGATAGATTTGAAAGAGATTTTTTTGTACAAATTCTAGGAATGGAATCGAAATGATATGACAAGTTCCGTGACTTACAGTGTTCTCCTTGTGTCTCTTACTTTCAATATATTCATATTTTGTTACATAGGAGAACTTGTAAGTGAGCAGGTAATATTTTATTTAACATTTATCATACTGTCACCACAGTGATTATAATAAAAAAATTTGTTATAACAGTGCAGAAAAATTGGAGAGATGTCATACATGATCGACTGGTATAGATTGCCAGGAAAACGAAAACTTTGCATTATTTTGATCATTGAAATGTCCAATTCTTCGATCAAACTCACGGCAGGAAATATCATAGAAATGTGTTTTAGCACGTTCGGCAATGTAAGTATCAAATAAATTCTATTAACTCTATGAATTTCATCATTAATTGATACATCTTCAACAAATAGGTCGTCAAAACTGCGGTAGCTTTTTTAAACGTGTTACGAACATTAACTTGAACATTCATTGAAGTACATGAAGAAATTGTTGGTGATAGTAATGTGTCTATATTTTACTAAAATTTGTTTATATCGTTATTTATTCGTACTGTTAGACGCGTAACAAATATAGTGTTTAAAAATACCAAAGATTTATATTTAAGGTAACAATTACCATAAAACAAGCACTTGTACAAAAATTAATAATTCATCTCTGATCACTGTGCGCCTTGATACTTTACTGATGTTTAGAAAATCAATTTACCTATGAGGTATAGAAAACGAATTTTTTCATTTATATGTTTGGTAAAATTACTTAAAAAAAGACCGTTCTCCGTAGAAGAATTTACAATCATAAACTATATCGATATCTGCCTGATACAACATTAGAAACAAAATAGCCACCAGTGCGTAAGATAATCGCTTAGAAAAATTAATAATCAACTTCTGGACCTGTAGAGCACCGTGAGGGTTACCGCTTTACTGATGTTTCATAATCAATTTATCGATGTTTCTACCGTCATCATTCTACCCCCCACACTTATAATGCATAAACCGAAGAAGTAGAAAAGCAGAAGGGTCGAAACCTTTCGAAAAAATAAAAGCACTTAAATCCTTCTCTCTTGCAAGAGGAATAGGTAAATTAGCGCAAGCGCAATGTTTTCCTTGAAGAAATCAAACCGTGGTTATTCAGTAGCAAAGGAACTACCGAACGTCAAAGATGCATAAAGCATCGACAGAGAAGAATTCTTTTCAAATGAAACACGACTATTGGAGAAACGTGAACTTGAGCATCAAACTGAATCGCTGGATATTGAAACCAATTGGTGCCTGGCCAAAATCCAGCCATATTCCAATCGTCGAAAAATACTTTACGTGGATTAAAAACGCCGTCTGTTATTTTCTGATAAGTTTCCTGTTTGTGCCTTGTTTGACTTTTTTGATCCTCGAAGTAAACGATACTTACATCAGGATCAAATTGGTCGGTCCTTTAAGCTTTTTCTTAATGTCGATCATTAAGTATTACCTGTTAATCCTTCATAAGGACGACGTTCTGAAGTGTGTGGAACAGATCCAATGGGATTGGAAGAATATTCAAAACCTGGATGAAAGAAAAATCATGATGATGAATGCGAATTACGCACGAAAATTGATCATCATTTGTACGTTCTTCATGTATAGTTCTTTCGTGTTTTACTACGTCGCCTTACCGATTAGCGTGGGAAAAATTTCAGCAGAGGATGCGAATTTTACGTTCATCCCATTGCCGTTTCCTTCCTCGCGACACATCATCGATTATCGTCAAAGTCCTATCAACGAAATCTTCTTCAGCACGCAATGTCTGGCCGGTGTCGTGATGCACGCTGTCGCAGTTGGTGCTTGTGGCTTGGCTGCAACCTTTGCTACACACGCTTGCGGTCAAATGGAGATTTTAATGAACTGGTTGCATCATTTGATAAACGGACGAGAGGACTTGGATAAAACTTTGAACGGCAGGATTGCGAGTATCGTGGAACAACATGTTCGGATATTAAAGTGTGTTAAGTATATGTTTTCATAAAAATTTCTTCATTTTGAAATAAAAGCTATTTTATATATTTTTTCACAAAGATGTCGTGAAAATTATAAAACTAGAAGATTAGAATCCTTAACATTAATTTTCATCACATTTCAGATTTTTGGCACTCACGGAAAAGGCGCTCCAACAAATATCCTTCGTAGAATTTTTAGGATGCACAATGAATCTGTGTTTGCTTGGATATTATAGTCTTATGGTAGGATAATTCAACGATACATACTATTACATTACTTACCCTCTTTCATGTATTTTTTAAATATATTTTTCATATTGTAGGAATGGAATCCAAAAGATATAGCTTTTTCTCTGACTTACATGGTATTAGTCACATCATTTGGTTTCAATATTTTCATATTTTGTTACATCGGCGAGCTTGTGGCTGAGCAGGTATGATTTTTTCACGTTTCATTTTATAGTCACTGTAACACTGTCTTTTACTAGTTTAGTTAAGAATAAAATATTGTACGATAGTGCAGAAGAGTTGGCGAGGTGTCATACATGATCGATTGGTATCGATTGACAGGAAATAAGAAGCTTTGCTGCATCCTGTTTATCGCAATGTCCAATTCGTCCATAAAACTTACAGCTGGAAATATGGTTGAATTGTCAATTAGCACCTTCAGTGATGTGAGTAGAAAAATATTAAATATCATTTCTTCGTATCTTAGAAAATATCAGTAATGCGTTGAATGTATAGGTTGTCAGAACAGCAGCAGCTTTTTTCAACATGTTGAGAGCATTGACATGAATCTTTCATGCAGTAGAATGTAGTTTAAGCATTATTTTGTAGAATTTGATATTGTTGTATTTGAAATTGAATGAAATCGTTCATGTTTAACAAAACGGTGTTTTAAGTGTAAAATGCGACAGTTACAATCACGCAATTAACATATTGCCACTTATTTTCAAACAATTTCTTCTGTTCATTACTCTTCTTCACTCAAAAAAAAATCCAACGAAGTTGCTTAAAAGTGTAGCTATCAACTTCGTACTACGAGACAATCCCCCTTTAACTATCTCTAGCGCAACACTGATCGATTCGAATGCAATCGCAATCTAAATAACAATATCATGATCCACGGAAGAAAAAAATTCGCGCGTGCGCCAATATTTACTCAACCCTTTTCATCGTCGAGAATCGACTCACTCGAAGACCACCCTTCGCGCAGTAATAATGGCAATCTCGTCTAACGATCAACCGGTACAAGATACTACTTACCTTCAAGATTACGAATACAGTATCCAACTGAATCGCTGGTTCCTAAAACCAATCGGAGTTTGGCCGAAATTAACAGACTCCACGAGGACCGAGAAATTGTTGTTAAAAGTGTTAAACATTGTCTGTCACTCGTTGATCATCTTCACCTTCGCACCCTGTTTACTGTTCATCCTGTTCGAAGAGACGAGCATGCAGACGAGGATAAAAGCAATCGGACCCATGAGCCATTGGTTAATGGGTGAATTAAATTATTGTTTCCTGAGCATGAAGACCAAGGATATTCTTCACTGTATACAACACATAGAGAACGACTGGCAGATGGTCAAACGAGCCAGCGATCGTGAGTTGATGCTGAAGAACGTCAAAATTGGACGTCTAATCGCTTGTGTCGCAGCGATCTGCATGAATCTCGGTACCTGTTCTTACAACGTAATCACAGGATTTCAAAAGATAGTGTTTCATGTGGGAAACGAGAGTTTCTCCATGTATCGGTTACCTTGTCCGTTCTATACAAAGCTGATGAACGTCAGATTTAGTCCGGTTAACGAACTCGTTTTCACTCTCCAACTATTCTCTGGATTTATCGTGAATTCTGTAACCGTTGGGGCTTGCGGTTTGGGTGCAGCTTTAGCGATGCACGCTTGTGGTCAGCTGAACGTGATGATGTCCTGGCTGAACGATCTGGTTGGTACTAAAGAAGAAGAACAAAAGAATGTTAAAAAGAAGTTGGCGAATATCGTGGAACATCATCTACGTACGTTGAGGTATGTCGTTAATGTGTAATTATGAGTAAAACAGGAAAATGATTAATGTAAATTTGTTTATAAAAATATTAATTTCAGTTTTGTATGGAATATAGAGAACATAATGAATCTAATATGTATGGTTGAATTAGTTGGATGTACATTAAATATATGCATGCTGGAATATTATCTTGTTACGGTATGTTTAAATACATGTACTATCAGTTTTTAATAATTTTATAATTCCAATCTTCTTTGTTGAGTCTTTATGAAATTTTTGAGTGTGTTCTATGACATTTAAGCATTCGAATTGAAGGCTCATTTACGACGAATTAGACCCGGTGATTAATTAAAAGAATGTATTATGATTTCTTAGGAAAAATCGAAGGAAACCGTAGCGATATATGCAATTATATACGCGTCCATGATTTTCAATATATTTATATTTTGTTATATCGGTGAGAAGCTTACGGAACAGGTAAGGAAACGACAGTTAAAAACGGTAGCAAATAAATCTTTGGTAAAATGCAAGTATCTATGTGACAGTGCAAACAAATTGGAGAAAGAGCATACATGACGGAATGGTATCGTTTACCTCACAAAACTGCTCTCAGTTTAGTTATGATAATCTCGAGATCGAGCATGGTGATCAAAATCACTGCTGGAAGATTCATACGGATCTCCCTTGCAACCTTTGGCGACGTGAGTATTAAAAACACTCTTATCTAAATACTAAACACATTTAGCACATCATGTTTCAGGTGTTGAAGACGTCTTTCACTTATTTCAATATGCTTCGAACAGTCGCGACTTGAACAACTTTGAATTACGATTCTGTACCAACTCTTGTAAACTAAACGCAATAAAAAATGAATAAATGATCTCTGTCCAGAATGTGCGCGAAACCTAGGCACGAGACAAGTTGCATTCACCATTGCAACAAGTTGCACTGCACAAACAAATCGATCAACCTTCGCTTAAGGGAAATGTGCGCAAGCGTTGAGTAACTCAGTGCCCTTACCTTTGCTAATGTAAAATCCTTGATTCAGTAGTTTCTGCGACTTTGATGAGCGGTCACGATGATCAGTGAACCTGCTATCATACAAACGGATCTTGATAATCTGTTCGATTACAGTCTCCAATTGAACCGATGGTTCTTGAAACCGATAGGTGCCTGGCCTGCATCCCTCTCTACCTCCAAAATCGAAAGAATCGTTTCATTAATTTTGATCGTCATTTGTTATTGTTCCATACTCGCCACTGTAATTCCTTGTATACTATACATAATTCTCGATGACGATACCATTCAGACAAAACTGATGGTAATAGGTCCTCTGAGCCACTGGTTCGTAGGGGGCATTAATTATACAACACTGCTGTTGCGTAGCAAAGAGATACAATGCTGTGTGGAAGACATGCAAAACGATTGGCGCGCAGTGAAAAGATTGAAGGATCTACAAATTATGATAAAGGATACGAAATTCGGTCGTTACGTCATGATCTTTTGTGCAGCTTTTATGCAAGGTGGGGTCTTATGCTATTGTGTAATAACTGGTATCACTACGGAAATTATTGAAGTTGGAAACGAGACCAGAACTATTCATCTGCTACCATGTGCGGCTTATACCAAGCTGTTTCCAGTAGATACCAGTCCCACAAATGAGATCATTCTTATCGTGCAATGCATTTCTGGTTTCATCGTAAACTCTAGTGCTGTTGGAGCGTTTAGTTTAGCTATAGTGTTTGCGACTCACGCTTACAGTCAGCTGAATGTGCTAATGATATGGATCACGGAACTCGTAAAATCGTCCAGGAAGCAACATCAAAGCGCACATTTAAATGAAATTGGTGTTATCGTGGAGAATCATCTGAAAGCTTTAAGGTAAATGTTAAGTTATTTTGTAATTTTATGTTACAACTAAATGCATCAATTGCAGTTTCATATCACATATCGAGGATATGATGACTGAAATATGTTTTTGGGAATTATTCAAGTGTACTTTCGACATATGCTTGCTTGGATACTATGTCCTCGTGGTATGTTGAAAATTATGAAATGCGTAAGATTTAATTAATCTTTTTTTAAATTACAATAAATGAATATTATTAACGATTAAAATTACAAGAATTTCATTTTTCCAGCATTGGGACAATCGTGATTTTCAAAATCTAACTACCTGTATCGTTATACTTTGCTCCATGGCTTTTAACATTTTTATAGTGTGCTATATCGGTGAGATACTAACAGCACAGGTAAGTAAACTATAATTGTGACATAAGCCAAAACAGCATATATTTAATTAATCAGATTGCAGTACAAGAGAGTTGGTGAAACAGTGTATATGACAGAGTGGTATTACTTACCCGATAGAAATATCCTCGATTTAATACTGATCATTTCACGATCCAGCGTGGCGATCAAAATGACTGCTGGAAAATTTGTTAATATGTCACTTATTACATTTTCTAGTGTATGTTTATGTAACTTTTACGATCACACCAAACAAATCAGCGGCATTAATTTTACGATGTTCTTTACAATTCTAGGTGATAAAATCTGCTTTTGCATATCTCAATGTACTGCGACAAATGGTATGAACGAACAATATATCTGTAAATAAATTGATGAGATTTAGAGTATGCGTACAAAAGTACAAATAATTTTAAAATTAAAAATAAAATAGACATATATTTCGTCTAATGATAATTTGAACTCCTTTATATTTCAAGTTATAATCAACATCCCCTGAAGAGACAGTGGGTAACTATTAAACATGGTCGCGTTCACCACTGCAACAAGTTGCACAGTCTAGACAAATCGATCGATGTACGTTCTTGTAAGAAAAATCTGCGCAAGCGTTAAGCAACTTCATACACTCACTTTGTAGAATGTAAAATCCTCGATTCAGTAGTTTCTGCGACTTCGATGAGTAGTCATGATGATCAGTGAACCTGCTATCATACAAACGGATCTTGATAATCTGTTCGATTACAGTCTCCAATTGAACCGATGGTTCTTGAAACCGATAGGTGCCTGGCCTGCATCCCTCTCTACCTCCAAAATCGAAAGAATCGTTTCATTAATTTTGATCGTCATTTGTTATTGTTCCATACTCGCCACTGTAATTCCTTGTATACTATACGTAATTCTCGATGACGATGCCATTCAGACAAAACTGATGGTAATAGGTCCTTTGAGTCATTGGTTCGTAGGGGGAATTAATTACACAACATTGTTGTTGCGTAGCAAAGAAATACAATGCTGTGTGCAAGATATGCAAAATGATTGGTACGCTGTGAAAAGATTGAAGGATCTACAAGTTATGATAAAGAACGCGAAATTCGGTCGTTACGTGGTGATATCTTGCGCGGCCTTCATGCAAGGTGGCGTCTTATGCTATTGTGTGATAACTGGTATCACTACCGAGATTATTGAAGTTGGAAACGAGACCAGAACTATTCATCTGCTACCATGTGCGGCTTATACCAAGCTGTTTCCAGTAGATACCAGTCCCACAAACGAAATCATGCTTATTGTGCAATGCATTTCTGGTTTCATCGTAAACTCTAGTACTGTTGGAGCGTTTAGTTTAGCTATAGTGTTTGCGACTCATGCTTACGGACAGTTGAATGTGCTGATGATGTGGATCACGGAGCTCGTGAAGCCGTCCAGGAAGCATCCCCAGAATGCCTATTTGAATGAAATTGGTGTTATCGTGGAGAATCATCTGAAAGCTTTGAGGTAAATATTAAATTATTTTGTGATTTTGTGTTTTGTTATAAATAAATGCATTAATTATAGTTTCGTATCGCATATCGAGGATATGATGAATGAAATATGCTTTTGGGAATTATTCAAGTGTACGTTCAACATCTGTATGCTTGGATACTACGTCCTTATGGTATGTACAAAATTTTAAATACTTTTCTCAATATTACAGTAGGTAAGTATGTTTAACTCTAACATTACACGAATTTTTCCAGCATTGGGCCAATCGTGATTTTCAAAATATGACTACTTGCGTCATTATACTTTGTTCCATGGCTTTTAACATTTTTTTAGTATGCTATATCGGTGAGAAACTATCAGAACAGTGCAAGAAAGTTGGTGAAGCAGTGTATATGACAGAATGGTATTATTTACCCGATAAATATATCTTGGATTTATTACTGATCATTTCACGATCCAGTGTGGCCATCAAAATGACTGCTGGAAAATTTGTTCAAATGTCACTTATTACATTTTCTAGTGTACGTTTGTATAATTTTGTCAATCACCCAAAACCAATGAACAATGTTAAATTTACGACATTCTTTACCATTCTAGGTGATAAAAACCGCCTTTGCCTACCTCAATGTATTGCGTCAAACAACATGACAGAAACGATATTACGATGAATTTATACTTTAATAATGAATTTGTAAACAATTTTATAAGGTTTAAAGTATAAGCATTAAATTACAAGTAATCTGAGTACTGGTTACTGTGTTCCTCATCTCAACGTCTGACCGCAATGCACAAATACTACTTGATGGAGTCAGACTAGGCTTGCGAAGAGGCGTCTGACCATAAACGCACTATACTACTTGGCGTAGTTAGACTAGTTCCGCCAGGCTACGTTCCGAAATGGTTAAATATAAATCTACATTTTGTTGTTTTTATTTTTGTAGATAGATCAATGTGACCCGTGCCAAAGTTAAATAATTCCTAATTTAAGAAACGATATCAGAGCTCCATCATTCACCCTCTTTATTTTACACGAACTCGGCACAAAATAATGGCCACTGAAACTAATTATAAGTTAAAAGTTCACAAACCCCATCTCAAACTTGATATCCCACAATTATGCGAACGGGCAATGAGTAACGAGTAAGCACCATCGCGTTCACCACTGCAACAAGTTGCACAGTCTAGTCTAGTCGAATCGATCGACGTGTGTTGTTCCTTCGAATGAAATCTGCGCAAGCGTACACCAAGTGTCTGCATTTACCTTTTCCAACGTAAAATCCTTGATTCAGTAGTTTCTGAGACTTCAATGAATAGACATGGCGACCATTGAACCGACTATCAAACAAGCAGACCTTGAGAATCTGAGCGATCACAATCTCCAATTGAATAAATGGTTGCTAAAACCAATTGGAGCCTGGCCAAGATCATCCACTAGTACAAACATGGAGACAATCAGTTCATTAATCATGATCTCAGTTTGTTACTTCTGCATAGTGATCACCGTAGTTCCTAGTATAATGTACATGATTCTAGATGACGATGTGATTGACAGGAAGCTGAAGGTGGTTGGTCCACTGAGCCACTGGTTCATTGGAGGATTGAATTATACGACGTTGCTGATGCGTAGCAAAGAGATACAATTTTGTATGAATCAGATGAAAAGAGACTGGCGAGCAGTGACGAAATTGAAGGATCTACAAATGATGATAAAGGACGCGCAATTCGGTCGTTACGTGGTAGTCTTTTGCGCAGCCTTCATGCAAGTCGGCGTTTTGTGCTTTTGTGTAGTTAAAGCGTTCACCGAAGAGATTATTCATGTTGGAAACGAAACTAGGATTTCGCATATGCTTCCATGTCCGGCTTACAAGAAGCTGATACTAGCCTACACCAGTCCCGTAAACGAGATCTTCTTTGTCGTTCAATTTTTCTCCGGTTTCGTTGCAAATTCAACTGCTGCTGGTGCTTTCAGTTTTGCTGCAGTATTTGCGGTTCACGCATATGGTCAATTGAATTTGCTGATGATGTGGATCCAGGAACTTGTAAATCGATCGGAGAAGTACAATAAGAGAGTCGATTTGAATGAAATTGGTGTTATTGTGGAAAATCATCTGAAAATTTTGAAGTAAGTATTAATGCACTTTTCGATGTCTCATTTTGATATTACGAAAAATTCTGTTAACGTTAAGTACATTAATTACAGTTTTATATCGCATATTGAAAATATAATGAATATGATATGTTTTATGGAATTATTCAAATGTACAGTGTGTATATGCATGCTTGAATACCACATCCTCATGGTATGCTAAAAATAGTAAGAATAATGGACCTTTTTAATTTAAACTCTTCTTTAATTCAACATTTAGAATGGACTAGTCTACAGTTGCAAATAATACTTTTTACTAAAATATTACTATTAAAATTCTTGTTTTTGTAGGATTGGGCTGTTCGTGATTTTCAAGCTGTGATGAGTTATATCGTTATACTTTGTTCCATGTCGTTTAACATCTTTATAGTGTGCTATATCGGTGAGAAACTATCAGATCAGGCAAGTGAAAGATAATGCGAAATAATAAAGAACGACATATCAAATTATTCCAATTTGTAATAAATCCTTAATAGTGTAACAAAGTTGGTGAAGCAGTCTATATGACAAATTGGTATTATTTACACAATAAAGACATCCTCAACCTAATAATGATCATTTCAAGAGCCAATGTGGTAACCAAAATTACTGCTGGAAAGATACTTCACATGTCATTTAACACATTCGCTGGTGTACGTTCGCATAATTTTTTCAGCTGCGCAAAATCAATAGTTACATTTATAATATTCTTTATCGTTTTAGATGATGAAAACTGCTTTTGCGTATTTAAATGTATTACGACAAACGTTATAACAAAAATGTCATTCCAATGAATCTATAGTAAAAAATGATAATTTTGTAAATCAGAAGATCTGAAATATAGCTGTTTAATTATAATTAACTTAAGCCCGATGATGATGTTTACTATCTTATTCATTTATACTTACAAGACTGTAGTGAAATTTACACTTGTAACTTTACGTCAAATTTTATGTGGAAGGTATTCCCTCATATATAAGCTATCATTCGAGTAGCAACTAAGTGCAAACATCGTAGCGTGCACCACAACAGCAAATTGCAATTGCACCCCCCCGACGAATCGATAGAAGGGGGTGCTACAAAAAAATGTGCGCAAGCGTTGATAACTCATTGCTCTTACCTTTCCCATGGCAGAATTACCGGATTCAGTTGTTCCTGCGACTTCGAAGAGTAACCATGTCCACCGCTAAGCTCAGTGTGACACAGACAGATCTTGATCTTCTGTGCGATTACAGTCTCCAATTGAACAGATGGTTGCTGAAACCTATCGGAGCTTGGCCTAAATCATCCACCACCACAAAAATGGAAAAAGTTATTTCACTAATTTCGAACATAATTTGCTACTCCCTCATTTTAGCCGCAGTAATTCCTTGCGCACTGCACATAATCCTCGAGGATGAGGATATTCGTTTAAAGATCACAGCAATGGGTCCTTTCAGCCACTGGTCCCTCGGAGGTATCGGTTACACCACGTTGCTGATGCACGGTAAAGAAATAAAATGGTGCGTGGATCAGGTGAAAAGTGATTGGAAAGCTGCGACAAAGCCGGAGGTGCAACAAGTGATGCTAAAAGACGCGAAATTCGGTCGTTACGTGGTAGCCTTTTGCGCAATCTTCTTACAAGGGGCCATTTTGTCCTTCAATCTGCTAAAAGCATTTACTATAGAGATCGTTGAAGCTGAAAACGAAACCAAGATCATAAGGTTGCTACCATTACCGGCTTACAAAGGACTGGTACCAGTCGACACCAATCCCGCAAACGAAATTATGCTTTCGGTGCAAATCATTTCTGGTATCATCGTAAATTCTAGCTTTGTTGGTGCTTTCAGCTTGGCCACAGTCTTTACAGCTCACGTCTCTAGCCAATTGAATGTACTAATGATGTGGATCACGGAGTTCGTAGATCGATCGGCAGAGCACGAAAAATGTGCTGATTTGAAGGGTATAAATGATATCGTGGAGAAACATCTTACAATTTACAGGTAAGCTTTGTTGTTTATACCGTTACCTCATTTTGCTATTCAATGGAACTTCTGATAGCACTGAGTACATTGATTGCAGCTTCATATCACGTATCGAAGCTATAATGAATGAGATATGTTTCATGGAATTATTCAAATGTACATTTAGCGTATGTCTGCTTGGTTACTATATCCTTATGGTACGCCGTAACAAATATGTTTTGTGAACGTTATACATGCTGCATTTAACATATCTGTGTTTTAATAATTGATATGGTTTTCAGTCAGCAATAAAAGAATTATGTGTTCACAATTAATACTACTATTTGTACAATATTGATATTAAATACAGAATTAAAATCAGCTGAATTGTTGGATTATGCCTGACATTTCCTCGAGTTTTGTCTGGGATCTACTACTTGAGGTAGTAATGTCAATAAAATTTTTAAACCTCTTGTTTTTCTAGGAATGGGCCGATCAAGATTTCGAAACAATGACTTGTTATGCCCTAATACTCGGCTCCATGTCCTTCAATATCTTTTTACTCTGTTTTATCGGTGAAACAATAACTGAACAGGCAAGTGAACAAACATGGAAAGTAATTGAACTTGTGATAAGTGTTGATTTTCTAAATTCTTGACAGTGTTATAAGATTGGCAAGACAGTTTATATCTCGAATTGGTACAATTTACCTGAAAAGGTTGCCCTGGATCTAATGATGATCCTTTCAAGGTCCTCTGTGGAAACTAAAATCACTGCTGGAAAAATAGTTCACATGTCGTTTCATACGTTTGCCAGTGTACGTTTTTATCATTTTTCAGGTACACAACAACAATCCTTGTTAAATCCACGACATTCTTTACCATTCTAGGTGATGAAAACCGGTTTTGCCTATTTAAATATATTGCTCCAAACGGTATGACATAAATGCTATGAAAAATCTGTAGCTAAGTAACAACTTTGTATATCAATTTAAAATACGCAAAATATAGGTATTAACATGCCAATAATTTTAATATTATATTTATAGTACAAAAATCCAATAAAGCAATGCGAAAATGTCCCTTACACCTAAACGTACAATTGACGTTCCAGCAACATGCAACATACAAAATAGCGTTCACCACTGCAACAAGTTGCAGTTTCCCTATCCAGACGAATCGATCAAAGGGAGGAGCTTGGAGGGAATGTGCGCAAGCGTTGGTAACTCATTCCTCTTACCTTTTCCATGGTAGAATCCCGAATTCAGTTATTCCTGCAACATAGAACAGTGATTATGACAACCGTTCAACCGACCACGCTACAAACAGATCTGGATTACAGTCTCCAATTGAACAGATGGCTGTTAAAACCAATAGGCGCCTGGCCTAAATCATCAACCACCACAAAAATGGAAAAAGTTATTTCACTAATTTTGAACGTAATTTGTTATTCCTTCATTGCGATCACCGTAGTTCCTTGCATACTGCACCTGCTGCTTGAAAATGATGATATTCGCACGAAGCTGATACTTTTCGGTCCATTGTGCCACTGGGTCTTTGGATGTATCGATTACACAACGTTGTTGATGTACAGTAAAGAAATAAACTGGTGCGTGGAGCAGATGAAGAACGATTGGCAGGCTGTTACCAGAGCGGAGGTGCAAGAAGTGATGCTAAAAGACGCGAAAATCGGTCGTTACGTGGTCGCCTTTTGCGCGACATTCATGCATGCTGCCATTGTCTTCTATAATATAGTACAAACACTTACTACAGAGATTATTCAAGTTGGAAACGAAACCAGGGTCATACGTATGCTACCATGTGTGGCTTACAAAAAGCTGATACCAGTCGATACCAATCCCACGAACGAGATCATCTTCGTCGTGCAATTAATTTCTGGTTTCATCGTCACCTCTGGTCTCGTTGGTGCTTTAAGCTTAGCTACCGCATTTACGGCTCACGTTTACGGTCAATTGAATATTCTGATGATGTGGATCTCGGAGTTTGTGAATCAATCGAGACATCATGATAAGTGCGCTGATTTGAATGGTATACGTGCCATCGTGGAGAAACATCTTACAATTTTTAGGTAAGCTTTATCATTTAGCTGCTTCCCTTACTTTGTTATTTTGTGAAATTATTCGTAATACCGAGAACATTAATTGCAGTTTTATATCACATATCGACACTATAATAAATGGAATATGCTTCATGGAACTGTTTAGGGTTACATTTAGTGCATGCCTGCTTGGATACTACATTCTTGTGGTACGCTGAAAGTAATGAGAAGTGTACGTTTTAAAACTGTCTCCACCAAAGCTAACGTGTTACTAAAATTGCAAAACTTTTTATTTTCCTAGGAATGGGCCAATCAAGATTTTCAAAACATGATTAGTTATGCGCTTGTACTTGGTTCCTATTCTTTTCATATTTTTACGCTGTGTTTTATCGGTGAAACAATAACAGAACAGGTAACCGAACGATAATGCAAAGTAATTACGATTTGGATGGGCATTCATTTTTTACATTCTGGACAGTGTAATAAAGTTGGCGAGGCAGTTTATATGTCGAATTGGTACTATCTACCTGAAAGAGATATTCTCGACCTAATGCTAATCTTGTCAAGGTCCTATGTGACAACTAAAATCACTGCTGGAAAAATAATTCACATGTCATTCTATGCGTTTGCCAGTGTACGTTTTTATAATTATTCATCCCCACAAAATCAGTGCTTCATGTTAAATTCACTCTTTATCATTCCAGGTGATGAAAACCGCTTTTGCCTATTTAAATATATTGCTCCAAATGTTGTGATCATAATGGCATTACGATAAATTCAGATCTGAAAAATAAGTTTGTATACAAAATTTAAAACGCGCAAAACAGAGGTACTAAAGTACAAATAGTTTGAAGCCTGCGGTCCTTGTTTCTTACCTTACCATTTCTAGACTTACAAAAACGTAGATTAACGCTTCGGTTAACGTATATTTTTTTTAATTTATCGCTCATGTTGCCCCAGCAACACTGAATTAAGTTGGTGTCAAAATCTAAGTTGGAATCTGATTCTTGTATCTTTGCAGTTCCTTTTTATACCTGAAAGAAGAGTATTCATAGAATGTTCAAAAAAGCTACAAAACAAACGAGGAAGTGTCATTTACATTTCAAGATACAATCATCAGCACCAGCTACGAACGATTAACATCAAACGTCAGTAAGCATAGAAGCGTTACAATGTCTGCAACAAGTTGCATTGCCCGGTTCCATCGATCGGCGCACTGTAATTTCAAGAAACATGCGCAAACGTTTGAAACTCCTCTAATGCATAATCCTCGATTCAGTTATTTCTCCGACTTCGATGAGCAAACATGACGACCAGTAAACCTACTGTCATACAGACGGATCTCGATATTCTGAGTGACTACAGTCTTCAACTGAACAGATGGTTGCTCAAACCCATAGGCGCTTGGCCTTCATCATCTATCACCACAAAAACGGAAAGGGTGGTGTCTGTAATTTTGATCATAATTTGCTACTCCCTCATTTTAATCACAGTAATTCCTTGTCTATTGCACATAATCCTCGAGGATGAAGATCTTCGTACGAAGTTGATAGTGTTGGGTCCTCTTAGCCACTGGTCCCTCGGAGGTATCGGTTATACCATGCTATTAATGCACAATAAAGAAATAAAATGGTGCGTGGAGCAAATAAAAAGTGATTGGCAAGCTGTGACAAGACCAGAGGTACAGGAAATGATGATAAAGAACGCGAAATACGGTCGTTACGTGGTGGCCATTTGCGCGACCTTTTTTCAGGTTACCATTTTGGTCTTTAATGTAATCAACGGATTAACCGAGCAGGTTGTTCAAGTTGGAAACGAAACCAGGATCGTAAGAGTGCCACCAGTTGCGGTTTACAAAAAACTAATACCAGTTGATACCAGTCCCACGAACGATATCGTCCTGGTCGTCCAATGCATCTCTGGTATCATCGTAAGTTCTGGCTTTGTCAGTGCATTTAGCTTAGCTGCAATATTCATAGCTCATGCTTATGGTCAATTGAATATTCTGATGATGTGGATCTCGGAGTTTGTAGATCAATCGCGGGAGCATGATAAGTGTGATCATTTAAATGATATAGGTACCATCGTGAATAAGCATCTGAGTATTATGAAGTAAGTTTTGTTGATTGTCTCATTGCCTTATTCTGAGGAACTTTTGTTTATGCCGAATATATTAATTGCAGTTTTATATCGCATATTAAGAATATACTGAATGAGATATGTTTCATGGAATTCTGCAAATGTACATTTAGTGTATGCATGCTTGGATACTATGCCCTTTTGGTACGCTGAAAACTGTAAGGAACGTATACATATTTTGAAAATATCATATGTTATATTTTCTAAATAGTGGCAGTATCGTTATTAAATTTGCATTTAAATTCATCTGAATTTCTCTTTGTTTCGTTAAGTATAAATTATTAAAATACTGAAAGATTCTTACTTTTCTAGTCATGGACCGAGAAAGATTATCAAAATGCAGTTGGTTATGCGCTCCTACTTTGTTCCGTATCTTTCAATATTTTTGTACTGTGTCTCATCAGTGAGACAATAACAGAACAGGTAAGTAAAAGACAATGCAAAATACAATAATTAGGCTGATGGTAAACATTTATATTTTAAATTCTTGGCAGTGCAATAAAGTTGGTGAAACCGTCTATATGTCGAATTGGTACTACTTACCTAAAAAAGACGTCCTCGAACTAATGTTTATCATTTCAAGATCCTTTGTGGAGACTAAACTCACTGCTGGAAAAATAATTCACATATCATTTTATACGTTTGCTGGTGTACGTGGTTGTTATTCTTCAATCACTTAAAACTAATATTTCATAATAAATCTATGACATGTTTAACATTCTAGGTGATGAAAACCGCTTTTGCTTATTTAAATATATTACTCCAAACCATATGACACGAATGGTATTACATCAGATCTGTAGATAAACAATAATTCTGAAAATAGGCTTAAAACATATAAACATGTATACATATATTTAAAATTAGTCATTGCATTTCTAACTTATTCTTTTTCTATTTGTTGCATTCCAAATCCTTATATTTAATCACCCAACGAACCCATCCCTGCTGTTCAGAACAACGTCAATCTCCCTTTTTATTTCGCGTTTCAATAGAACTCCTTATAATACTTTGAAAAAGAAAAACTATACCTTATATTCAAACCCATGATCATTGTCCAGCGTACAGCTAATAGGTACTGAACACAGTGCATACTGTTCACTACTGCAACAAGTTGCACAGTCTAGACAAATCGATCGATACATGTTCTACAAAGAGAAACCCGCGCAAGCGTTAAGTAACTTCATACGCCTATGTCGAATGTAAAATCTTTGAGTCAGTAGTTTCTGTGACTTCGATGAGTAGTCATGATGACCAATGAACCCGTGGTCGTACAAGCCGATCTCGATCGTCTGAGCGATTACAATCTCCAGCTGAACCGATGGTTATTGAAACCGATTGGTGTCTGGCCCGGATCATCTTCTACGTCCAAAATTGAGAGAATCCTTTCATTAGTTTTGAAAGTAATTTGTTACTGCTTTATCATTTTCACGTTAGTTCCAGGCTTAGCGTACCTAATTCTCGAGCCTCAAGATTTTCGTTCGAAGATAAAAATAGTGGGTCCTATGTCCCATTGGTTCGCTGGTTGCATTAGTTACACTGCATTACTCTTACGTAGCAAAGATATACGGTATTGTGTAAATAATATTGAGGCCGATTGGCGGTCTGTGACGAAATCAAAGGTACAACAAGTGATGCTAAAGAATGCAAAATTTGGTCATAGTGTAGCGGCTTTTTGTGCGATTTTCATGCACGGGGGTGTTTTATGCCATTGCGTAGTAATGGCGTTTACCATGGAGAGTGTAGAAGTTGGAAACGAAACCAGAACCATACACAAGCTGCCGTGTGTGGCTTACACGAAAATGATACCAGTAGACACCAGCCCCACCAACGAGATCGTTCTTGTCGTGCAATTCATTTCCAGTTTCATCGTAAACTCTACCGCTGTTGGGGCTTTCAGCTTGGCTATAGTGTTTGCATCTCACGCTTACGGTCAATTAGATGTACTGATGATGTGGATCACGGAATTTGTAAATGAATCGGAAGAACTTGATAAGAATGTCGAGCGGAATGAAATAAGGGTGATCGTGAAGAATCATGTGAAAATCCTCAGGTAATTCTCTTGTTATCCTTCAACGTATAATTATTTGTTAACTTGTTATATTGATTGCAGTATGATATCGCGTATTGAACACATTATGAGCCCGATATGCTTATTGGAATTGTGTCAATGTACCTTGGCCATGTGTCTTCTTTGTTATTTTATTCTTACGGTATGTTGAAAACTTACGTTCTTTTTTTCTATTTATGCTAGCTTTTTTAAATCTTTGTCAAACTCACCCCTGTGAACATAAAAGTATGTTTAATTATATAGCAATTGTATATTTTTTTAGGAATGGGAGGGACGCGATGTTCAAAATTTAGTTACTTATGTTGTTGTACTATTTTCTGTAACCTTCAATGTTTTTATAATGTGTTATATCGGTGAGAAGTTATCGGAACAGGTAACAAAGGAACATTAATATAAGAATTATTTAAAATATAATAAACATTAACTGAAAAAATTCTTAATAGTGCAACAGAATTGCTGATGCGGTTTACTCGACAAAATGGTACTATTTGCCTTATAAAAATGTCCTTGACCTAGTTCTGATCATTGCTAGGTCAAGTGTCGTCACTAAGATCACTGCCGGGAAAGTAGTTTACATGTCTGTGTACACTTTCGGCGATGTAAGTAGAATAATATCTAAACAAAAATTTATTCATTAAAGAAAAAAAGGGAATATTGAAATCGCTTACTGTTTTAGGTGATCAAAACTGCTTTCACGTATATAAATTTACTACGACAAACGATATAACTGAAACACACCTACTATGAACATATCACCTATGTAAACTCGAGTAGAAACCTGTAGAATGTTAAATACATAAAGCTTTTCATTATTCAAAACGATACATATCACTCATAGAACTGTCCAATCTTTAGAAGTACTATTAATTACAAATATTAACGCGTTCACTTAATTCAATTTACTCAAATTCTCTACAAAAACAAATACACGTTGCAGGTAATTCCGTACGGCGAATCAAGGAGACTTGAACTGCACTAACTTTCCTCGATGCATCTAATTGCAATGATGTGGGTAGTTATAATTGCACATGCGCGAAACTGAAGCTCTTCAATAATCGATGTATTACTGTTCACGTTGCCTGTCAGTTATGCGTGCACTTTCAACTAGTCAATATGATTGCACCCACCAATATCCCGATGAAGGACGATTGGATGTACAGTATCCAAATGAACCGTTGGTTCCTAAAGCCGATCGGTATCTGGCCGCTTTCGTTGTGCCTGACCACCTTCGAAAAAATCAATTCTGTAATTCTGTCGTTGATCAGCATCTTCCTGATAGGCTTTCTCCTTGTCCCGTGCGCGTTGTGCACCGTGTTCGACAAGACCGGTAATCTAGACACCAAGATCAAGATGATCGGTCCTCTCAGTTTCTGCGTGATGGCTGCGATCAAATATTACATCCTGGTGTCGCGAGGAGGGAAGATAAGCAAATGTATTGAGAGCATTCGTTTGGACTGGGCTCGAACACGCTCGATACGATACAAAGAGAACAGGGAGATGATAATCGAGAGTGCTAAGACAGGCAGATCTATCGCCATTTTTTGCGCAGGATTCATGTATTCCGGGGGATTTTTCTACACCACCGTGATGCCTTTGTGCAGCAAACGGACGGAGATAATTGATAACGAAACCGTGAGATCTCAAGCTTTCCCGATTTATCGCGGCTTGCTTGATCCACGCACCAGCCCTTCCTTCGAAATCGTGCAATTGATGCAATGTTTGGCTGGATTCGTGATATACTCCGTTACCGTTGGTTCTTGCAGTCTGGCCGGGGTGTTCGTCATGCACGCTTGTGGACAATTCAAGATTCTTATAGGGAAATTGGAGAAATTGGTCGATGGGATTCCGGAGAAGGATGACCTGGATACGCACGAACAAAGGATGGGAGACATTGTCGAGCATCACTTGCAGATACTTAGGTAATAAATTTTTTATTTGCATCGAAATGTGAGATGGTCTTCTGTGAATTTTTGTATATTAATAATTTCAAAATATTTTATTATTTTTGGGGGATTAAATTTTATTGGATGTATCAGACAAACGCGGTCAACAAGATGAATAAAATACGCTAATTGTGATTTTTAGGTTTATATCACAAGTCGAAGGGCTTCTAAATGAGATCTGTTTGGTCGAACTGGTCGGTTGTACGATGAATATATGCTTTCTAGGCTATTATTTACTCACGGTAAGAAATTATATTTAATGCAAACAATTTTTTGTTCAAGTTATATTTAACATATTTTGTTGTCAGTCTTATTTTTATTTAGGAATGGGAACAGAATGAAACTATCGGAACAATGACGTATTGTACATTGCTTATATCCTTTACCTTCAATATTTTCATACTGTGTTATATCGGTGAAATCTTGTCGGAACAGGTACCTTATTTCTCTAATAAATAGTGAAACTAATTGATCTTACCTGAATTATTTTAATTTTGTAGTACAGAAAGATTGGCTTAGCAGCGTATATGATCGACTGGTACCGTTTACCAGAGAGAAAAGCACTGGGGTTGATATTAGTGGTTGCTGTATCCAACTCTTCCATAAAATTAACAGCCGGAAAATTAGTTGAATTATCATTAAACAGCTTTTGCAGCGTAAATAGTCTATGAAACTAATTATTTCTAGACTGCAGAATTCAAGTATCATATTTGATCAGAACCTATTTTATATTGCAGGTGATAAAATCGTCATTGGCATATTTGAGCTTACTTCGTACGCTTACAACATAAAAACAGATCGTTTTATTAAATAAGAATGTATTGTATTTACCTTATAGAATATATTTCAAGAAAAATTAGATTTTCTTCGACAACCCTTTTCACGTTCTCCACTGAAATCAAAATTATCCCTTGTTTGCACTCACAACAGATTGCAACGAACGTGAAGCAACATGTGATTAGGGCGCGTTACTGCTATCGATCACAAAGTACAACTTCGTTATTCCCAGTCACCTGCGTTTCGCGCCTGCGTCGGCTTCGACGTCGTTCACTCGTCGTCGTACCTCGAAGGCGTCGAGATGCACGTTCGTTCGTCCAATGGTGACGATCGTTCACCTAACAAGCATTACGACACCGACATACATTACACGTTTCAACTTTGCCAATGGATCCTCAAACCGATCGGTATTTACCCTTTCGTCTACAGCAACGTAAGCAAACTCGAACGTGCGCTATCTGCAATATTGCTGATCACATGCTGCTCCGTTATACTATTCGTCATCGTACCATGTGGCCATTACGTCTTGGTCTACGAGAAAGACATAAATACAAGGGTTAAATTTCTCGGTCCACTCGTGTTCGGTACGACATCGCTAATTAAATACATTTATCTGTGTTTGAAGGGCCATGCATTTGCACGATGCATCAGACATATCGAAAGAGACTGGAAGATGTTGCAGGATCAAGATCATCGCGATGTCATGATCAAATATATAACCATGGGACGCAATCTCATCACCATATGTGCAATGTTTCTGTATACCGGTGGCCTGTCTTACCACACGTTCATGCCATTACTTTCGAAGATAAACGTGGAGAACGTGACCATCAGACCGCTCACTTATCCTGGCTACGAGGCGTTCTTCGACGTCCAACAAAGTCCTACCTATGAAACAGTCTACTTTACGCATTGTTTTTACGTAATGGTGACCGGTAATATTACCATGGCTGCCTACAGCATGACGACTGTTTTTACCAGTCATGCCTGTGGTCAGATGAAGATACAAATACTACGGCTGGGAAAGTTGACGAATAGAGGGGTGCTAGAGAAACCTAAGGAAGTTCGTCTGGCGATTATTGTAAGAGATCACGCGGAGATATTAAGGTGAGAATATTGAATTATAGACTGTCTTGAGATCTGCATTGCACTTGGGTGTACAATCACAAACACTTTAATCAGTTCAAAGAAACGTTAAAAGAACGGTATTTAGGGATTTAGAATAAAGGAATATCAAACTTAGGCTGAGACAGAGTCAAAGCATGCGTACCAGCGAGTACACAAGGGATCCGCCCCCTGGAGGTTACCCCACAGATGTGAGCCAACCAAAGAAGCACCCATTGAAAATGCTTTGTAGCATTACTAGATTTCTCCATTGCCCATCCTGGGAATGATGGTTTCCAATGTTGGAAGTGTACAGTGCACCGTTCAGATGTTGCGGAGGCTAAGGAATGCGGGTACGATTGGTCAGAGGTTTCTAGTCACGCCTAATGCACACGCATTCTAGACCGTCGCGCGTTATTGGTCGAAACGCTCACACATACTAAACCCGCCGCTTGCACACCGCAAAGTCAAGTGGTGTAGGTGCGTAACGACGTTGGGACTAAGCGGGACAGACCGAGGAGTCATTCCTTAGCCTCCGCAACATCTCATCGGTGCACTGTACATACAGTACAGTATAAGTTGGATAAACGCCTGCTGAGATCCTAACCATCCCCACCACTTATACTGTAGTTCCTTTGAACTGACAATAAACAAACCTTAGCATAATTCTAATGGTAAATTTAGTATTAAATGACAATGAACATTTATAGATTCACCAAGAACGTTGAGAAAGCATTGGGTGAAATATGCTTAATGGAAGTGATAGTGTCTACGATGCTAATATGTTTGGTGGAGTACTACTGCATAATGGTAAACAGCCCAGATACAATTACAAATATGGTATGGGAAATAAGTAAAAACATTGACATGTTTCAGGAATGGGGAACTAGTGATTCAGTCGCCATATTAACTTACGCGGTTCTCTTGATTTCTTTTATCTTCGTCATATTGATGTTTTGTTATTTGGGGGAGCTTCTTCTGCAACAGGTACTCTCGAGATACTCATGGACTCATTCACACCTGTTCATCTCATTATTCATCAATTCCTTAACATAGGATACTTAATCATTGTCATAATAGACATGAGTATTGTATCAGGGGAACAAAGTCGCGTCCGCTTCTTACGAAACCGAATGGTACAATCTTCCGGCGAGAAAGGCGCGTGACATCGTTCTGTTGCTCGCCATTTCGAAATATCCACCGAAACTCACGGCTGGCAAGATTTTTGAGCTGTCTTTAAACATGTTTGGCGTTGTACGTGATTCACTGTACATATAAATACGAGACTTTTAACGATTGAGACACTAATAATTTGCAGATATTGAAATCGTCGGTAGTTTACCTGAATGTGCTGCAGACGATCACCGAGTTCTGATCAGAAATTAAGATTTAAAATTTATATAATAGTCTGTTGAAACATCGAGGTAAGTGACATATTTTATTCTAATTGATTGTCTAATTAATTACACGTGAAATTAATTTATACTATGTTAATAAAACAGATATAGTCATGATAAGTATGAACTTGTTTGCATTTACACACATTGGTTTGCATTTTATAATAATATACGCCGTACAAATTTCACCACAAATATCGCAGTACTATAACAACATACTCATCGTCCGATCAAACAATGTCTACTCACTATTCTACTTTCCCCTACAACTCGACCTCTCCCATTCGCAACTTGCAAAAAACATCTCTGTAATTATTAACGATTCGAACCGTCTGTGCTTCTATACTTTGTATTTTTCAAAGTTCGCATGTAATTATCAAAGACAAAAGCGGCGCTTGCGTACTAACACACCCGTATTAAAACTTTCAACCCTTTCGTTCAGTCGATCGCGTGCACCAGTATCGCCATGATGCACGATCGATCTTTCGACGTTGTTCAAAAAAATTCTTATTATTCAGCCGACATACATTACGCTCTTCAGATGTGCCAATGGGCTCTAAAACCCATAGGCATATGGCCTCTCGTCAACAATCGTGCTACCAGATTAGAACAGCTCGTTTCCATAGCTCTGTTAACATTCTGCTATTCAGTATTGCTCTTCATCCTGATTCCATCCGGTCGTTTCATCTTCTTCGAGGGATCCATCAGCACAAAAGTGGGACTGTTTGGTCCAGTCGGCTTCTGTCTATCGTCCACGATTAAGTATATTTGTCTTATCCTAAAAAGGACAGACATTGAACGTTGCATCGAGCATGTAGAACGAGACTGGAGAACGGTGCAAAATCAAACTCATCGTTCCATCATGTTGAAGTGCTCAGCGTTTAGCAGAAATCTCATCACTCTCTGCGCTATTTTCCTGTTTAGCGGTGGTATATCGTATCACACCATAATGCAATTTTTATCTAAAGACAAAAGACGAAACAACGCCACTATCAAACCATTGGCTTATCCTGGTTACGATGCGTTCTTCAACTCTCAATCTACTCCAGCATACGAGATCGTGTTCTGCGTTCACTTTGTTACTGCAATGATTATGTATACAGTTACTACTGGTGCATACAGTTTGCTTGCAATATTTATTACACATATATCTGGACAAATTCAGATACAATTAAAAAGGTTGGAAGGGTTGACGAACGAGAAACCGGAGAAAGATGGTCATCGTAACTTTTTGGCCACTATCGTTTATAATCACGTAGAGATTTTGAGGTAAGAGATGGGAAATGATAATGATGGAATAGAGAAACTTAGGTTGAATTTCAGGTTCTCGAAGATCGTTCAGGAAGCTTTGAAAGAGATTTGTCTAACGGAAGTTGTGGAATGCACGATGATTATGTGCATGCTAGAGTATTACTGTATAATGGTAAATGATTATTTTAATAACTATTTATAAAAATAATTTGTGTCTATGTTATCATACTTTTAGTCGTGGAGAGCAGGCGATATGGTGAAGGTAATGACGTATCTCACTTTGTTAATTTCCTTCACTTTTAATATATTTATATTCTGCTATATAGGGGAGGTTTTAACTGAACAGGTACTTACAAAAAAGTCACAGATAATTAGGTCCCTTTAAAATTGAAATCAGGTACTATTATAATAGACATAATCATTTCTTCAGTGTAGTCAAATCGGTACTCTCTCCTATGAAATTGATTGGTACAATCTACCTGCAAAGAAAGCTCACGATCTCATCTTGCTAAACGTCATATCGCAAAATCCACCAAAATTGACCGCTGAGAAAGTAATCGAGTTATCATTGAACACGTTCACCGTTGTAAGTGAAAATCATATTTTACCTTAAAATAGGCAGTCAAACATTTGATATTAAATAAATTTCAGGTAGTGAAAACATCTGTAGTTTACATGAATTTACTTCGAACAGTTACAGACTGATGATGGATTTCAAATTTTTTATTCTAACTCTATTCTCATCAACAAATAATAAATTAACAATCCACCCCACGTGGGAATTTATGTTACAGACAGTAATTAATCCAGATGAATTCATTAAATTTTTTACATATCATTTCTTCAAAGCTAAATGTGTCTTATCATCCTGAATTAAGACTTTGACACTTAAATGACATTGTAATACACAATTTACGTGATACACTTAATCACACTTACACCCTCAAAAAATAAATACAAAGAAACTACAAATAAAACGCGTACGAAAATATAATACATGTTTCAAACTGCAATAAAGCTTAATCATCGTGCGCTACTATGTCTTATGTGCACCCTCTTGCTCGAAGTACCATTCTATAGAATCTATGGTTACCTTCTGTTATAATTTCATACATTTACTCGTCTAAGAATGGTAATCGATCTGACCACAATCAAAGGGGATACACGCACACAATATCACAACCACCAGCTCGATAACCTTTCAATCAATGTGTCCCATGTCCCGTGAACAGTCGTTTCTGAACTGTCATCGAGTATGCATCTCATCGTTCAAGATCAGTACGATTGCACTTCGCAAAATCAAAATTACGAGAGCGATATCGTTTATGCAACAAACCACAACAAATGGATCCTAGCGTCCCTCGGTATTTGGCCATCGTTAAAAGGTCGCAAGAGATTTTTGTCGGAAATCGCATTCGGACTCAGCAACTTGGTATTCTTCTTCGCTATAATACCGTTCATCCTGCACATCGTCTACGAGGAAAAGGATACGTTGATAATATTGAAGCTCTTCGGCTTCCTCATCTTCTGTTTGATTTCGCTGTTGAAATACTGGGTTCTCACTATACGCAAACCAAAGATTGAGAAATGTATCGAACAGATGCAAACCGATTGGAAACAGGTCAGTATCCTCAGCGTTCTAAAGGAACCTCCCTACGTAAATCAGACAAACCGGAAACCGAATGTGGCAGGTGGAATTTCACAGGAACCGTGAAATGATGCTGAAATATGGGAAAACTGGTCGTAACCTGACGATACTCTGTATCATATTCATGTACAGCGGTGGTACCATTTATCATACCATCATGCAATATGCGATAGGAACGTTCGTCGATCAAAATAATCGTACAATCAAACCATTAGTCTATCCAACATACAGTGCTCTCTACGATGTCCAAAAAAGTCCTATTTACGAATTGGTGTACATCGTGCACTGTATGTGCGGATACGTTATTTATTCGGTGACAGCTGGTACATGTGGATTAGCTGCACTTTTCACAACCCACGCTTGTGGACAAATCGACATCGTCCTGTCTCGTTTGAACGATCTCGTTGATGGTAAAATGGCCAAAAGGAATGTTGATCTAAACAAAAGATTGATAGAGATCGTTGAACATCATCTACGAATCTTGAGGTACAATTTACATATTTCTTTAATAAAGATGATTAATTATTGACGATGGTTTGCAGATTTTCTGCAGTGGTAGAAAGTATTTTGCAAGAAGTGTGCTTTTCGGAGTTTATTGGCTCTACATTGTTGATATGCTTGCTCGAATATTACTGTATAATGGTGCGTTGAAGTCCGAAATTCTTTCATGATTTAATAAGTTCAATGTATATTTTCCTATTAGGATTGGAGGCAAAGGAACATAATTGGACTTACGACATATACGATGCTACTGATATCTCTAACGTTTAATATATTCATATTATGCTACATTGGCGAGCTCGTAATGGAAAAGGTACATCTTTTTTAATCTTTGAAATTATCCATCAACATTATTATTATTTGGGCGGAGAAGTTGTTTTATTTATTATTCGATTACTTATTTTTGTACATTATAGAGTAGTAGCGTTGGAACATCCTGTTTTAAGATCGAATGGTACCGGTTACCAACTAAAACAATACACGGACTTATCTTGATCATAGCTATATCAAATAATCCAGCAAAACTTAGCGCTGGCGGTGTAGTTGATTTATCCTTGTCTACTTTTGTAAGCGTATGTTTCCACAAATATTTTATTGATAACTTACATATTATATTACTAGCAATTAGTCATTAATTATCATCTTATCGTTATAGATTCTTAAGTCATCGTTGGGGTATCTAAGTATCCTTCGAACAGTTATTATATAATTCATGAACTACTCTATTATCTGTGTAACTATTCGTATAAAATGTAACAAATATATTCTGACAGAATTTGCTATAATTTGTACTCGATTCATTACTTGTTTGGGCCACCGACGAGATTAGTAGTTTCTCGTCGGTGTTTGAGCTAAACTTTCGAAAACCTGCCGAATCGGATTTGACTGAAACTTTGCAGATAGCTTTATTTTAGATAAAAACAATATTTGTGAAGAGGATTTTTGGTGATTCGAAAAATAAGATACAAAAATGTTGCCGGTCGTCTTCCAGCGGTCGGTAAAAAACAATTTAAATTTAACTTAATTTATTTTTAATTATATATTTGATACGTCCTCACGGAAGCTGTCTTTCCACTCTATTTTAACAAGTACTATACAGAGATCGTAAGTTGCCGAGCACCAACAAACTAAACAGCACAGGGTCAAGGGGACTGGACTGGGTATAATACTACAAACAGACCCCAACAGCGAAAAAACATGTGGGGCCATCTACCGTATTGTGCTAAAAATGAGCTTTTCGATTTGGCCGATCGGGAGCGCAAAAAATAAATGGAATTATAGTTCTCTTCAACAACATCGGATGGCATCATCTTATCAAAAAAGCGCCATCTCTTCTCCTAACCTCTATTTAGATAAATAAAGTAATTTATTAGACTTAGAATATTTTAATTTACATCATTTCTTTTTTAGAAAAATAACAGTCAATTTTTATAAACAAATAAATGCAAATTTAAGATTTTAATCAATATTATTGTATCTAAAGTATTATTTTGACTCTATCTGTACTGTAGGCAAGTTGTTCTGTTTCCGCTTCCAGTTAAGTCTTTTGGATTGTTGATTCCTCTTGTAGCGCCAGCATAAAACATGGACAATCGTTCTATCTCAAAGAAGAGGAAGGTTTGTGAATTTTAATCATCCACGATCAATGATTTGCAAAAATATGACATTCGTCATAGTAATAAAACCAAAAGAAAGATTATTTTGACAGAAAATAAGCGTATATGACACGTGAAAACTGTAGATGACATGGATGCTTTCAGCTGTTTTCATACTTGGCTGTACTTCGTATATAATAAACGTTTTAAAATATCCGTTTTTATTTATAATGAAATAATTTATAATTATTATTAAATAAAGTTAAATATATTCAAGAGCTGTAATTATATCTTACGTTTGTTTTTAGTTCACTCATATCAACAAATACGCTTTTTTAGCTTAACTTGTAAATGATTAAAAAACTGATTTATGGTTAATAAGATGGTTAATAATTTGATTTTCAGTTCGTTGGAGATGGTGTCTTCAAAGCTGAGTTAAATGAGTTCTTAACTCGTGAGCTCTCAGAAGATGGATATTCAGGAGTGGAAGTACGTGTCACTCCTCACCGTACCGAAATTATTTTGCTGGCCACTCATACACAAAGTGTTCTTGGAGAAAAAGGTCGTAGAATCCGAGAATTAACTTCTGTTGTACAGAAACGATTCAATTTCAAAGAAACACAAAATATTGAATTGTATGCAGAGAAAGTTGCAACTCGTGGACTATGTGCTATTGCTCAAGCAGAATCCCTACGTTTTAAATTAATTGGAGGTCTTGCTGTTCGAAGGTTCGTTTAAAGACTTATATTGGTTAATGATATAGCTTGCTGATTATAATATTTGTACATAATTTTAGGGCTTGCTATGGAGTTCTCCGTTTTATTATGGAATCAGGAGCAAAGGGTTGTGAAGTTGTTGTCAGCGGTAAACTGCGTGGACAGAGAGCAAAATCAATGAAATTTGTTGATGGATTGATGATTCACTCTGGTGAACCTACCAATGAATATGTTAATACTGCAACACGTCATGTACTTCTTAGACAAGGTATAGTTAACAAAATCATACAAAAATAAACAAAAGCCAAAATTGTTTTTAATTTAAATTATTCTTTCTCAGGTGTGCTTGGTATCAAAGTAAAAATTATGCTCCCATATGATCCTCAAGGCAAAACAGGTCCGAAGAAACCTCTGCCAGACTCTGTTTCAATTGTTGAACCAAAAGATGAAATATTCCCTTCACAACCAACATCTGAAGTGAAAGCATCGAAAGATCTACCACAGCCAACACCAATTGCGGTGTAATTTATATACAAATGAAAATAAACTTTTAAAAGGAAAGATTTTTTATTTTTCCTTTCAATATCAATATCATGAGAACATGATATTGTGTCATGTAATGTTTCATAATCACAACAAAGAAATGTTTTCATATTTTTATTTACCAAAACTTCATATATTATATTTAATCATTTTTCTATATAAAGATGTTCGGCTCCTGATGGACATGCTTTAAGGAGGCAGTAGCCAGGATAATTCTGAACAACATTTTGTTTTACCAAACCTACTGTTAAAGTTTAATTTTTTGAATTATTAATGAGCTTGATCGAAGTTACGTTTACTATATTACCGATGCAATGCAGAATAATTGTTCGCGGCCACCCAGCTGCCATCCTGTCAAAGCATGCCCACCCGTAACCGAACACACTGTACATTATGAGTAAAATTCATTTACAATAAACGCAGTAAAATATTTTTTAAAGACCAGATAACTGACTTTTTGAGATGAACTAAACGCACATATCTAAATGCTGTTTTACTATAAACTCTATAGAACAACTCATATTTACATCAAATAATAGAACGATTTATCAAACATTAAATGTTTAACATATTGATTAATTTCTAAAGAACCGTAGATTGCATAAATATAGATGACAACACATTTTTGAACAATACCAAAATATATCCAACTGTGAGACATAATACACATTAACCAATATTCCTGTATTCCTCATTGTATATATGATATTAATTTATTTTACAGGTGAACAGTTGTTCAAACGGTGAAGAGGTACATCACAATAATAATTTAAAAAAAAAGGAAACAAACAGAAGATTTGAATAAATTCTAATGGTGAGCTTGTGTCATATGCACATTTATAGTAATTTAGAAAGATGTAGTTAAAATCTTATTACAAATCGACATTATGTATTACAAAACATTAAAAATGCAATTACACAATTCAATTGTACAAGTGTTTTGCTATGTAGTAAATAAATTCTAAATCTAGTCTAATAATAAGTTGTATGAAATATTTTCAAAATGTCATTTATCATTCATAATATTCGTAAATGAATACTGACATCAATTGAGATTTTTATAACTTATACTTAGATTATTAGCATACACCATTTAATTAACTGTAACTTTCGGTTACTTTCAACATTTCCACTCCATCAATCATATGAAATTATATGGACCCTAGTACCCTAGGAAATTTATTTTGAAAACTTAACGTATATGTTTAAAATATCAAATTATTGACGAACTGGAGCCATTTGTTGAGTAAGTGATAGTAAACCTTCAATTATCCGTCGCACTATAATTGGGACCGCCGGTTTTCTTGAAACTGAACTCAGTCCATTTCTAAGTTCATAGAAAACATTGCGGGTAAATGGATTTCTCTGTGATGCCAGACGTAATTTTAAAAATTGAAAGTAAATAAATGGTGTTAATAAACCGGCACGACCCCTGTAAAAAAAAAAAAATTTGCACATTATGTTTAAAAGTTAGCTTTACAAAATTAATAAGTAGAAATACATACGTGAATACAAGAAAAACTGTGAGTGGCAAAATAACTATTTCCGACAATGCGCAGATGCGTAAAATATTCCGTGATTGAAACTCAACTAAGGATATTAAAAGTCGTGCTCCCCACCAACTATTCTGTCCTAAACACTTAATTAAAAAAAGATAAATTATTGTTTGTTGCCATTATATGACTGGGTGTATTATTACATTCCATTGGTATTACATGATACAGCATTTTTATATGGAATTTTTTTACTTACATCAATTAATGTAAGAGAATAACTAGCAAAATGTATCAGTGCAAATAAAAATATAGGAGTTAACACCACTAATTAATAGTTTAGGAAAAATATTTATAAAAGCATAATTCTATAATATGTTAAAAATACTCTACTATCCTATATAATATGAAGTAAAAAGGATACATGTAACTGGAGCTGCATATAAAAATATCAAAGAATAAAATAAATAATGACAGGAATCTTCAAGAAATAAATGTTCCAAAAATTGCCTATTAAGTTGAACACGTGGTACCCTTTGATGAAGACGTAATGCACTAGTTGCTGCATTACTCATTAAAACTTTATAATAAATATTATAAGAATTGCTGAAAGGTATAAAATATGAAGTTAAATTCTTAAACTTATAAAAATACATGATGTAAAACAACATACCCAAATATAGGAATGATATAACCAATAGTAAATATAATAGTGAAAAGTCTTGTAATCCATAATCCAACTTTAATTTTATTGTCAATAATATGTTGCCGCAAAGCCATCCATCCTTTCTCTACTTGTGGTGAATTATCGCCCATTGTACTTGAAGTATCTGCCATCCTGAAGCAAACATTCAGTTACGTTTGATTTTTACATTATAAAACTTTCACAAACATGTCAAATGCAAATCGCGACGTCTTTTCTAAAGTGAAAGCAAATAATTTGGAAGTATCATACAATTAAATAATGTAAGTTCATTAATTCCATTAAGATTTCAGCAAAATTTAATGATAATTTTAACTGTATCAATTGTTAAGTTTCACTAAAATTATGTTTTTACGAAACAGTTAGCCTACTTTTTCAATTCAAATGTTCAATAACTCTATTTACAAATGAAATACAATTCATGAATTATTAACAACTCCAATGATTTCAAATAGACTTACTTTATATTATGGTAGATCAGATCTTGATTTATTTAATACAAAATTTGAGTTTCTAGAAACGCTCGTACGGATATGTGTCTTTATGAATTCAGTAAGCTAAATCATCTACGCAAATTTATTACCTACGTATCGTATAATTTTCCCAGGTAGGTTAATAATTACTCTAGAGTTTCGTTTTCAAGTTTTCTTATTTCTCTACTAGATGGTGCAAATAATTTATTAAGTGTCGTACCCTATCGACATTTTAGTGAACTACATAAGAACATTTTTGGAGATCCCTGCATTCTCTTCATCGCTACATTCTTTTCATCCATACATTCTTTTCATCCCTACATTCTTTTTATTCCTACATTCTCTTCAGCCCTACATTCTTTTCATCTCTACATTCTCTTCATCCCTACTTTCTTTTCATCCATACATTCTTTCCATCCCTAAATTCCTTACATAGCTTCATCCCTTATATCCCTGCATTCCTTACATCCCGACATTCCTTACATCTCTTCATCCCTTACATCTCTGCATCCCTTACACCTCTGCTTCCCTTACATCCCTGCATCCCTTACATGGATGTATCTTTTACATCCTTGTATCATTTATATTCCTGCATTCCATACATCCCAGTACCTCCCTGAAATTGAGTTGAAATTTTTGCGGCAATAAGGCCTGCGATATTATACAAATTTAGTTCCTTTTTCGCCACCAGAGGGCGCTGGTTCGACATCGAAATTTTAGTCCACATTTTTGCCGCCAGAGGGCCAGAAATCGTGCAAGCTTTAGTTCCCCTTTTCGCCGCCAGAGGACGCTGGTTCGATGTCGAAATGTTAGTTCACATTTTTGCCGCCAGGGGGCCAAAAATGGAGCAAGCTTTAGTTCCTTTTTCCGTTGCCAGGGGGCGCTGATTCGACATCGAAATTTTAGTTCACATTTTTGCCGCCAGGGGGCAGAAATAGCGCATGCTTTAGTTCCCCTTTTCGCCACCAGAGGGCGCTGATTGGACATCGGCATTTTAGTTTAAATTTTTGCCGCTAGGGAGCGGTATTTTTTCGAGAATTTCGCTAAAATTTCGACTTACCTTTACTTACCTTTACTCGAAGCGGTCTTTATAATATATTTATTATAAGGGATGCAGTGATGTAAGGAATGTAGGGATGTAAGGGATGAAGCGATGTAAGGAATGTAGGGATGAAAACAATGTAGGGATGAAAAGAGTGTAGGGATTTAAGGGATGAAGAGATGTAAGGAATGTAGGAATGAAAAGAATGCAGGAATGTAAGGGATGCGGCGATGTAACGAAACGAGGGATGTAAAGAATGCAGGAATGTAAGGGATGCGGAGATGTAACGAAACGAGGGATGTAAAGAAATCCAGCAGGAGTCCGGGGCTGGGGCTCCGGTCTCCACTGCACGTGGCCCGTGGAGTGCCGGCATCGGGTGTGGCCCCCGATGTCGGCGGAGTTTGGCACATGACGGTGCCTCCCTTCCGCCCTAGTGCAGGCGACCGTGGTGGTTTTAGTGGGTAAAAATCCCACACTACCTCCGGCCCCTCCCCAGGGGGACTGAAGGTGTCTTTCTGAAGATTTCCACCACGTTAAAAAAAAAAAGAAAGCGTGTTTAAGAGTTGCAGGAATGTAAGGAATGCAGGGATGTAAGGGATATTGAGATAGCCTTGGCTTGTAATCAGAGATAAAATTATATAAATAACTGGAAAAAGTAAAATAAATGGGGTCCTCGGCTGAGACCCAGAAGAGGAATATAATCATAAATGTTATTCCCCTTCGATGAGCTTATTTAATGAACAAAAAGAAATAAATGAAGTAAATTAAATAAACTCTGGAAAAAAATTAAACTTGTGCCCTTTTCATACGGATCTGATATTATCCAGGGGTGTTAGGGACTCCTATGCGCCAATGACGCCCTCTGCGTACCGACCTGATTTTATACAGGGTGTCCCAGAACTGGGGTAGGAACGGAAGAGGGATGATTGGTGAGGTCATTCTAAACAACTTTTTCCTTTGCCAAAATGTTGGTTAAGGCTTCGTTTTCGAGTTATTATCGAAAAACACTGGCCAATCAGAGCGCGCCGTTAGCGCGGGCCGAACCACGAGAGTGTTGGGTATGTTCCGCGCGGTCGTGATCAAGTGCATCGGCACCACGTCGATGTAATAGGATTCGTTGTTCATGAGTAATCAATAATTCGATACAATTATTCTTTTCTTTTTTTTATTCATTATCCGATGCAACTGCTACTCAACGAATCCCATCATCCCGACGTAGTGCCGAGGCACTTGATCACGACCACGCGGAACATACCCAACATTCTCGTGATTCGGCCCGCGCTAACGGCGCGCTCTGATTGGCCAGTGTTTTTCGTTAATAACTCGAAAACGAAGCCTTAACCAACATTTTGGCAAAGGAAAAAGTTATTTAGAATGACCTCATCAATCATCCCTCTTCCGTTCCTACCCCAGTTCTGGGACACCCTGTATAGCGGTATTAAGGACCCCGTAACGCCGTCGAGTATCTTTGCATACCACTAATATAGCATCTGGGGTGCCAGGGACCCCGAAGCACTAGTGACTATCTCTGAATCCCGACGTGATATCATCTTGGGGTGTCAGGAACCCCGAAGCACTGGTGACGCTGTTTGCATACCGACATTTTGGCATCTGGGGTGCCAGGGACCCCAAAGCAAATAGCGAAATATAAGACCTAAAAACGAACAAATCGTGAAACTCACTTGTTCGGAATAGTGATGGGTACGACCGGATCTAGCGAAATATAAGACCTAAAAACGAACAAATCGTGAAACTCACTTGTTCGAGGTAGTGATGGGTACGACCGTATCTGTAGCGCGTGCGCACTACAATTATTTATTATATAACAAACTTGTAAATAATTAAGAAATTATTCATTGACAAACAATGAAAATGATATATTTGTAAATCACAAACGATTTCCAATCTATTACAGTTATCAGTTATCACAAAATCTGTTTATTATAAAAAATTACTAAAAAGTTTCGGCTCACATCATGATTGAAATAAAATTGCTAATTACAAAAGAACTAATTTGTCACAAACGTTAAAAATAGACTCACAATCAATCACAAACGATTTACAAACAAAATATACTAAGAAAAATTAGAAATAATCATATTTTATTATTCCTTCCTTATTCCTTATTATTGCTAGATTCATGTATGTAAGTGTGACGAGAGACTACTATTACTTACTTACTTAGCCCAAAACGTATAAATCTGTAATTCAGTATTTTTTATTATAAGGATATATTATTAATTTAAGAACATCTATGTAACACAAATTTTTCCTGCGTATCCATTTTATACTACAGTACTACGCGCTTATATATTTTTTGTTGTAATACAATGAATAATTAGCAATTAAAAAAGTTAATGTATATGCAATTGCAAAACATACGTAATTAAATACCATTTTTATTCCACGTGTATCCTTGTGTGAACTTTGCTTATATAAACATTCTTCAAATAGAATGTGACTTGTAAATTTTACATAAATATAATGTTTTATTATAAATTATTAAATATTGAATTTCAATTTTCAGTTAGTTTAACCGAAACTGATTGATTTAAATTTTGAGTACTTTGTATATTATTAAATATTCATTAAGTTTCTTTTCCTTAGCCCAAGAATAATTAAGTATTATAATTATATATATAATTTGTTGATGACTTTCCTAAAAATGATTTTTATACTTTATTGACGTATTATAATAAAAAAAGATAATGTTAAAAGCTGCGAAAAACAAGTGTGGAACAGTATAACGCAGAAGTTTTCCTCGATAAACATACCTACATATGAAAAGTAGCTCAAGAGTGGATGGGGATAAAAAGTATTTTAACATCATCAGTTCTTTACAGTTCTTTATTCACATTCGCTGCTTTAACATAGCACTCAATGTGTTCCTGCAAATTGTTAAATTTAATGATTTGTATAATTAAAATAACTTAAATTCAGGAAAATGTTGTTCATCGGCTCAATATTTGCTGTAATTGCGAGTGCATTCATATATCGTTCTTCTCGAGAAAATTGGCCTGTTTTGCTTGAAACATGTATTCTACATATAGAGTATGGTTTATTAGCTGTTAAAGAAATTATTTTCGATTTGGTAAATAGAAAAAATAATAAAAATGGTAAGCACTTCAATACCTTTTTATTTCTTTAATACTTTTTGAGAATGTTTGACGTGTTAGAAATTTTGAAAATTGTGTCACGCGCTACTATCACGATTTCTCTTTTCCTTTTGTGTAAGGAATTAAAAAAAAAATAATGCTAAAATTAAATGTATTGCATACAGTCTTCAGTTTGTTTTCAAAGTTAATGCATGCTAATGTAGTTAAAAAATTCTAATGAAATATTAATGCCTTATATAGTGTATTTAACATAGAATAGGAACAATACAAATTACAGTAATTTGTAACTTCAGTAATTTGTATATGTATACATAATTTATGATTACTGTTACATTAAAATAAGAAAAGAGAAACATATATGTATGAAAATATTGTTGAAAATATGAAAATAAATTTAATAAAAAAAGCAATAAAGGTAAATACAAATTTTTCTTGTTTTGAGATTGCTCACTTCAAACAGGAAGAATAGCTATCATAACAGGAGGTTCTAGAGGACTTGGAGTTGAAGTAGTGAAAATGCTTTTAGAACTTGATATGGAAGTATTAATTGGTATGTTTAAGTTTCTGAAAACTATTTAAGTTCTGTCTATCTGTAAAACTTGCTTTTTAAAATATTTTATAAGGATTTTTAAAATATATTTTTCAGCTTGTAGAACACCTTCAGCTGGTGAAAAAGTTATTCTTCAGATTAGAGAATCTGGTGTTAAAAGTGGACAAGCAAAAGTATATAAACTTGATAATGCCTCATTAGACTCTGTAAAACAGTTTGCTTTAGAAATAAAAAGAGATTATAAACAAATTCATGTTCTGGTCAATAATGGTAAAACATGCTTTAAAGTTTATAATTTTATGTATTGTAAAAGGAATTACTAAATTCTAATCTTACTTTATTACATTTAGCTGGTATCATGTTTCACCCATATGATGAAACAGTAGAAGGATTTGAGCAGCAATGGGGTGTAAATTATTTATCTCACTTTTTATTAACAGCTCTTTTATTACCACTATTAAAAGCTGGTGGACTTCCACAACAATCAAGTAGAATTGTTAATGTCACCTCCTGTGCTCATCTTTTGGGAAAAATTAACTTCAATGATATTAATAACAAGTACTGTATTATTGTAATATATTGTAATTTATGTGTATATATTTATGTAAGTTCTTTATTTAAACAGGAATAGATTTATCAGTATGAACGCATATTCACAAAGTAAACTGGCACAAGTAGTATTTACCAAATGGTTGCAAAATATTTTAAAAGCAAAACAATATCATGTACAAGTTTATACTGTACATCCTGGTATAGTAAATACAGAACTTTTTGTAAATTCTTATCTTTGGCACTTTAGATCAATTATTCGATATATTCTTAAGGTGAGTAACATTGTAAATATTTGAAAGTACTTATTAAACAATTGCAATCATAATAAATATTCTTTTAGAATCCTAAAGAAGGAGCCACTCCTGTTGCCTATGCAGCTGTGAACAAAGCAATAGAAGATAAGGGTGGTATATACATTAACAATTGTATTTCTAGTCCTTCTCATCCAGATGCTGAAAATGTGTCGATTCAAAAACAGTTGCTTGACTTGTCTCTTCAACAAGTAAAATTAAGTGATTTTTTCGAATATGTATCGTAAAATGATATTTCGTTAAACTAATTATGTATTATAAAAATATGTACTTACTAGATTTATGTAATGATATAATTTTTTTTAAGAAAGGTAATATTGGAAAGGGATATGTATAATCTAATAACACCTTATAATTTATTTATTTATTTATACTGAATATCATTAAATAAATCCAGAAAATTTTACAATAAACGTAATAAAAAATATTAAAAATTTTGCTAATTTAGAAAAAGCTTGTTTCTTAAAGTAGTTTTCATTTTTATAGTCAATTACTAACATATTACAATTTACATTATGTATATATAGGGTATTAAATAAACATGTGGAAGGGAATGATAATAAATATTTTTAACTGAAATTAAATTGTGTATCACTTACGGTAACATGCTTAAAATTTTTATATTTTACGATATTAACTCTATCGTTTAAAATAAAGAATTAAACAGTATATAGATTTAATACCTTTTGTAATGTATATTATCGTGATAAGTTGACAAAATTAAAGGTACTGCATTTTATAGTTATCCTTTTATCTATACACAAACTGATATGTTTTTATCAGTGTAATTTTATTACAAATTTTTGTTCCTGTTGTATATAGTTTAAAACGTATACATTATTAACAATAAAATATTGCACAATGACGGCAACTTGAAGCTCCATTCTTTGTTAGAACAATATAATTATACAAGAATCACAATCACTATAATGTAATACAATATATGTCATTACGTATGTATTTAAAGTAACAGAAATATAGTGTAATTTTCAGCACTAGCTAAAAATTACATAAAACTTGCACAAAGACAATTGAAGTTCAAACGATCTAAAGTATAAATAAAGACTTTAAAACACTGTATTTAAACAGAATATCTACATGTAATTCTATTTCGTAACTGTTCATTATTAGAATCATTGCACAAAATAAAATTTATTGAAAACAATCATATAGCGTGCATATAATTATTTTCGTAGAAAAATAAACGTAAAAATAGAAAATCCTCACTGCACAATAATAGAAATACAACACAATACGAAGAAGTGTAATTTGTAGTTCATTTTCTATACTTAAAGTATAAAAAGGTATGTATAAAGACTAGAGTGATGTGCTAAGAAAATTATGTTATTAATACAATGATGCGAATAATAAATATAATATCTCTTGTTTCATAAATATAAATAAAAGATCTATAAAATATAACATTAAACAATACATAGACGGAATAAACATTAATTATCGCTTTTTTAAGATTCAGATAAAATCTTAAAAAATACAACAAAACTTTGGCTATGTAAATGCAACTGTAAGATTTTGGAAATCTTACAAGCTTATTGTAATAAGCAATAATGATTGAAGTGTAAGGTTACCATTTTCATTAATTTCTATATATATATTGTAAACATACAGAACTGTCTACTTTTTAATATCAAAAGTCAGTTGATTTTCATAGCATTGTAATAAAATTGTTGAAAAAATCCTGAACAACATTAGGCTTACAATTTTTTAGTAAAAATCTTATATTCGTAATGACTTCACATCCAGTCACCAAATACGAAATATTTATTTGTACTTTCTGACATAACAAAAAATATCTCAGAATTCTATTTATGAAAATAGCATTAAATGCCCAAATATAGGTCATCAACTTATGTTATTTCAATAGAGCAATTATAAAGAACAACAAAAAAATTTCTTTAATCTCGTTAAAACGTATTTGTAAATAAATATTTATCAACATACTTAAAATTCATTTCAATTTTAAGTATTCAATACCTTTTCCAACAGAATTATCAATATAATCTGCATGGTATAACACTAGATACTAACATATAATATCAAAGATGTTCTAGTATTAGATTTTTTTGTTATAGAAGATTGACTAATATTGTATTTAACTTTCATATTCTATAAAAACTATGATAATATCCTACATACATATTTAGCAACTGAAGTTATGTGTTTGGTGAATGACTTAATAATATATATAAAAACTACTTAAGAAAGTCTACTACAACCACAGTTACTTGTATCACCAATTGATGTTGTTTTACCATTTATTGAGGTTGTATTTGTTTCATATCTAGGTAGTTCTTTACTACGTGCTTGCTGAAATAAAAAACCAATTTAAATATAGAAAAAAGCTTTAAATAATTTTGTACAATGATATATTATCTAATTACCTCCATGAGCTCAGCTGCTATTTCCATGAATAAACGTTCTACGTTTTCCGCTTCTTTAGCAGAAGTTTCCAAGAAGTACATTCCATGTCTTTGTGCAAAATCTTCTCCTACGTGTGTTGGTATTTCTCTGTCTTCCCGATCTATTTTATTACCTAATAAATCAATTAAATATTAATATTATACATTATTAATGATATAACTGAAGACTTACCTACTAATATCCTAAGAACTTTATTACTTGCATATTCTTCAATTTCTCTTAACCAATCTGGTAAACAATCAAAAGTAGGTTGACAAGAAATATCATAAACTAAAATCAAAGCATGAGCTGACCTATAATAACTTTGTGTTATTGAACGAAATCTTTCTTGTCCAGCAGTATCCCAAATTTGGAGCTACAAGAAAACCAATACTTATTATATATAGTATAAAATTATTCCAAAAAGTATTTCTATATACACTGAATGAATCATAATGCATTACAGCATATGCATACCTTAACTTTCTCATTTTCTACTTCTACAGTTTTGATCATAAAATCAACACCTATTGTTGCACCTTGACCAGGTGGAAATAACCCCTAGAAAAAAGGAAAATAATTGAGAATTAATAATATGTAACAGTAATATACAATTTTTGTTAACCAATAGTTTGAACAAACAATTAGAATAACATGAAAACATGAAACTACTTGTAAAAAAGACTACACCTGATAACAACACTTGTTACAAAAAGTTTATTGTATATTTACAATAATAAATGATATAAACTATCTAATAATATATTATGTATGCATGTATATACACCTGGGTAAATCTGCGCACGAGGCAAGTCTTGCCGACGCCTGCATTTCCAACAAGCACAACTTTAAAGAGAAATTTGTAATCCTCCATCACATCTGTACCGTACTACGGTCAGGAACCTTATGTAAAATTAACGATGCATTTGCAAACACCACACGTACAATTTTCGTAATCGTTCACCTTGACGGCAATTCGAAACTTTGTAATATACTTCCTTTAATGAAATCCAGTTTCTTTTCAATTGTATAAAAGAGAACTGTTTATGATATCATTCTTTGTTTCCCGTCTTTTTGGGATTCAATGGATGCACAATCTTCCATTTTTGTAAAATAAGCAGAAATACATATTTAACAAAAACTGCACCTGACTTTCTAAACTTTCTGCCATTCTGTCAAAATGACGTTTTCCCTTGCCATTGAAACAATGACTACAGACGTAGAAGACTAGACGTGCGTTTGTTTTCGAGGAGTCATGATTTAAGGGGTCCCAGACAACCCCAGATGAACCCCTCTATCACTATCACTAATTTCGCCCCTACAGGGGCCGGCGCTTTATGGGGGCTTATCTGCCCCCATGTTGCCCAACGAACACTATCGTCCACGCGCATTGGATGGCAGCACTGCTAACCCCAAACCCCGCGCATTTTTTAATTTCTCCTTTTTTTTCCATACTTTTACTTCTGTAAACTTATCTCTCCATACTGTTATCGTGGCCGGTGTGTGTGTATGTGTTAGTGTGGCCCCTTTTAGTCGCCTCTTACGACAGGCAGGGGATACCGTGGCCGTATTCTAAGCCCACGAGCCACAGGGGCTCTCAGATAAACCCCTAATGAGTCTTGAAAACTCTAAAGTCTCTTTACCATTTTTGTGTCACATCCTGCTATACCAACTAAGTATTAACGATTAGTTAGTTGGTATAGCAGGATGTGACACAAAAATAAAGAGAGTAATAGAGTAAGTAAAGAGAGTAAAGAATTGCCAAGACGCTGTCATCTATACCGCAGTTCACCAGAGTCCATAACTGCGAAAAGACCAGTTTTCGTTCTTCGCGCTTCTCCAGTGCGCATCTTCGCCCTGATTGGCGAGAGTTCGCTGCGTTCCCCCACCATCTTCCAACCTGCGCGTCGCAGTTATGGACTCTGGTGAACTGCGGTATAGCTGCAGCATTTCTCGCGCTATTTATATATATATAATATTCATGATAAAAATTATAAATAATTTTGAAATTAACTATATAGTAATGAATTAAATGTTCCATTAAATAAAAATTTTTTGAGCATCAATTTTGATCTAATAATCGATCTATACTTATCGATATAAATTAAATGCGATTACCGGTCTAAACCGGAAGATGTGTGAAGAGTTTCCATCGTTTCCGTAAGAATTTAGCGTCTTTGAAACACGTGTATGGGGAGTTGAGTTGTACTATACTAAATATTAATATTTAGATATTATAACTTAAAATGGGAAAACCAGGTAATTAATAGCTACTTTAATAAAGCATATTTATATTTTATTTGTATAGAGATATTCAAAGATGTAAGATATTCAGCGATAAAATAAAACTTTTTGTAACCTAACATATAAATGATTATTTATTTTGTGCCGATATGGTGCATTTGTGTTAATTCTATAGTATGTACAACTTTATTTAAGTATATTAATTCATTTTTTATTTAAATATATGGATTATTAAATCAGATTAATACTAATTTCATGTTTACGTCTGTACAGTATTCTAACCTATCTTCGCTTATCTTCTCTTCTACGTCTGAAAATATTTTTGTCAATTATTTATTTAATGAAATTTGTTAAATTATAGGGTTTTCGCCAGGTGGCGGCGGAGGTGGTGGATTTAGAGGAGGTAGAGGTGGAGGAGGAGGTAGAGGAGGGGGTGGCGGTGGATTTGGAGGTGGATTTAAAGGAGGAAGAGGTGGAGGAGCAGGTGGTGGCCGAGGGGGTGGCCGTGGAGGTGGTGGAAGAGGAGGAGGTGCCCCACGTGGACGTGGTGGTGGTGGTGGTGGCCGTGGAGGAAGAGGACGTGGAGGTGGTGGTTTCAAGGGTGGCAAAACTGTTGTCATAGAACCACATCGTCATGAGGGAGTTTTCATAGCTAGAGGGAAAGAAGATGCATTAGTTACTTTAAATTTAGTACCAGGTTCAGAAGTATACGGTGAAAAAAGGATTAGTGTTGAGGTATATAAAAAAGTTAAAGTAATTTATATTAACTTGAATATATAGTAATTAAATATGTAAATATTGCAGGGAGAAAATGGTGAAAAAATTGAATATAGGGTGTGGAATCCTTTTAGATCAAAATTAGCTGCAGCTATACTTGGAGGTGTAGATCAAATTCATATGCCTCCTGGAAGCAAGGTTTTATATTTAGGTGCTGCATCTGGAACTACAGTATCACATGTAGCAGATGTTGTTGGGCCAGTGAGTTCATACAAATTTATAGGAAAATTATAATGCATACAATTAGAACCAATTCAGTGCACTTTCATTGATTTGGTGTCGAAGTTATGCTATAAAATTTATATTCTCGTTCTTTTGTTGAATTAAATATTTATTTAATTCTGAAAGAATAAGTGTACAAATGTCAATACTTTATTCTTGTAATTGACATATGTTATGAAATTTCTACATTTACATTGTTCTTATCTTAGGAAGGACTGGTGTATGCTGTAGAATTTTCTCACAGATCTGGTAGAGATCTTATAAATGTTGCTAAAAAACGAACAAATATTATACCTATAATTGAAGATGCAAGGCATCCACATAAATACAGGATGCTAGTTGCCATGGTGGATACAATATTTGCAGATGTAGCACAACCTGATCAGGCCAGAATAGTAGCATTAAATGCTCAGTACTTCTTGAAAAATGGAGGTCACTTTGTTATTTCCATTAAAGTAAGTATTATGAACTAAAATAGTTTTCTTGGTATAAATTTAGGTTAAATGTTTATCTTAAATATATTTTTAGGCAAGTTGTATAGATTCCACGGCTCAGCCCGAAGCAGTATTCGCATCAGAAGTAAAGAAACTTATTGCTGACAAATTAAAACCACAGGAACAAATTACACTAGAACCCTATGAAAGAGATCATGCTGTTGTAGTTGGTGTTTATAGGCCACCTCCTAAAAAAGCAACTTAAAATTACATACATGTATATATATATATTACCTAATTATTAAGATCAGTTAAAATCGACAGTGAATTTTTTAGAATATACACAGTAAGCTTTGTTTACCTACAAGTAAAATTTTTTAATATTTCATTACCCTCATGAATGAAAAGCTGAAAATAGGATGTAATATAATGTAAATTAGAGCATAAAAATAATTTAGACGATTTCTATAAAAGCAATTTATCTATTTTTTATACCTGTACAGTTGGTATATCAACAGAAATGTACACGTATAATTGTTTAATACAAAAGTTTATATTTTGAATATCCTGAATGACCACTTATACTTTAATTAAAATAAAAACTTTTTAACAATCTATTTATTGTCTTTAATTGTACAAATACAAATATTCTTTGTAGTATAGAAATAATATTTATTTCTTTGAACATATTATAACATTAAAAACAAATGAAAGTTATAGTAATATTCAACATCTTTTTCTTAATTCAACTCGTCAAAAATATATTTAAAAATTCACATATAAATTAACTAGTTAATTTATCTTTTAAAATTATGTTTTATTGTCATTATGGTACATATACGTAAAAATGTCTCGGCCTTTGTTAAATTTATCTAAAAGCGGTAAGGCACATCGAATTTAACATTTTCATTAAATGGTTAATTGTAGTTAATAATTTATAATTACTTCTAGGTCTTAATGTCAATGAAAGTCGTAAATTATCATCTAAAACGCTTAAATTTAAAAAGTCAATAACTGTAACAAGTCGAAAATGCAGTTCAAATTTGAAAAATCAAGACCGATTATTAGGAGGAGCAGATGCACCCGTTGAAACAGAAGATATAAACACGACAAAAGAAATTTCTGAGAATACTTCTATTGAAGTGGAAACTATTGATCAAACATCTACTTCTAACATAGAAAATGGAAAAATCTCATTTCCCTCAAATGGACCATGTTGCTCTTGTTTATCACAAGTACCAGGATCAACTGGGTATAAATATATTTATCAAACATTTTTAAATTATTGAATTGGACAACTTCAATTATTCTTTGAAACCATTCACAATGTATGAAACTATTATAAGAAAAACTTTATTCTATAAATACAGAGATAAGAAGGTAGATGAAATGATCGACGATGTGCATCAAAATTTACAAGAAGCGGGTAAAGCATTGGCCACCTTAAGCGAAAATTTTGAGCACGAATCAAAGGTTGAGCCCTGTACGCAAGTAGAATCATCATGAAATTGGGAAAACTCGGGGGAGTATTTAGCGAGGGATACATTAAACACATTTGCTTTCTAAAGATGAATTATCCAAACAACCAAAAAATGAATCGATGAAATTACCGTTAAAAACTCCCAATTTCGTAACACGAATACATAGAACTTTCTTTTTCATTGGAAGTTTATTTTCGTACGAAATAAGTGTAAAGTATTATTTCATTTTCCTTTTATTCTTCTTTCGTAAACTAAATTTATTTTTGCAAAAGTTGATGTTCGTCGACATACTCGGCCGAATACAACAGTGGACCAATATAGTTCAGGCCAAGTTGGATCTTTGCAAAGCGGTTATTGAAGCTTTACGCAAAGAGCTAATGGCACGAGCTTGTGAAATTGCCAATCTTAGGAAATTGTTGGCAGAATGTGAGGAACGTGAAGTGAGTTTATCATCTGAAGTAATTCTTAAAAAGAACACAAGCAATGAATTTTTAACAAAAATGATAATTTTAGAAACAAGCTGTATCTACTCAAACAAGTACACCACCACCCCAAGAAGAACAACACAAAACGGTTGTAGACAATATCGATGACATAGAACCTGATGAACCAATAGAAGATAAAACAGATAATGATGAAGAAAAAGCGGACAAGGAAGAAAGTCAACAAGGAAGAGATACCTTAGAAATTGTTTGTACAGATGCAGCTATTCAGTCGATCCTAAAAGATAAAGATAGAATGAGACGTGAAATGGAGGTACAATAAATATTTCTTTCGTCATAGAATTCGAATAGAATAGATTGTTATATCGCAATATTTTGATCAAACAGCTGGAAGCTGAAATATCGAGGCTTCGCAAAGAGAACGAGCGTATTATAAAAGAACGTGCAGAATATGAAAACGCGATACAGCGAGCATTATTGAGAGGTGTTTCATCTTTGAACGTCGAGGCATTGAGAGTTTTACGTTGTCCACCGATTCCATGTTGCAGTCCTTGTGCACCTTGTCCTACTGCTACTATGTGAGATTTCATTTTTTGCTTCTTATAATCAGGCTGTCGCTTTATGTATTTATATAACAATTTTTAATTGAGTTTGCATTTAGGAGGTACGCTTGAACTTTCAAAGTGTTAATACTAAATCATTTTAATAGGGAATACCTATGTGTATCACTAAAATACACATTAAGTATTTCAGAGCAGGAGGCCTTCATTCTAAAATAAAAAATATATTTCTGATCAATATCTAATCAAGGCCAATCTTGACTCACCGAAATTTCACTCTCAGGAAATCGACCATGGGCAAGAAAGGTTGCGTCACGCAAAAACGTATTGAAAATGGAAAAGGTTGTATTCGGGAAGCTGATTCTTACACCATAAAGCGACCTTGCGGCAGTCCTTGTTGTTCTGGAGGAAAAAACCAGAAGTCGGTATCTAACAATAGTATGATCTTCCTTCTTCATCAAAATGACGCAGAAAACATTTGTGGCTCGAAGACTATCAAAATGCCGCAAGTTTGTGGCTCACCATTAATGAAGAAGATTGAAATACCGCCGTGTCCTAGATACACTAAATAACTATTATATTTTGTTATCAAACTTCATTAATGTTATTCTCAGACAGGCGATCAAAATTAATTTGTAACTTGATAGGTTTATATTATTCCTATTGTAACGGAGAGAATAAAAACACGATGTTGAAAGTATAAATATAACTTTATATAACATTATCAGAAAAATATTATAAATATTAAATATTCATTCTCATAAATAACACTAAGATTTCGTTTCATCGTTTAATGCAAAATAGAAACTGGAGGTGAATACCTCAAACTTCACAGAAGTTTAATGAATGCGCAATGAAAAATTTAAATGTTCGCATTATTAAAAAAACAGTATCAATAAAACAACAGCTTACAAACAGTAATAAAATTATTTTCGCATTCACCAATCTTCAGATTCGATTTGTCCAGTTGATGATTCACAAAACTAAATTGTAACTGAATTTTAATACAATTGATAAACGGTATAATGTTAATGTAGAATGTTAAAAGTAAAGATACGTTCTACCTCTCTAACCGTTAACAGTAACTTTGTTTTTAAACGATTTCTGTTTAGAACATTATAAAAAAACGAATAATTATCACTTAAATGTTAATATGTTCAAATAGAAATAAATTCAATAATTATATGAAATTTCAGAATTTTCAAACGCATTTCTGACGCACACTGTATGGCTGAGACATTGTGCGTCAATATCTTCTTTTCATAAAATCTCTTACAAATATAAATATTGCCCTTTCGTTAAGATCGTTTAAATTAATAGTAACTGTGGTAAGAAATATAAAAACCACTATAGAATCACATTGAAGATAATGGAATGAAAAGTAAAGACTGCAAATATTTCGTTTTGTAAAACGTATGGCTGTTACGTTTTACAAAATAACGAAATTTATATCTGTTGTTTATTCACCATGAACATTCGCTTTCAAAATATAATATAGAATTTCCACTGTATTTTTCGATCGGCACACACTTCAATCCAATATACGTATGTATATAGATTTTAAAATGTGTATTGTCATGAGGTCATCAGTGAAACATGTCTAGGCCATCTAAAAATCTCACAGTCAATAATATCCTAATTGAATTTCATAAAACGACGCAATTGCCTGATCAAGAACATCCATGCATTCTTCAAATATATTAATAATATTACAGAAGTATTCGCAAGATACATATATAACAATCAAACGGATAATTACAGCTGTTCCAGCAGCAGCGGTAAATGTTATTAATATATTTATAGAAGCCTCAAATCCCGAAGAAATAAGTACAGCATATTTTCTCAAGGATATGCGCCGTCGATTACGTATAAGAAACGTTCCATATTTCCATAATAAAAAGAGGTATCTTTTTATTACAGAACTTTAATAACATTTTCTAGAACTTATGTCAAATTTCAACGAATAACTATCGTATTGTCTCAGTGTCATTTGATCAGCAGTTTAAGAGCATTCCGTTTCAAAGACATCTTGGACAACATCGTCCTTTTTAGCCATTCCTTTACGATAATTCTCAGAATTATCTTGGTCGACTTACGTAAAGGAAATTTATTATGAAATAAAATAGGAATGTTATAAAGAAACACGCCTTTGAAATCAACTTATTTTTTTGGACACCTTTTGCAGTGAGGTAGCAGTCAGACAAAAACGTTGGAAGAAGAATCATTGGTCCATAATAACAAGTTGTTTGCAGATCGGAAAAAAGAGATTTTGTTTACTTGTTGTGCACCAGATTAAGAAATTCTTCACGGGTTTTCGGATCATCCCGAAACACTCCAAGCATCGTTGACGTAACCGTCTTGCTATTTATCTTCTGCACTCCTCTCATCACCATACACATGTGTCTACAACATTATATATTTATTTTGTTATTTTGCATTCTGAATAAATTAATCAGTTCACACCGTTAAAATGGCGAGAATAAATTAGTGCGTATCTATACAACATAGAATCATTCAACAAGGATACTGTTATCTAATGCATCGAAGTTAAACGTTATTGTAATTAAAATGCATTACGTATATTTTAAATTGCACTACCGATTATATGCATAGCTTCGAAGGAAAAAGAATATTAGCATTAAGGACGTATTTCCGGTTATTATGAATCTTTCGTTCGTGTACATACATATAAGCCTATTTTTTCTTCTTCACCAAACGTGTTCGATCGTATACACAGGATTTAAATTAATGAATGCGAAGGAGATGTTTTTTAATAACGAAGACAACCCTTGATTTAAGTATTTTATATGTAAAGTAAGCGCGGCTTAATTCTTTACCGAGAGATAGCACCTTATTAGTACAAGGTTACATTCTTACACGCTATTAGTCCTTGCGAAAACCGTTGCTTAAGAATCGAGTGCATTGAAACGAAACCAAGGAAGGCAAAATGTTCAATCATTTTACTATCTACGATATAGAAATAATTACTTACACTCCTTCAACGACCACAGCTACCCCCGCTGGTTGCACAGCTTTGGTTACTGCTATCGCGATTTGCTTGGTAAGACGTTCTTGAACCTGAAGACGTCGGCTGAAGATTTCCACGATTCTGAAAAAGAAATAAGGATTTGTTAGAAAAAGCTTGTTCACTCTAGTATTGTATACATTGACGTAACTAGGTAGGGGCTAAAATGGAGCTGACACCCTAAAAATGTGAACTGGTTCCCTCATCATTCTAAAATTTTAAGTTTCTTTGGTTGAATTCTGGAACGTTTGAAAATCTACAGGTTACTTGTCGTTTGAAGGCTAATGTTAAGTTCATAACATTTAAACGAGTAAATGGACACTCGCCAACCGAACGTGAAAGTGGTTGGCGTGCCAATGCGTGATCAGAGCCGGCGTATTCTTTTCTTCTCGCTTCAATATTCCTCCAATCAAGGCCGCGTCTACTGTCTATGTAATTTCTTATCTGTAAGTTGTGAAACGTGGTATATCAATAAGTCTCGCGATTACACTTTGTCCATGACTATTTAAATTAATTTTATTTTACACCATGACGACCAACCGGGTGCAAAGATAACTTTAATTAACTCGTGCAATAAAAAAATTTTCGATAATGTCCGTTTAATTGTCTTGACCGATTTTATTGCATGGCGATCGTTGACGTCAACTATGAAATCGTAAATAACAGAAATCTGGTACCGATTGAAGGAACATGAACGATGACAGTTCAATCAAACGATCTAATTGAGCTCGAAGCTAATGTCTGGATCCAATTAATTTCCATTTCTTCGCGAGAGGATATCACTCGTCTGAATTACATAGTCGACTATTCACAGCAGCTCTTGAAATATAATTGCATTTGTCGTCCGCGATATTGACCTAACTAGGTAGGAGCCAGGGTGGGCCTGGGTGGCCCAAAAATGTGCTCCGACCTCCTCACTATCCTGAAAGTTCTAAGATTCTAAAGTTCCAAAATTCCAAAATTCTGAAATTCTAATTGCGCCAATGGTTTTCGAGTATTCATCGAGTCTTAAACGAAGCTGTTGCTAATAAAGTAAATTCTCCATTACCTGGCTAATTTGCTGAGGCCCAGGATCTTCTTACAGGGTAAGTAACCGATCGAGACTTTCCCGTAGAACGGTACCAGATGATGTTCACACATAGAGAACATCTCGATGTCTTTCACCACGACCATTTCATCATGGTCTTCGTCAAACACCGCGTCGTTTATAACGTCTGTAAATAAGTGGAGACACGGTTCATTGTACCAAACAATAAAACGAGATACACTTTCTCCGTATAAAATTTTCCCAACGGAAATTGTCGGAGTAATTTGCTGGAATAAACACGATATAATCATTACTCAATTTTTCTTTTTAATAATCATGTATTTGATCAACGAAAAGGATCTTCTCTTCGGGGTGATACAAGGAGTGTTGCTGACGTTATCGTTTAAATTGTTCTCTTGCACGTAGGTTAAGGTCCTCGCGATCCTAGCTGTGATTTACTCGATATTGACCTACTTACTACAGTCTCGGTGCTTGTGGAAGTGTATATAGGTGTTAGTGGATGTACAGTGGTTGATAGGTGTCGGTGGATAGGTAATGGAGGGTGCTCTCCATGGTTTCCACGGCAACCTTAACAAGAAACAGCTTCACAATGACCATCAGTAATGAAACGAATACGTGTCTCGGTTAACCGTCTGTATTTTTCTGTGTTTAATTGTACATAAACAATGCGACCCTTCAAGTACAGTTCGATAATTTATTTCCTACTCTTCAGTCGCTTTTACGTGTCTCTGTTCTATGACAGATTCACCAATTTCCTCTCTTTTATATCGTCACCTTTGAGACAAATGCTCAAAGGCAACTTCGTTTTTTGATCCAATAATCTAATGTGTATTTTCAATTGAACGAATTGCGAACTTGCGAATGGACGATTACGGCCACTTGCTTTATCGATCGTCTGATACCATATGTGCGGAATAAAAAATTCAAAAAATTCAAAAGTGTAACGACGAGATCTTTGTTAAAGAACGATACTTTAATACAGCAACGAAATGCGGTGGGCGGGAATTCCGCCGGGCTTATCGACAAGAATAAAAGGCGAAGAGAAATGGTTTCACTGGAATGACGATGGGTGGTTAGAAAGAGGGTGAGGGACTGAGCTTTCGTAGGAAAGTGCTTCTGACTCGTTTCGGATTCACTGGGGCGAGTAGAACTGCCGTTATCCGGACTTATCTCGAGGGTAGTTTCAACAGAGCACTCATGGGAGGGTTAAGTCGAAGTGAATTAAAGTCCATCCACCACCTGTAGAGCTGGTGCTGAATTTCTTGAACCAATACAGTAACAGTATTCGATGTGATGTTACTTAAAAAATTTTAATCTGAAAATAATTATTCAAGAGAATATTAATTGCCTGAATCTTCTTTAGAATCTACTTAAATGAAAACACGGCCGGAGAAATAAGAGCCTTAATTAAGATTTCAAGCATCAAGATTTCGTTCATTCTATAAAATTATAATTATCGTGGAACAGTGGTATGTAGCTCCTATTTAATACAAGACAAATGGAAAGAAAAGGTGAAAGGCATTCTTCTCGAGCTACTACTGTACGTCCCTGAGACCCATTTATATCATAAGCTTTACGATCTCTTCTTTTTGAATCGTACTTAAGTCTTCTTCTCTTTTCCCTCGTGATGGATCTCAAGTAGCTTGACGTAGAGAAAGAATGAAATGTACGGCATTTTCCTAAAGTGGGTGTATCCATGGCTTCTCATCGATCTTATCGTTTAAATAAAATCACGATAGCACGGTTATATTGCCTCTAAAATAATCTAAGAATTTCTTTGTTTCTTTCTTTCATTCCAATTTTTATAAATAAATAATTGTTCAATGAGTATGAGAATTTCTTTATATAATTTTTCTAAATATCCTTATCTGACGCCTAGAATAAATTAATATATAAAAAGGAAAATTGTCATGATATTTTCTATAAATAGCTAATTTGAAAACACTGATAAAATTCTACATATCTACTTTATTTTTGTTTATATCGAGTTTTACTTCATTCTATGAGATGAAATACTTGAAATATTCTAAAAATACTTCGACACTTTTATAATCCACGCTGATTCCAATGGAACCTGTCCATTTTCCTTCTCGCTTTCACGCGTACATCTAATCCGGTGTCCTCCAGCTTATAGACCATTCTCTTTTCATAAATTGTAAATAAGATAAGCGAGATAGATAATTTACCGTCGATGCTTTGATCGTAGCCTTTCGTAAAGAACAGCATGGCCTTTGCGGCACGTTCTGGTGTCTTCAGAAGACCTTGCCGATCAGGATCCTCGCCCAAGGAACTTAAAAGTAACCTGTAACTCCGTGACATTTCCGGGAGTAGAGCTTCCCGAGTGGGTGGTCGGTGATCCAACTCCAGATCATGGTGGAAAGTGCATTTTTCGTGACCTGGAAGACAAAATACCTCTATGGATTCTTTGTCCTATTTCTAGAGTTTCTGTAACATTCGCTGAACTTTATTCGATTAAAAATAAAGAATCATCATGTTGTCGTCGCAAATCTTGTTAAATAAACCATTCCACGGTTTTTAAATTCAAAATGAAACCAGCTACATATAAACATCGTTGTTATCGCTTGCACTGATCCGCAACGAACGATTGCACGGTTACGTTCACGAACGAAAATGAAATCTTTTCCGTACCCTCACTATCTTTTTTACAATGTCATCTGTAACATCTGCTTACAAACATTGAAGCAACAAAAAATAATACGCATCATCTGCTTCCGTTAATTCCTATTTCAGAGGCGTTACGAAATGCAACATTTTAAGATTTTTGAGTCATTCAGGAATGTTCAAATCGAATCACCCTGTGTGCCTTGATATTCAAGCGTTAATTATAAAGCCCTTGATATCGCGTGATTGGACATTTAGCATTGACGATAGAATTCGCATTCCTTCTTTCTATGTGTAAGAACATGTAAGAATCATGTATTAATAAACGATCAGCAATTCCATTCACGATTAACATAACGGTTTAATTAAGGAGCGCGATGCAGATCGATAGATCGATCGATCGAAATCTCGCGCGGCAAAGTGCTCGACGGTGCTCCTTCGTTGCCGAACTTGTTGCATAACGATCGACGGAATTACGCGTGAACACGAGATTTTGATCGATAGGAAATAATTTATATCAGTTGAATAACGCTTCTATTCGTAAGCAATCTAGAACGTATTAACAGCTCTCGCTACTTCGTTGCATAGATTTATTCATAGAAGCGTAAGGAGCGGGTCTAACGCTGTTGGAAGTGACGTATTCACGATGGAAAACTAAGTTGAAGCTATATCTTTCCGATGAACAGTATCGCGTAATTGAATCGAGTAACGACGTTGCTGCGATGTATCGCTACCATGGAGGATCTCAATTTTCCATGATCAATATACATATATATTCGATAAATGGTTCCAGATATTTGACGTTTGTTTGGACGTGATGCGTTATTGTAACATATTTGGTCAGATTGTAAAATATGATAAAGCAACATTTCGAAAACGTTAATTCAATCAATTTGATTACAACTTATATCTCGAGTAAGCGCCGTATCATAATACAATCTTAAAATATTGTATACCTGTTCACGATGATCGTAAATAATATGTATATTAAAAATTGCATTCCTTTTCACGTTCAACTTTGAAAACAAAATACTGTTGAAGCAATGACAATGGGATAAAGCATTAAATGAAAATGCTGTAACACAAAACGTATAGAAAGAAGTTCCAGAAGTATCGAGTTTAGATACTTTTCTGGCCATACACATTGGCCTCAGAAATTAAAATTAATATGTACAATTAAGCACAGAATTTTTCTTTGTTTTCCCCAAAATGAAAGACTTTCTCTTTCCGAAAGTCGCGCTACGTATCGTACATTCGTAACGTTACAGTTATGCGTTACGTACGATCATAACTGTACCCACAATTCCCAGGCTTTTTATCATTTCAAGATCAGAGGGTACGATTGACCCGGAAACAAAATCTTGTTCACGGGCCACGGTCTGATCAATGATAGCAGGCGCGGTAAAAAATAAACGCTTAAGAAGGACGCGTGATTCTCATTCATGAGAACGATGAATGTGACGAATAAAGGACGATAGAAAGTTCATTGTGATCCGTAATAAGTAATCAGCTTTTGTATGAAAACTACAGCTGGTTGTATCGATGTGAATTACATGCCACTTGTTACGCCTAATCGATAATCAAGAAGCTACAGGCAATTGTGCAAATAGTGATTTCGTAAACGCTTATCAATATAAAGACAACCGACAAAATTAAAACGAAGTATTCAAGGATAATATACTAATAACAAATATAATGACTGTTTTATGCATACTCTTATTTTTGTCTCGCATCACTCTATAAACCCGTAAAGTTTTATTTAAATAAGCGAATAAGGGTTGTTTCTTTCTAAGGACTTCCCTAGAAACAATACCTGGGGTGGTGGAAGTTCGCGGGGTCCTGGGAGTCCCCGGCACATCCAAATTGCTATCCTCGACGTTGTCCAACCAAGAGACGGTCCTCAATGGGGCAGGCTTTTTAATCACCATGGCGCGATCATCCTCGCCGTCGTAAATGTTCAGCTCCTTGATTTCCTTGATTTTACATTGACTGGAAACCCCGTTCATGACTGTGTCCCCCGTGTTTGTCTTTTTATACCAACGATTGCTTTGCCGCTTCTAAATTCAAAATGATCGAACCAAGAAAAATAGTGGTTCTAACTAAATTGATTTGATATGCGCAAAAAAACGGCTAGGAGCAAAGTGACGAACGAGGGTGAAAGTGATTGATACTAAAAACAAGTCCCCTTTATAACAATGGCAGGTTACTATATTTTCGGAGTTGCAATAAAAGTCTCGTGTTTTAAAATATAATCACAGAACGTATAATACGATAACCAAATAGAATCTTATTTAAAGGGTGAAGAAAGATTGACAATAAACATATCCTGATCCATTTGAACCGCGTTATTATAAATGAGGCGCGATAGCATGTACCACGTGATCCCAGTACAAATGCGCCTAGTGTTGGGCACAATATCAAGCATCAAACTAATGCAACTTACTGTCAGTCGGATTCAATCACTCGGTGCACCGGTTCACGTGCACCCTTCGAACAGCAAACCAACTGATATATCAAAGAAAATTGAAAACGATAAAGAAAGAGACGAAAGAATAACAACTACTGGTGTAAATTGCGCGAAGAGATAAAAATAAAAAGGATAGTAATCAACGTGTCCGAAAGAAAGAATGGACCGCGAAGTCGCTCGGTCGAGTGACGCAGTGTGACTGAACCGACGAAACCGTGGAGAGTGCGAATGTCTCTTATGGCTTCTTCCGTCTCTGTTTTTCTCCCTCCCTCTCTCTCTCGTTTCGTCACGCTCTTTTTGCCTCCCTTCTCTCAACGATTTTTTATTCCTTTGTACCGTTTTTTTATATCTAGATCGTAGTTTACGTTGCGGTGTCACTCGATTCCCAAAAAGTAAGTGCGACTGACGAACAACACCTTGTGTTACGTTCAGTATATGTATATTGAGAGAATGGCAAATGCACGGTGAGAGTGACAGATTGGAGATGGTAGTGCAAACAGATCTCCCTCCAATGTGATCCTCCCGCTACAGTGTTCGAGAGGGAAATACCTAGCTTTGCCCGGACCACACACCATGGGAGGAACAATCTCCAGTGACAAGTAGCGCCTCGATTGGCGGAAAGTGTCAAGATATCTGGCGCACGAGGTCGCCGTTACATGATCATGATTTTAACCCATTATCTTATTTTCAATATGGTTACTTTTTATTATAAACAAAAATAGGTAGTTAACGCGTCTGCTGTCGCTCGCTTGATACCATATACTCAACCCTCAACGCTAAATGTCACGCGATATCGCGTACTCGATTATCAACTCTTAAACGTTACGATACACAACAACCTGCTTCTTCAACTTAAGTTGTTAATTAACAATGAACTTGTTAAGACGAGTATGTACATAAAAGATTTTACGCCTTTTACAATAATAGTAAAGCACAGAATTTCATCCTTGGGTTTTTAGAACGCCACTTAGAACCTACGTCATCGTGATTTCCAAGAGACCGGTTTACTGGAACTTCCCTTTTCCTTCTATTCGCAGGACTTCTTAATATCGTAAAAAAGTATCCTGTCCTAGATTGCGGTCAATGTGTACGTCAAACGTCAATTATTGTGGATGTTAAGGAAGAATTAATTGGCGTCACTGGTTTTTCTTCGGATGAATTAACATAACGGTCTTAAAAATGGTATCTCAAAGGTTATAGAAATTATGGAGCAATGCACGTGGCTTATGAAATGATGCAGTTTAGAAGGGCACAACCCGATGCCTTACGATACTGATACCGATAGACTATAAGTAGCGTTATTATTAAACGATAATTAATAGGGAAAATAATTGAAGCGACCGTGGCGGGATCCAACTAGCCATTCCCACTTTCAGTAATCAAGTTAAAACGTCGATGAGGCTATTACGCTATTCTGTCGGCGTTATTGGACTACAAGGGACAAGTAAAGTTACTGTCTTTTGTATTTAGCAATAACCCTTTCAATCTGCAATTAAATGTATTAATTCATATTCTCATATGCCATAATAGACATGGCTATTTCTATTGTACTAGTCAACGCGTCTTTACACAGTAAAATAATGAGTGGACGTGAATGTAAATCCTTTGTCTTATCTACGCGATCTATAAAGAAGAATAGTCTATTGAATTAAGTTACTTTCTATCGCAGAGTAACACGATATTTTTATCGAACTGTATAAAACTATATTTATGTATCTCCTCCGTATTCATAGTTGCACTACTGAAACTCGTCTGAATTCTACTGACCTTCACTACTTGCAATCAATACAAAGCTGCTGTTGGTAAGCATTCAATGTCCATGCATCACGTTTATTGTTAAACGTACAAGAGAATGAAAAAAAAGGTTCTGGTTGGAGGTGAACCAATTCGAAACACAAAAAATTCAGTACTCATTACAGCATGGATTGTATGAACGTTAGTTAACGAGTACGAAGAGGTTTTTGCGTTGGTTTAGCGAACGTGTTGAAAAGGGAGAAAAACTGAAGGAAAGCAACGCGTAGGCAATCAAAGTATATTGGCGAAGAATTCGAGGCCATTCTCACGTAACAACAGCAGGCGAATCAATGCTACAAGAATGTACGATAGTGGATGCCCGAAGAATGGTACATACTACCCCGAATAATATTAAAATGTAATTTACTTCTGGCTAACTGTTAAAATAATTAGTATATCCATTTCGATGACGATGGGTGATGATAATGAAAAGCCAACACGATCTGGTAAAATTACAGTGACTCACGTATTTGTTCACTTACGCTTTTCAGTTCCAAGAAAACTGTAAATACCAATTTTTTGCTTAGCGTTTGATTGTTCAATTTACTATAATCCTATGTATTATTAAACTGATGAAACGAATGCGAGAATCTCTGTTTGATAAATGATCTAAGGGTACACACTTTAAAGAAAAGAAATACAAACTCTTTTTTTGCTATACCTAATTAAATTTTCTTTGTATGGTGTTGATAAGGTGTAAATATACGTGTTTTATATCGTATGTTTTACCCTGCACAGACACCCGATACCGATTCCTAATATCATTTCATCGATATTTAATATGATTGACACATATTTTGACATCGAGACGCATATAGAAAAAAAATGCAAGAGATATATGTATAGAACAATGCGAAAGTACACTTCGTTCTAGTCTAATGATCAAAGGAAATTTACGATATACATATTTATTGAATTAATGATTAACGAATTTTTAGACAATCTATAATTTTTGTAAAATAATAACTAAAAGCAACAATCATTTTTGTTAAGTAATTTTTTCATTTTAGAGTTCAGAAAATGAATAGGAATAAAAAAAATTAAAGAATCAGACTTACCACCCTCCAGTACGCGATCCATGGTATCTGCAAGATGGTATTTCACGTAAATTCCAAGTACAAAAAAAAGCAAAATCACATAAATAAGAAAATTATTGTACTACAATAATTTTCCGAGTGTTTAGGTACAATCGCGATCGAGGTTGTAGAAAAGTATATCTTGTACTGATGACTCGGTTTCGAACAACAGTTTTATATATCTACGATGCTGAAAAAACCTTTGTCAAGTAAATCCCCTTCCAACTCTATCACGTCAATTTGGTGTGATAGTATAGTAGAATACTTGGTAACGTTACTTTAAAGTGAATAATACCAGGAAATAAAAATCATAATCCTGTGGCAACTATGAAACAGGAAAATGAAAATAATTGTAAGAACTGTTGTTAATTACATTAGTAAAATATAAAGTTTTAGTGTAAAGATAAACAATTTACTTCTTTTTTTAACAATATGTTACGTAAATCTCATTTTGATTTTTCGCAAAATCAAACCAGTAATTAAAATCTTGTGCAACAGTATAAATAAATTAATACTTAACAGTTCAGTTATATAAAACAACCACATTGAAGTATCACCTACATACATTTGAAGACAAGATAATTATTTACTTAGTAATACTACTAATAAATAATTATTAATTGTTTAGATAAGAACATCTTTGATATAATAGTATCCTCTTAGCATATAAGGATTAGATTTAAATTCAGATATGATTTTGCTTATGATGAAAAGCAAGTTTATTTAAATTGTGATACAAGTGACTAACATGTACTAAATATATCAAACAATAACAATGCAATAAATGTTAACTTATTTATAAATTAGGAATATCAAAATGTACGTTAATCTAACACGTATAATCTTAACTACTAATGGATATATATCTTTTTTTTTCACCTTCTGCCATAACATGTTAACTTAGCATTTTATCTCATTATTGTTAGAAAAAGAGTTATTTGTGCAAAGTAGCGAATTCTTATAACTATAAGAAAGAAAATTAAAATGGAACAGAAAATACACTCACAATGAAATGAATAGGGTGCGCCTCTGGAAATTATGTACAAGGGAGGACGTGGTGATTCCACAAAGTGTAAGAAAAAAATGTGGAATAATATTTGTTTGATTGAGGATTACTTTTCGAGAAAATCGAGTGTCTACAATGTGGTTGTATACAATGCCTACGCGACTTCCACTAATGTTTCATTTATATGAACTGTCAGTTTTTCTCGAATAATTACTACGACGAGATATACAAATAAGAAATACCTTGATATGATCAAGGCTTTAGATACCTGCAACGGCAATTTTTCTGCTACGGAACGGATTTTTACACTCAATATTTTTGAAAACTAAGTCTCAAACGAAAAAATATTATTCTATATTTTGCTATCTTTTTATGAAGAACCATCATGAACCCATTCATACCTAATTTTCAGAAGCACTCTGTATAAATTAATTTCATAAATAACTTTCTTTTGCTTTGGCGTTTGGTACTCAATAATATACCTCATTTACTTATATATTCAATCAAAATTGAATCGGTAGTTATGTTGAAACAACATATAAAATTAAGTCCATTATTCCTATTTATCAGTTTCTGACATTACTTAAAAAAATATGAACCTTTCGTAACTTTTTTAAATGCATCTATACGGATAAAAATATTTCTATAAAAAATATTTATCTTTGGAGTCAATATTACATACAAAATTGAAAACATCAGTATCAATTTAAACTGTACTTACAAAGTAATGAATGCAAAACACCATATTCTCACAGTTCTATATTAGTTTAGGAGAACAGTATTATAAGTAAGAATATATCAAAGACTTTTTGAGTACTCGTTTCAAGAAACAACTTCGAATCTTAGGTCCTTCTTAATTAATTTTTTAATCAATGATGTCTTACCAAATGCAGCATCAGGAGACAAAATACCATTCTTAAGATTTTATGAATATTCACTGCAAGAAACAACTTCGAATCTTACATCCTTCTTATTTAATTCTTCGATCAATGATGTCTTACTAAATGCAGCACCAGGAGACAAAACACCACCACTAAAATAATGTAAGTATTTATAGAATTATTTGTAAGTAAACGTGCGTAAAATAAGATTACATACTTTTTAGGCATTTGATCAGACTCCTTGAGAATTGTTATAGTAGAAAGCAATAACATAACACATGTAGCACCATATCCAGGATCTTTACCCTTGACTTGTGTAATTAATGTTTGATTTGGTGCTTTTTTATGTACGTCTGTAGGTTCGGCTAATTTTTCAGTCCAACCTTCTGCTTTAAATGTAAGACAAAAATGAACACTCTCCAGTACCTCTGGTTTACCTCCATCACGGCTTACATATCCACAAGAAAAGAATCCAGGATACTACAACAAATTAAGAAAAAATGTATAAAAATATTAATACCATATTATTTAACGAGATAAATAAAGTATAACCATATACCTTCAACAATAAATTACGACCAAATACAAATTTAGATAGCAGTAGAAAAACTAGACCTAAGAAGAGAACTGCCAGCACTTCAAAGAAAGATCTGTAGATAAAAAATAAAATTATTACTATTCACTTCAAAGGAATGAAATATAAAACTTACTTAAATGTAACATATGTTTGAATTTGCGCGGGCCTTTGTTTATATTTTTCATATAAAAATCGTTGAGTGTATGAAGCTACAGAACGATCAGAGCCGGGAAATATCATAGACCAACCCTTTGAAACAGACGATCTATGTATGAAACATCTGAAATGATTAACAATAATATATATAAATAATGCACGTACCCCGCGCAGTTACAACATATTATATTATTTCAAACCTTGTTTTAAGCTTTGGCAAAAACGTCGGTAACTTTTCAGGATAAAGTTTACTACGTAAGTTACGTAACTCGTTATAATTGGCTACACCGTAAACCAACGATTCGTAAGTTCCATAATGTAGAATGGCACCCGTAACCTTTGTAGCCGTCCACGTCTTTAGATAGACTTCAATAGAATTAACTTCGCCTTTAAACTTTTGTTGCGTAAAAATGATACCAAGATCACAAGGTATACTTTCAAATCCACAAGAACTTATGATGTATATACCAGCTTCTTCAGCTTCCTTATGATATTTCAAACGCATACTCTCTATGTACTATAACAAATAAAAGATCATGAATTTCACTGTATATACATAACAATGAAAACTATTAAAATTGAATATATTATTATTAAATTACCTGTGGTTCACCACTAACATCAACTTGATGAGTACGCGTTGCAATACACGCTTTAATAACTGGTTCTCCATAAAATCTATATGGACCACAACAATTAACAAGCACTTTAGCTTGCTCTGTCATTTTCTTCAATGACTCTTCATGTTGTAAATCAGCAATTATTATGGGTACATTTTCTATTCAATTAAAAAAATTTAATTATGAATATTAATATTTTATATAGAAATATTATTGTAAAGGATTTCATTTTACCAATATCAGAAGCAAACTCTTTAACAATTGCTTCCAAAGCTTCCTTTCGACGTCCAGAAACTCCAAATTTCAACTGTTTTTCTTTAGCCAATTGTGCTGCCACTTTGACAGCATATTTTCCAGTAAATCCAGTTGCTCCAAATATCACAAAATCTAATCGTTCGCTTGCCATGATGCCAATAGCTATAAAATATTTATATACTTCATATTATATGTATCTACAAATTATTCATATGTAAATAACACGAATTCATGTTATACACTATTAACAAGAATCTTAATTTACAATTGTAATGAATCTTAATATAGCTCATTTTTTGTGCGCATACGTCATACAAATCATTTATGAGCATTGTAATATGTACATATATAATTTTACAAATATTAACATGTAAGAAAGTTTCTTAAAAAAATATACATATTAAAATATTCATTGAAAAAATTTGCTTATAAGTATATTTTTTGCTTGTTTTATTGCAAGCCGAACTGTCATTTTGCCGATAGTTATACGCAATTACAATTCTCGATAAACTTTCATATTTTTAGACGATTAAATATTTAATTCTGAATTTATTTTTATAAAATACATACCTTATTAGAAACAAAAAATAGAATTGCCGCTTTTTTTTACTGTGTTCTGCTTCTAAAATCAGGGATGCTTTTGAATTGCGTCTGTTCGCTAGCGTGTTATGGAAATCGAATGCGGTCCGTGTGTAGGATCTCTAGAGGGGGGGATTTTATTATGCTCCATTATTGCGGACTTTCTGGTGTCGTTGATATAGGCACATTTTTTAATGTAAATCTCATTTTAAGCGGAAATAAAGAACAATAAATATTAATGATTCCTACCTCAAAAGTCTTTAGGTTTTATTGAAATATTTTGTTGTTATGACAACATTTACGTTTTATATTCCTGTTTACAGATAAGCATGCATGTATGAATAATGAATGTAGAACATATATATGTATATACCGCAGTTCACCAGAGTCCATAACTGCGAAAAGACCAGTTTTCGTTCTTCGCGCTTCTCCAGTGCGCATCTTCGCCCTGATTGGCGATACTCCCAAACGAAGTAGAAAGCGATTAGCGGAGAGCTCGCTGCGTTCCCCCACCATCTTCCAACCTGCGCGTCGCAGTATGGACTCTGGTGAACTGCGCATATATACGCATTAAACTACTATAGCATTGAAACTACTATAGATAATTTAATCTTGAATTTGATGATATGGTGCCGTTAAACAAAATAAATAGTAAATCATTAATAACTATTACCGTAATCTTTTTTTTTATTATATACATACTCCAAGTAATTTGGTTCATATGGATAGTTGTATTAAATAGCGATTTTAGTGAGCAGTTGAATGAGTTAATTTTAAGAATCATCCATCCCATTATATGATATCTGTGACGTATATGTATGACAAAAAAAGTAGTTTTTATTTGTATTCTTATAAGTAATAAAATATGTTATTGTAATCGTCCTATTGTAATTATACAATATTAAATTATTTCACTACATTATTTATTTCAATTCTTACTTTATATATTTACAACATATTTTTTGTTTTATTACGCGCAGTCTGTATTTGGCTAGTAATAAATTATAAATAGCTCACTGTTTAGAATATCACTTTGCAATTAAAAACTTAAACTAGCAGATTTCTAATGTGATATAATTTTCTATGTACTTCATTTTTTGTTTTCGTACATATGTAAGACACAAAATAACGTAGTATACAATTCCGCGTTGACCTGGCCAGATACTATAAGGTGTATATACTATTATTTACAGAAATGCACGCTAAAATTGTAAAACTTTTACCATTGATATATTCACTTTATCGAATAAAATAATCTACAAAATAATTTCTTTTTTTCTTCCTTTGATAGCTTAATAAAGGTATATTATTTATGCAAGTAATTTTATATAATAAAAAATAATCGACGCTATGATAAAAAAAATCATAGCATTCATATGATCATAGGTTTAAGAAAAATTAATGCGTAAATATAAAAAAACTTGTGACTTTCATTTTTTTAATAGATATAAAATTCGCAGATATCTGTTTCGGAAATATAGCAAACTTGATATCGCTTGTGACATCCTAATGGATAAACCATGAAATACAATGTTTTCGCAAAAAACTTATTCGTTTTTTAAATCGTCACTATAATTTTACTGAGAAATATTTTAATACTCTTTTGGATATTGATCATTCAATAATTAAAAACCAATTTCTTTTCTTCTACTTACAATATCATAGTTATATTCAATCTTTTTTTTTAACTGAAGCAAAACTAAGGGATCTAGTCTTTTTATTTTATTTTTCTACACGAAAGCAGAATACTATGTGAGTTATTCCGGAGTTAAATATACATCGAATATAACTATCACCTTATACTAATATTTACAATATCTCACATTGTTTTCGGATAGAATACAAAACTATGGTACTTTAAAAGAATGAACGCAAAAATATAATTCTTATCTACTTTTCAATTGCGAAAGTATAAATTCTATAAAAGAGGAGAAAGTTAATATTTTTTTTCTCTTTTAAGAATGTGATCATCTTGTTGGCAAATACCATATTTGTCATTTTTTTCCTAATTTTACAATAAATACATGTGTATTACATATTACTCTACATGTTTCTTTTGATGTAAAATTTTGTGGATGTTCAGTTAATAGAAAATTTATATGACGTTCACTAATTTGTACAATTTTACAGACATCATTGTATGAAGTAAACCAGTCGATAGTTTTTAATATCTATTGCAATGCAATAAGATATCGATTAATGCGTAGATGAATTATTAAACTATAAATCAATCATAAAAATCTGAAGACATATGTTGAAAGATTATATAGTTTAAAATAGCGAATAACTGTATAGAAGTTAAACATCTATTGAAGATATATCATCAGTATTGAAAAATGCAAAATATATTACATATGATTTAGGAAGGCATACACTTCAAATTACGATTTTTTAAACACTTTACGTAATAGTATACACTACAAACACATTCAATGATTTTTTTTAGTTCATTATCAAATCTTGCTATAATTGCACTGTAATGAAATGAATTCACATATATAAACATAATTTCTCGAGTGTAGAAAAAAAAATTAGTGAATATAAACTTAAAAATTCGATATCATTGTTTTGCAAGAAATGACATATATGAAAAGAAGAAGAAATATACTAATAAAATGTAGCAGCTTGTTATCTGTGCACAACCTCTCCAGATAAAGTCTTAAAAAGACCATTCAATCGTAGTACAATCTTTTGCATATTTAAGTAAGCATTGGAATAGATTTTATACATAGATACAAGTCACAAGTGGTACTAAATCACAGAATAAACTGTGTAAAGAAGTTAGCATATAGCCACGTTTAAGCGAGCATAATGTACAATGCTCAGTCAGGTAAAACAATAAAGGCTCCATAAAGAATGACAGCCGTTCAATAACACATTCGAGAACGGTAACAAGAAAGGAGCACTAGGAGTTAGCATTTGGAGGAGGTGGTCTTCTGTCGTAATCTCGTCTATAATCTTTGTTTGGCCGCCAATCACTAGGATAATTGTCTCCAGGGTAACCACGACCCCTAAAATGACTTGGCGGAATATCAGATGGTGGATAACCACCACCACCTCCACCCCCATATCCTCCTGGACCATATCCATAACTTGGCGGTCCCGATGCATATCTATAATAATCACTGAACACAAATTTTATGAATTTTATTTTCACTTCAAAATCTTTTTTTTCCTTTATCAGCTTACCTTCGTTTATCGTTTATATGCATATTGCGATCACGTTCTCTATCTCTGTCCCGGTGGTATCCACTAGACATTCGTCCATAAGAATCAAAACGATCACGTTTATGGTCTCCAAATCTACAAATTAATATTATAATAGTCAATTTACATTTCTCTTTTTCTAAATATTTTAAATACTTCTTTAAATATATACATATCAATAATACCTTCCATCCCGCATATCCCTTCCGTCACGTGATAACCAATGGTCGTCTTCCCTACTACCACTATAATGTCCACCTATACTGTAACCTCCACTGTCTCTTCTGATTCTCTCATCTTTTCCTCCACTCATTCTATCCATACTTCGATCACTGTGTGCTCGATCTCTGTCTCTATCACGTTCTCTGTCTCTTTTCACGTCTTTGTGTTTTGATTCCTTTTCTTTATGTCGCGGTGTATCCACGCTATTAGTGGTACTTGATGTAGAATTTGGAGTCGACGTGATAGGTGTAATAGTGATAGCACCAATAGTAACCGTTGAGTTACTGCTAATGCTGTTTACAGCAGATATAGCTGATAGATGTTTTTTACTTGGTGTACTACTATTAGAATTTTCTTCCATATCTTCAATTCTACGTTTTGGTAATCTGCTTTCTTTACTACTTTCTATTTGTTGTTTATCGATATGTTTATCACTATACTTCTATAAGAATAAATAATTTAAATAATATTTATGTTGTAATAATATCGTACAATTATTTTAAAAAGTATTGTACCTTTGTACTACTCGACTCGTCTTTCTTTTCTGGACTGGATGTAGCACTAGTATTGCCTTCACCTCCTTTTTTCGTTGCGTGTTTATATAATTTATAAAGTTTCTTTGCATCAAACTCTGTAAATTTAGACACAAAATACCATAAATTGCTCCTCCATTCTTTAATTTGTTCTGGATCTCTGTATTCTTCTAGACAGGTATTAATTTGATTTCCAATTTGTACAAGACACTGTCTTGTATGGGCAACTTGTTCTGCTTCGCTCAAAGATTGATCAGGTCTATCTAAAGCTTTTAGCGCCTTTTTTACTGGTCTCATTTTTTCTTTACACTGTATAATAGAGATACAATTAGAGTTTGATTATTATTTATATTTAATAATATGCAACATCAATAAAGAAGTTAGTAATAACCTCATTAAATATAGAAGGATCTAAATCCCCAAGGACATCCAAAGCTCTTGGTTCATTGTTAGCAGTAAAATGCATCGGACCCGCAGCTTGTTTACTCTTTTTAGCTTTTCTATTTTCTTTCTTTTCCTTTTTGGTTTTCTTTTCCTTCTTTTTTTCTTCAATTACATCTTCAACTTCCTCTTTAATTTCTTTTTTCACTATAACTTCTTCTTCTTTTTTTACAGGCGCCTTTCATTAAAAAATATATATTAAACATTTAAATAAGTATTTTGTTAAAGTTAAATATATATATAAATAAATATTAATTACCTTCTCGCTTTTGGATTTTGATTTACTACTTTCTTCGCCTGAGCTATCATTCTCTTCTATAATTTCTTTTGTAATAGCAGTTTTAACTTCCTTCGGTTTTCTCGGTTTTCTTATTTTGGCCTAAAATTATTCAGAGGATACACATATTGTAACAACAGTATGATAATAATTAACTTGTATTTACATTTGATAGGTTATAAATTTGATGGATAGGAATATATTATACATAATAAAAATAGGATTAAAATTAAGGATTTATAAATTACCTTTGACACATATTCTGATTGAGGGATAAACACATAACCCTGTTAAGATGAAATAAAGGTGTAAAGGAATTTTTGTGGGAATACTGTGAAAATAAAACAATATTTTCTTACCACTCCTAATTTGGAATCCATCTGTTTTTTGAGTACTTTTAATAGGTACTCGGCTCGAGCGTTTACTTTTTTTAATTGAAGTTTACTACCATTTGGGAAAATTTTATCACCGAGCTTAAGACTGTTATCCATTTTAATTGCTTCCCATGAACCCATCCCATGCTGATATATGCCTTTCAAAAGTCTAGAGTCATCTTCAGAATTCCAATCACAATCAAAGTTTGCTGGTTTTAATCTATAAAAACAATTATATGTATAACTCAATATATGTATACATATATTTGGTCATAGAAACTTAAAAAAAAAATTTACTTAATATCAAGATGCCAATTGGATCGTTGTTCGGAGTCCGGCGGTAAAGCTTGTT